CCACTTCCAGGTGGGAGACAACGTTTGGTTAAACGCTAAGAACATCCGGACCAAACAACCTTCAGTAAAGCTTGACGACAAATGTTTCGGCCCTTACCCTGTCCTCCCTCAGATCGGTACCCATGCTTACCGGTTAGACCTCCCGGCGTCCATGAGGATCCACAACGTTTTCCATGTCTCCCTGCTCAACCTCGCCTCCCAGGACCCTCTTCCCGGTCAAAGAATACCTCCCCCGCCGCCGGTGAAAGTGGATGGAGAACAAGAGTGGCAGGTGGAAGAGGTCCTCGATGCTAAGTTTGTTCGGAACTGCCTACGGTACCTCATTCGCTAGAGGGGTTATCCGGAAGCCACCTGGGAACCAGCTGACTCCGTTAACGGCCTCCAAGCTCTGGATCGGTTTCATGAACGCTACCCCCACAAGCCTGGACCATTACCTGAACGATTCGCCTCAGGGGACTTCGGCACTGGAGAGGGGAGCTAGTGTCATGGCCACCCGGCTATGGAGACGGAATATGCATGGGTTCTTCGTTGCATATATTGGTTGTGGCTTTCTTGGTTGTATGGTTGGATTTCCTTTGTACGAACAGTTAGGATGTGTTGCCGCGCAACGGAAGATAGCGGAACCTGATAGAGAAATCGCAGCTACACGCGACGCCAAGAACTTCCTTTTGTATTAGTGATCATGGAGGATTTTCTTAGTATATAAAGGGGTGTGCCCCTTTATATTTTACTTTCTTTACGTAATCTGGTAATCTCCTTCGGACACCTGTACCTAGAAATTACACTCTCTACTTTCTGGCGTCCTCTTGAACCCCTGAACCCTGACCCTGAACCCCTGAACCCCGTACCTCCTACAGCTCGCTTTGGTTGTACCCCCGCACCTAGACCCCGTCTCCAGATTTCTGCCTGTCCTGACCGTGGTGTGCCTTGGGCTACCCGACCCTCAGACCCTGTCCGTTACAATAGTATTATTAACCAAGTCCTTAACTCCTATTGTACAATACCTACTAAATTATCCTAAAGTTGATAGTTCTCTGAGAACAATAGATACTAGTATTTGAAGGAGTGTAATGAGTTGTCTTTAAATAAAGTAACAAACTAATGGGTAAGGAAATAGTATACAAATACTAGTAGTAGCATAAAGAAGTCTAATCCTTGGGTCCTACTGTCCCCTTATATAGGCATTCTTTATACAACCCTATCCCTTGTAACTTACACCTATAATTCATATATAATATATAACTTACGACTGTGAGTTATATGAAATACTTCAGTTGACTCCTATGAGTTGCTATAACTTTCCTTAAATTAATCAAGACTTCATAACTAAGTGTTAAGAATCCAACTGGTAGCAGGGGTATAACAGGTAACGATTCTTACTTACTTAAGGGGATAGTTCTTAGGCCATTGTCTATGCGCTGCAGATAGCTAGGTCTTTTGACTTCTATCTTATCATGCCTATTCCTTAATCTTCTTAAGTCCTTGATTAGGACTTACTCTTTCTCATCATGGGAGGAAAGACAATTCTTGGGTTTCTTAAGATAAATCTTAAAGAGTATAAAGGTAGGTTTTATTGCTAAAACTTAAAGGTAGAAAATAAACGAGAAGAACATGTGAAGAGCTCATACTCGGGATCCTAGTAACCCTTTATATAGTAGCTCTTCACCTGGCATGACTCATACCTTACGTTACGTAAACCTTGTGACTTATAACTCTGAGTCATGTGAAATCTATCAGCTAACTCCTATGAGTCGCTGTGCAACATACCTAAAACCAATCAAAATATAATAACCAAGTCAGGTGTGCAACACGCGTTACCCGAGTAAAACCCATGACTCATAATTTGAGTTATATGTGAAAATTATAATATTGTGTGACTTACAACTGTGAGTCACAAACAGGTAAACATGATAACCTATGGCATACTAGTGTGCGTCATGTGAAATTCCAACATACCTATAGCTGTTACAAACTGTGACCAAGCAAGACAGATTTTACATAGCTTGGAATTCTGAGCTATAAGTATGTTAGGATTTCACATGACGCACATTAGTGCACCGTAGGTTATTATGTTTACCTGTTCGTGACTCACAGTTGTGAGTTATACGATGTTATAATTTTCACACATGACTCATAATTATGAGTCATGGGTTTCACTCAGGTGACATGAGTTGCACACCTGATTTGGTTATTATGTTTTGATTAGTTTTAGACATGTTGTGCAGCGACTCATAGGAGTCGCCTGAGGGATTTTGCATGACTCATAGTTATGAGTCACAGGGTTCGTGTGACACAAGATATGAGTCATGCCAGATGAAGAGCTACTATATAAAGGGTTACTAGGACTCTGAGTATTAGCTCTTCATACATTCTTCTTGTTTATTTCCTACCTCTATATTTTACCAATAAAACTTACCTTTACGCTCTTTAAGATTTATCTTAAGAAACCTAAGAATTGTCTTTCCTCTCATGGCGAGGAAGAAGTAAGTCCTAATCCAGGACTTAAGGAGATTAAGGAATAGGTGCGATAAGATAGAAGTCAGGGGACTTAACTATGATTATTGTGTAAGCAACGGCCTAGGAACAATTACCTTATCAAGAGAGAAGTATTATTACCTGTTGCACCACCCTACTGGGTAGGATTCTTAACAATAGGCTGGGTCGGAATTCTGAGCTATGTAAAATCTGCCTTGCTTAGTCATGGTTTGTGACAGCTTGTTATGATTTTCCTGTAACTTAGGTTACAAATAAATCGTAGATTTAACAAAAAAAAAATAAGTTCTAGTATCAACCAAATATAGTACTTAAAAGCAAAATAGTACTTTATAATAAATCTTTATAATTGAAGTCAAAATTAAGGTTTGAGGTAGCAATTAGATATGCCTTAAAACAATAACCTGAAAATCTATTAATATATTACTTTTATACTATCATATTAGTAATAAGTTATATATATTAGTAGTTTCTTTTCAACTTAAGAAAGTAAAATAAAAAAACAATATTGTACTAGTATCTATATTATTATATAACTTGACTTAAAGTATGTTTATAATTTAATTTATAATATCTAGACTCTTGTTTTAATTCTCTATAGTTTGATAAAATATTTATTTAACTAAAAAGTATAAGATTTAAACATTACTAGTATATTATTTTTTATAAGAAGTATATTGATTGTAAACAACTAGTATTATAGTCTAAAAATAATAAGCAGTTGCTTCTCTTTCTAGATCACCATTACTTATCTTTAAAACATCTTATTCAAGCTTTTTATAATGTTTGATTGGATTTTAGCAATAGAAAAACAGAGTAGAATATAGAATATTATACTTTTTCTTTATTGTATATTAATTATACTTGTACTTATAGTAGTTTATAGGAAAATAATTTATATGCTTGATAGCAGTAGTATTATAATATAACTACTATATTTACTCTTGTATTCAGGTACTTCTTATCTAAAATAACTATTATACTTATACTAAAACTTATTCTAATAATTTGCAGGATACTAGTATCATACTATATCAATGCAGTTAAAGTACAGGATTGGGCTGATAGTATTTGATTAAGCAAGCAAGAAAAATTAAAGTTATGTACATGTATCGAATTCCTTCTCGGGTTTATTATAAGCTCAGTTGTGTACTGCACAATATGAGGAACGAAATTTGTTCCAAATATCAGTCCCAGCATTTATATTTTAATAGAATTACTGGAGAATCATAGAAAGCCCTGATGAAAAAGAAAAGAAAGAAGAAAAAGGAAGAAAAATACAATGAGATTCTTCAGCATGTGGCCGCAAATTGAAGCGAGAAGTTCACGGGGATTGTTTTTCTTCCCCTGTACGGTAGAATATTTCAATCGAACAGCTACCTGACACGCCCGACCTAGATTGAGCTTCGGACCGTTGCTGATCTTGGTGAGGTACTTCACAATTCGTGAAGTATCCGGATGCCTTTACGCCAAGACAGGCCAATTAGGTGTAAATTTGGACATCTTGGCGCTGGGGCATCCGGACACTTTATGAACTGTCAGGTATATTGTATCATAATATCATAGGATTTGACGGATAATCTGCAGGGGTATGGTGGGTCATCGAAGTTTGGGGTTTCTCCACGTTATGTGGCTCTACGGCACCGCTAACCGTTCGACCGACTGCGAGAGAGGTCCCCTTGTTGAAGGAAGGACTCTTCTGTGGCTTGTTAACCCGTGCTTTCCCTCCTTGATGAGTCAGCCGCTGGTTTGGCCCCGAATTTCGCCAAGAGAGGAAGTTCTCCTCTCGGCGCTCGTTGTTCGTTGCTCGTTGCGAGCCTGCCACCCACACCCTCCTTCTCTCCAATCCATCAGATCAGTCGAAAAGTCAAAACTTAGGCCCAACCCCATTCAATCCCATCCCAAGGAAGGAGCAGCCATCTTCTCATCCATCTCGTTTCCTCTCTTTGGGTTTTCACTTCTCTCCCTCTCCCTCCCTCTCTCCCTCCCCTCCCCTCCCTCTCTCTCTGCCTCACCCTTCTCTCTTCAACACTTGTTCCCTTTTCCTCACACTTTTCTTCCATCCTCAACCCTCTCTTCCTCCCCCCACGTTCTAGCACACAATACAGCGAGCAAGTGGATTTACAAACTTTCTCTTTTTCTCTTTTGCCTGCACTTCACGCAAATCTCCCGTGCTGAACACTCAACCCCCTCCCCCCCTCTAACCCTCAACGCCAAACCCCAGTCCTAAACCCAACCCCAACCCCCCAATCATAACTTTCGTCTCCATTGCTGGTATTTCTTGTTACCACCACTAACCACCGCCTCCACCATCGCCTCAACTCAACACACCGTAACATCTTCCATCGCCGCTACCATTACCACCGCTTCCACCCAGGACACCATCGTTACTCTTTCACTTTTTTCTTCCACCACTCCGGGATCTCTCCTCTCTCCGGCCTCTTGCCGTGTTGCCCTGTCTGATTTTCTATCTACCTATTATCCTACTCCGTTTCCCTCGATGAAAAATGAATAAGCAAGATACACAAAATTCTGAAAACCAAGCCGACTCTGCTACCAATACCCAGACAAACACTGATTCCCCCGTTGATCGTATTGAAAAGAGGGCAATGCCTTCTCCAATCTCACCCCATCCAGTTCACGTAGCTGAGACCGTTTCTATCCCAGTCCTCAACAATCAAATGGACTATGCTCTCGACGCACCGGAGGTCCATGCCCCCGGGCCCGAAACCTCCAACACCAGTGTTGAACTTGACTACGACCCGGAAACCGCCGCTACTACCTTTATGGAGCAGCCAAAATTGCAGCAGGCAACCTCATCGGCTTCCATTTCGGAAGCCACAAATGATAGTAGTCCATCATCTTCCTCTTCGCCGCCATCTGTGAATAAGGCTCCTGCACCCACCGAGATTGTCCAAAACAACCGCAGTATCCCGACGGATGTCGACCTACAAGCTCTGTTGACAAGTTTGTCACCCACCGTTTCTCAACACCCGGTGTCCTTGCCAGGCACTCAGACACCGCCAGCAGCTCCCACTGCCCAGACCCCTCCCTCTCAGCCGAAGTCGGCCTCCCTTCCACAGCCACCCGCGGCTGCTCAGGTAGCCCAGTCGCAGGCCCATGCCCAACCGACACATCCCCTCCCGGCTCCACCAGCGACGTTTGCTGGTTCCAGTAATACAGGTGCAGTGCATTCAAACCACCCGGCCGGTTATCCCGCCTCTCTACCATTGCCTCCAAACTTTAACCAACATCGTCAATCGGCCGTCCCAGGCTCTCCAACCGAAACTGATGACAATGAGGAGGAATCCCGTCCTTTTACAGCCGATGAAGAGGATGAGTATGAAAGGTTTCTCTCCGATGAGCGTGATTATGTGACTCAAGGACAATGGGATAGATTTCCTGCGGGCTCTCGATTGTTCATTGGTGCGCACCCTCCGATGCAGATATCCCATGCACCCCAGTTTTGCGGTTGTTTCACAAAAATTTGCCCAATAATGCTTACGTTGAATGCGCAGGTAATTTGCCCACAGAGAAAGTCACCAAACGTGATCTGTTCCGTATATTCCACCGACATGGCCGGTTGGCACAAGTGTCTATCAAACAAGCCTACGGGTTTGTCCAGTTTCTCGATATATCGTCTTGTGCAGCGGCCCTCCGTCACGAACAAGGTTCAACGGTGAGAGGACGTAAAATGCGTATGATATCCAGCCCGTCTCTTCTCCCAAGAGGACAGAAGTCCTCTTTAGAAAATTTCCATATACTAATTTGACCACGTGACTTGGGTTGTAGACCTCGAGGTTTCAAAACCACAGAGAAACACACGTCCGGCCCCAAGTGCTGATTCTCAACGTGGGAGTCGCCGCTCTCGCTCCCCCGATTACGGTCGGCCGGCTTCTCCTAGGGGGAGAGGCAATTTTCGTGGGGGCCGTGGTGATTTCAATGATCGTAGTTTCAGACGGGATGCCCGAGACCGTGATTATGAGTATAATCGCAGATCCCCACCGCCAAGACACAGAGTTCGTGATGATTGGCGGCCCAGCCTCCGTTCGCGCTCACGTTCTCCACCACCACCCAGATATCGTGTTCGTAGCCGCTCTCCTCCCGGTGAAACCTTACCTCCTAGAAGGGAGCCCAAGGACGTTCCTGATGTCCAGGCAATTGTCACCGATGAGCTTGACAGGTTTGCCACCACAATCTCGAGCGTTGTATGTTAGTTTGTCAGCTAATCGTTATCTCTGCAGGAATTTTATCTGGTGGGTTGAGAAGGCGTTTAGAGCGCGCAGTCTCACATACGACTTGTTGTACCTACATCCCAGGATGCCTCTCGATTCCGTCATAAAGCAGCAGATCCTTGAGGGGGTTCAAGCAATTGTCTTCTTGGATGGTCAGAAGCAGAGAGAGAGTTCCATTTCTCTCCAGGTTTTCAATAGACACGGTTCTGCAGAGGCTGGTTATGACCGTTCGTCCCCCTTGAATTCACGGGGCCTCTTTAGGTGATAACGACAAGGACTGATGAACGGTGAATAGGCTACGATAACATTGAACCCGCAATCGGTGCCGAGCTGGTGATTAGAGCGAAGCAGGCAGCCGCTCAGCCTCAAGTTTCCACTACGCCATACGCATACATGTCTCAACAGCCTTTCGCGCAGCTTGGGAGTCTGTTGAGTTCGATGGATCCTGGGACTCTCAATCGATTATTGACCGGTCTTCAATCTCAGGCTCAGCCGCAAGGTTTGCAGCAGAATCATATCGGCCAGCAGCAACCACCGCAGCAGCCTCCCTCTCTGGCCCCGGATCTTGCAGCCTTACTGGCACAGGCAACCTCTAACCTGGGACAAGCCAGTGCCGCCCAACCATACAACGCTCCTCCTCAACTCGGTGTCAACACTGGGTACGGGTCGAACGCACCAGCTGGACTAGCCGCTCTGTTTGCCAGCCAGGCCCACAGTCCTGCCCAAGCGTCCCATCCCACCCCCACCCACCTAACACCCCAGCAGCAGCCCCCACCCGGCCAGATGCAAAACATCATGGAGACGTTGGCGAAGTGGAAGCAAGGATAGCTACTAAAAGTCTTTCTTTCTTTCATTATTTTATATATATATATTTTCTTTCTGGGCTTTCCTGGAGTTTTTGATTTCCCCTTCTTCCAACCCCTCTCCACACACTTATGCTTTGTCTCTCCCTCGTACGCACGCTGTTGTTTGTATTTCCCACGGTTCCCGAAATGTTGGAAGCCCCGAGGGATTAAAAAAAAAAGCCGAAATCCCAACCATAACTAATTTCCTCTTTTTCTTTATCAGAATTTCAATTTTTCCTATATTTTTGCTCCGCTACTCTACCATCTTTCTCTGTCGAATTAATAAAATTAGCCTTGGCCTTCCCTCCTCCCCCTATTATTACTTTTGTCCTTTTTCCTCTTTTCCCTCCCCTCTGAAGGGCATTGAACGATTTACTTAGTCACCTACCTACCTGTGCACTTTACTCGATTTCTTTTCTTTCGTTTTTCGGGCCACTTATCCACCTTACCTCAATTGTAAATAACCAAAGGAGGTCCGGAACTACAAAAAAAACGGTGTTGGGATTCTTTTCTTTCTTCTTCTCTTTCTCTCTCTCTCTCCCTCTCTCTCTTCACCTTTTCTTTTTCACCTCACTCGTGGTATCTCACCTTGCTCGCTTTCAATCGTTGGATTCCACCCTCCTCTCATTTCTAGCTCTCTATTCACCTAAGTTACGCTATGCCTTTCCTGTTACCCCTCATCAACAAAAGGGTCACAAAACGAACACGAGAGTCTTTTCTATGATTCAACTTTAACTTCTGGAGGGTCCTTTTTTTCTTTCTTTTTTCTCCTTTCTCCTGATCTCGTCATCGTCGTTGCCGAGGAGCATTATTTTCACAATATCGTCACTTGACTCGTAGCGCTGTGCCGAACTTGGATGATTCGATGAGTTTTTTTCCTTTTTTTCCTTTTAGTTCGCTGGGAGGCTTGTTTCACTCTTCATATTTTTTGCATATAGATACTGCGCCTTTGCTTTACTTTGCTCTAGTTTTGGCGGGCGGGTTGACATTCGCTTGCTTGTTGTTATATTTAGGTTTTATCATTACCTCTTACGCTATCTAGTCTACGTGTTATCCTTTCCTTCTTCTCCATGGCGGTTGTGAGTGGGTGCCGGATCTGGTTTAGGCAAATTTATATATCATACATACGATGGACAATACATCGGCTTTTCTTTCCTTCTTCCTTCCTTCCTTCCTTCCTTCCCGTTGCGGGAACAGGTGATCGTCGAGTTTCGTTCAATTTGAGCAGTGCATGCTGCCCTCCCCTCGTCATAAGATTGTCTCTGGAGTGTTTTCTATTTATTTTTTTTATATCTTTTTTACTGTAGAATAAATAAACATGCTTCTTCGTGTCTCGGTTTATATATGCTTTCCTTAGTGGAGTTGGTCTAAATTTTGTTCTATTTGACATTTGGGGTTTTCTTCTCTGGAGGGGGGGAGGTATTTGTTTATTGTGGTTTTCCGGATGTTGGGGTGCGTTGTGAGGGTAGGGCTGTTGGTGAAAAGGGGGGTGAGGACGATGACGGGGAGGAAGAATTGCGCCATTCGGTTGGTCTGTGTTTGGGGAGGGGAAAGTTAGCTCTTTAAGAGATATATGGGAGTGTATTTTTTCCTCTTTTATGTTTCTTTAAGTTGTTGTGAGTCAAAATCATTTGCATACCTTGTTAGCCATAAAGCTGGTGTCATTCCTCCGGCGGTTTCTTTGGCTTTAAGCCAGAGTTTAAGTTCCTCCCGAAGACGGGTTTCGGTTTTTTGTATTGTGTTGCTGTGTCAAACCGAAAATTAAATTAAATTAGTATCTTGGTCATCACCCCTTCCGCCTGTTCAGTGAGGACATTTTGAACATCAGGAACTCACAATCCTCTATCCACCGCCGCCATCTTCAATTCCTCCCCGCTATCCAACACCCCCGGCCCACCGCCCCGGGCAAGGAGTATATCGTCCAGGTCCAAGTACATCAGCCTCCTCCACAACTTGAACCTCAACCACATCGTCGGTGGCAGGAACGGATAGAGAACTGACGGCCACTTCGCGGAGTGCAAGCCCAGCACCGTAGAACAGTGCAGAACTTCATTGGACGTGAGGTCCTGGACACTCCTCTTCTCCTGCGCCAACTCTAGAAGATCACGACCCTTGGGCAAGTTCCGGAACGACGCTGCCCGGCGCTCCTCCAGCTTTGTTCTGTCACCATGAATCTGTCGTGGAATCCGGCAATTGAAAGGCACGATGCCGGAAACGAATGGCAGCACGAAGGGGGACAATTCACCGAATATCATGAACATTAGGCCGAATATGGGGATCCGGCGGGAGTCGTGGCGGTTGCGCCTGCGGAATCGCCATTTAGCGTTTAGCTCTATGGGAAGTAGGTAAGGAAGGGAGGAAGGGGCGAAACAAACATAACCAATTGAAACTCCCTCCGAGTAATTTCCCCGGCCTCAACCAAGTCCGTGATACTCCCCTTCTTGTCAATCCGGCCCTGGATCGGGCGCGTAGCGATGAAGTTCTTGTATACGTTTTTCAACCCGGTCTTGTAAAACCCCAGCTATTCTCCCGCCGCTCAATTAGTTAACGCACACCTTCGATTTTTCTCATGTGTGGGTGAGGGGTGGAAGAGAGAACAAACATAAGCTTTCCCAGTCCTAATCAAATGCGGGAACGTCGAGTCTCCCGGTGCCTTCTGCGGCAACTCCAACACCGCTGGTAGCGTTGACAGCGGAGCATTCACGAATTCCGGATCGAGTACTTTATGCTCTCCACCGCCGGTATTACCACCATCGTGTGCCTTCGCGGTCGCGGTCACGGCGGAAGTGGAGCTTGGTTGTGTCCGTGAGAAGTGCACGAGTGGGCGGTAGGCGTTTTGTAATCGGGGGCGAATGGCAATGGACATTGCTGGGGGGAGGTGTTTGGCGGTGTGGGATATCATGAAGGTGGGCAGACTGTAGTGGGTTGGATGATTGATTGATTGATTGAGCTGAGTTGAGCCAGGCTGGTTTGTTCTTGGTTTTGTTCCGGCGTTGATCCAGGTATCATACGAGTATGATATAGGTTTTGGTGAGGTTTGGTCAAGAACTCAGGGTTTGTTAGCGCTTTGGGGGGTCTCCTTTCGGATCAGCGTTAGAGGAACTACCACAGCTTTAACAATTCCCCGACTTGGCGTTGGATCATGGTTGTCACTCGGTGTTTTTCGATTTTTGACACTTTGGTTTGGGGAGAAAAAACTAATGTGGAAGTGGGACAAGCAGGCTTATTCGAACGCAAAGAACGGATAGGCTTCCCAGACACATATACTGTACGGTACCAGGTATCATACTCAGGAGTTATTACGATTCTTGATTCCACCTCCCTACAGGGAGGAATTCGAAATACCCCGAATCTGACGATAATCAGACGGAGACATTAACGGTCGGAGGATTGAGCGCCGAGAAATCTGGCTGCAACCCTGTACGAGTACTTCTTTCTCTCACTGTAACCGCTAACTATCACACCTCGAGGCTCAGTTATGGAATATTGCAGTAGACTAAAGGCGCACGTTTCAGTACTTCCTCGGTCCTCAGTCCCCCAGAAGGTGAGTGAGTGAGTGTGTTTGTGTGTGGCCGGTGTGCTTTACCCGTGCTGGCGGGTAGAGAAACCAGAAGGCAGAAAGGGAACTACAATACCATCACTGTTCTAGTATCATACTGTAAACACAGCACGACGAGTACTTGTACAAAACAAAGAGATATCCGCTGAGTCTCTTTTACAAGAAAGCGATAACCGCCATCGGGGTAATTAGGGGACGTGCTCGGTCATAACTTAGCCCCCGTTTCAGTTCGATCTGCTCGTCACATATCTATCATATAGGCCTTCCATTGTCGATCATCGGCAATTGTCCGAGAACCTTGCCCAGCTGGTTGACTTCTGTCGGGGACATGCATTTTCTCCAAGTCCGGAGTCCAGGGTTAGCAGCCCAGGGGGAAAGGGGGGGGCTGCGGTGATACCTGCATAAAATGGATGAAATGAGGTCAACAGATACTGTTCATAGGAATTAATTTTGGACGGTTTCTTCGCTTTTCATACTGGTAATGAACATCATGTCCCATACTTTTTTTCCATTAGGTAGGACATAGCCAACACGCCATGAATACATGATCGAGGGGGTTTGAAGATAGAATACCGGTGGTCGAGTTAAGGCTCATCATAGTAAGCCAGGCGCGTAGGGTAGAGTGCTCTCCTGCAGCCTGGGCATGCGATCTGAAAAGGACCTTTTGCGGATACAGCAATCCTCCGGTGTCATCCCGGATTTCTTGCTGCTGTACGGTGTATAATGAGTTACGGTACAGCATGTCGTACGCTGGGTGAGCCGTGGGCCATTGCACCAAATCTCACTCTCCCTCCAAAACTCCCGCAGATTGCTACGCCAGAATGGTCAACCCGCTCCTCAAAATCTGTTACCCGTACTACAGGGTTGATTGTTTCCCTGCCGGCACGTGGCGGGACGGCTTCTTGTTGCTACGCTATTCCGACTCTTTTCTTCCATCAATGGTGAAGAAAACTGTAGAAATATAGGAAAAAGAAACGGTTTGATGGAATAAGCAATAGGCCAATTGCTATGAGGACAAAAGGTCTAACTCTCGTAATTCCCGCTGATCTTTCTCTGGGCTCTCTTCCTCTCGCCTCCCTTCCTGCGGCCCTGACGAGAAAAAGTCCCTCCTTTATACAGCCTGGGTCATAACGATTAGTAACAGTTTCCCCGGCACCACAATCGTCAGCCAAATAATTCCCAATTAGCTCCTCACGACTACAAAGACGATTGGATACTCAGTAGTACCATACTTACTCTATACAGCTGTTGACAAGGTGTGCGGTAATGCATATTTATTTTGCGCAGTCTATTGATTAAACTAGATGCTCCCCCCCCCCCCCTCCTTAGTCCTCCCACTTACCGGCATAAAAAAACACGCCCAAACAAAAACCCAACCCCTACTACAACACCCATCCCGCCATCCCACGTACCCAACCAAGGCAAAACACCGTGCAACTCGCCCCGGAAAGCAACAGCCATTAGCCTGAGCTTCCGCTGTGAGCTCTGAGTTTCTTGCAGTTCCGTTCATCGCGATACAAATAGTATTCCCCTTTCAAGAAGCTACCGCCAAGTATAAAGTAGAAGAAGCAATCTACTTTCTTGGACACATCCTTGACATCCTCAAGGACTCCGTTAACGTCCACTCGGATTGTGTCCACATTGGCATCCAAAATTCCCAGGTTCTAAAAACTCATTACCAGTTCGACATATCCCTGTGATAGACCACATACGCACCTCGCCCAACCGATGGAATTCCTCAAGCAATGCACTCTCCCTGCCAGTTCTTGTTGAGAGTATATGGGTAACGGGAGATGCTATGGTGTGCGTTGAGAGTGTATAGGCAATGGGGGATGCCAGTGATGTGATGTGCATCAGCCTGAGCGGAGTTGATGAGTGTTTATGGATGATGATCCTTGGTGTGGTGTGCGCCAGTGGAGATGAGGGTTTGGATGCCTGAAGGGCATGAGGTTGGAGTGAGCAGTCACATGTTGTTCGGTGTCTTGTACTATATAGCTTGGAGGTTCACTCCGGAGAACAGTAACGAAGTTCCTTTCTCCTCCACCATCGTTGTCTGTTTGTTTGTCCACCGCTCCCACCTCACAACAGTTCTCGGGGCGTTCGACTCCTCCGGGTCGGTCGCTTGTGTTTCGTGCACTTCTTCTTGCTCACAGTTCATCTCAACCACCAAATTATGTGAGCAACCTGAAACAACACGGACGCTTTGTATAACTTACGGGAGTAGTTGTAAAATCCCCGATTTCTGATCATTCGCCCCCCCCCCCCTTATTGCAGACCTGTAACCCAGAGCGAAAATATGTCTGAACGGCATTCTGATTGGTTCGGATACCGTAAGAATTCTAATAATTGGCACTCGTGCTAGGACGTTGGACTTGCCTTTACTAGCATAGTAAGCTGGGGCCCAGGAGGTCAGTTTTCGCAGTGTTTTGCCCCCCTATCCGAGAGAGGGAATTTTGGACGTCTTAGCACGAGCGCCAATTATTCGAGTTCCTACGGTACTTGTACAGTAGGGTGGGAACTGCGATTGCCTACCAATGGACACCCGGTTGCGTTGTGTTATGATACTTCTCCTCAGTTGTCCCGGGAAAGTAAAGGGGTAAGTCCAAACTGACCGAAAGCAGCCCTTAAATAAAGCCCTAGTAATAGAGAAACTGGTAAGTTGAGCACGACCCCAAAGCACGGCATGCGATATTTCCGTCATGCGCACTTCTCGTTCACCCCATGCCCACATTTTATTTCGAGCGCCCGAGTAAACTCCAACCCAAGGAAATATATATATAATAATATTATTATTATATATATAAAGAAGGGGGAGGAACAAGCATCATCAGCGCAATGACGTTATCAAGCCAAGACTCTGTCCTTTTGCCGTATCCCTGTACCAGGTAGATCTTCGCATGCCAGATCAGAGCCTCACCCGGCGGGCAACCTTACCGGGTAGGGGGTCACGTTCGTGGATGGGTAGGGCTAGGTTTCTAGGCAGACAGCCGAGGCGGGCTGCCGAAAAGGAAGGAGAAAAAAAGTCGGCTCCAAAGAATCGTTTGGGATGGGGGGAGACGGTGTGGTTATTGTTGAGATCTGGTAGCTACTGTAAGTTATGGGAGCAGGATTTGAGAGTGAAATACATTTAGCAATTTGAGACGTAAAGAGCTGTTGGCAAATGTTAAAGGCGAGACAGCCATGGCAAATTACCCCACCATCGAAATCTTGGCATAACCCTTCAGTCCATCCCACCAAGCAAGCAAGCAAGCAAGCAAGCATCCCGCAAAACAATACCACAGAGATCACCAACCTCACCAGACTAACCCAACACCGACCAGCGCTGCCCTTCCTCTCCACCATGTCGGCCAGGTACTCCCCCCCCCCCCCACCCCTCCAATCCGCTCATCTTCTCTCACCACAGCTGACCGGGGACCCCACCAGCACCGACCCACAAACCAACTCCCGCGGCATCCCGCTAGCCCCGTTCGTGGGTGAAGTGGAGAAATACGTCGACTCGAGGGAGGACATTGAACGCAATCTGAGGAAGTTTCAAGAGATGATCGCGTTCGTCCCCTCCCCCCCTCTTTCCCCCGGGGCAGCCGCGGACTGATGCGAGCCTAGAAAGTACCAATTTATGGAAGTAAACACTCAACGCCGCGCGGGCGGATTGAAGGATAAAATCCCTGATATACAAAAGACGTTGGATACCGTTAGCTTTTTGAAGGGGAGGAAGGTTAGTTCTTACGGACTGGGCGAAGGAAGGATGAAGGTAGTGTTAATGTGAATGGGTGGATGGACAAGCAGAGTTCATCGAAACCATTCGAAGCAACATTCGAACTCAACGATACCCTATACGCGAGGGCTAACATCCCGGCCACGGAGGAGGTGTATCTCTGGTTGGGTGTATGCCATGCCTCCCCCTCAAACACAGCCACAATAACTAGCTAACTGGCGCACCCACCAGGCAAACGTAATGCTGTCCTACCCCATCGACGAGGCTACAACCCTACTCAAGGGAAAACTCGAAGCCGCAAAGGAGAGTCTGCGCAATTGCGAGGAGGATATGGATTTTCTGCGGCAGCAGATCACCACGCTGGAGGTTAACACCGCCCGGTTGTACAATTACGAAGTTACGCTCAAGAGGAAGGAACGGGAGGAGGCGGAGAGGGAGGAGAAGGGTAAGAAGGGTGGGAAGTGAGGTATTTACTTTTTTTTCTTCTCGAAAATAAATACAGATGAATACAAAAGGTAATTATAAGATTGGAAGGTTGGTTGATAGGTTGGGAGGTGTACTAGTACTCGAGTACAATATCGTTCCCATACTATGCTTATGCGAGGAAATTAAAAAACGGAAGCTATGTATGCGTGGGAGTGAAAAAAAAACCCCTTATTCCACCACCACCCCACTGCCTCCCCATTTGCCGTCCACCAAGACCCCCCTGCGCATACAGATTTAGGATTACGTTGCTTTTGCTCCACCCGTATTTGCTTTTTTCTTCTTCTCCTCTTGTTCCTTTCTTCTCCCTCCTCCTCAGCCCCCAGCCATCGTACCCCCACCCCCCTCGCCCTCGCCCACAACCTCCTCAACAATGACAGGCGCATACTCTCCCGTCTCATCCTCCTCATCCAGACCCGGCAATTCCAACTCGATCATATCCCCATCCTCAGTCTGCACGAGTCCCCTCCTAACCACATCTTTATGATCCAATACCCAGTCAAACTTCCTCCTAGTCAACGATTCCATATCCCGGAAAAGCCTCACTATCGAATCCTTGTCCGGGTCGGCTTGTTGCTGTTCGTTGACCGCCTCTTTGATCCCACCCCCGAATCGCCGGAGTAGCTTCGCGAGCCAATTATCGTCCCCGTCCCCACCGTCGACGAAGCCAGCCCAGAAGTCCCCGTCGACGTAGTGCAGCTGTGCGAGCAGGGTTTCGAGTAGCCCTTCAAAGAGCTTCCTTCGTTCGTGGAATACGCAGGCTCTGGAAGTTAGGCAAAGGCCGAGCAGGCGGCGGTACTGCTCCATGGCGGAGTATGAGCCCAGAGTGATTGACATTATGAAGGACAACTGGAGTTCGCCCAGGAGTTCCCTTTCCGCGTCATCTTGGTTTTCAGAGGCTAGTCCGTGAAGTAGGTTATTGAGCGCCCAACTCCTATCCTTTGCCATCTCCGTCCGCTCCCGGCCGATGGTGCCAGCGGGCCAGGTAACCTTCAAGTCCACCCTTGTCCACATCACATCTACCCCTCCCCCCCCACCGGGCGGAAACCCCATCATCACCTCCTCACCAGCGTCGTAATCCATCCCCGAAACCCCCGCAGTCCCGCATACCCATCCCTCCCCAAGACACCTTTCCAACGTCCGCTCGCGCACACACCCACTCAACGCCCTCCACTCCTGCCCCCCTCCACCTACCATGACCCGCCCTTCGGCATCCCGTTGCTTATACGGCGTCAAGTTCTCCGCGTATAGCCTCTCCTCCAATCCCGCTGATGGAGGGGCATCGACGAGCGTCGCTATCTCGGCTTCTGGGTCCCACGTCTTGCTTATCACCCGTCCCGGATGGGCATAGAACCAGAAGCCGTTGCGTAGCGAGGAGTCGGTGGTCGTGGAGTAGTAGAGTAGGTGCAGACCCGACGGGATCAACTTCACGCCCTGGAAGGCCGGCGTCGAAGTGAAGCTTGTCAGGTCGATGCCAATGAAAGTGCCTGGTGGAATGGAAGTCAGGTGGAGAGTCGTGGTTGTTGGGTGGAGGGACATTTGGTCTGCTTTGGCTGTGTTGAGTTGTGGGGGAGGGGGAGGTCTAGTGGGGTTGGTGAGATGAGATGGGCGATTATTGCGGGGGGGTTATGTACTATAATAGGGCAGTAGTTCTGGACCTGTGGGGGGGGCAAGGGTTTGTCGATAGATGTCTTGATTGATTGATTGCAGATTGCTTGTTTGGTTCATGTGGTTACGGTGCATGGTGATTTTCACGCCAGGATTTGGGGCGCGTGGCGGACAGGGAACGCATTGGGAGCCAAGTGGACATAGCGCCATCTCAAAAGGATCCATCGGATATCGTAATACGAGTACAGTAACTTTACCGGTATTAGCACCGAGCGAGGCAACCATATCCACACCTCACGAATGCATAGACTAACACCGTACCGTACAAGTAGCTTCCGTCATATCGCCGCATCACACGAGATGAACATTAAATTGCCGTAAACACAAGCCAGCCAGATATTCGCTCCAAGAATCCCGTCACGCAGCGCAAAGGTATATCCCATATCAATGGCACGAGAGCTATTCATAAGAGCAATCACACCACCACTCACACCAACCAACCCGAGTGCACCCCATCTCAAAGCAAGTCATCTCCCTCCACCTCAAGCACTTCCCCCCCCCTCCAAGACACCGTCTGCTAATCCTTATACCAAGCCCCCACACCTCCCCTTTCCCAACAAGCCTAATTTATCCCAGTAACAGAATACTTAACGAACGAACAGATGAACGCCTATCTAAGAGACTCCTTCAGCCAAAACCTGAAAAAAAAAGCGAAAGTAAGAAGCGAAAGGAAAAATTACATCAGAAATAAATACCACTGCCACTAAAGTATCGACAAGCGGGGCAAAAAAAAGAAAAGGTATTAAAACCGAGCCCAACTAGAGAAGTAGTGCAGGGGGCACTGAAGGAGAAAAAAAAAAGGCTAGCCCCCTACATCATTAGGCATTAGTAACTTCCCAGCATGAAAAGCCTTCGCAACCACACTTGATACCAAAAGGCAACAGAGGGAACGGGCGAGAAAAACAAGTGAAAAAAAATTAGACCCGAGAAAGATATGTCGCCAAAGGTATCAAAGAATAGAGACCAATTGTTTCTGCAGAAGCCGCAAGAGACAACATCGCCCCACAATACACATTACACCTCTCTTTGAAAGAAAAAACAGAAGTCAAAGATGAAACCCATTATTTATGCCCCAGGTCGTAAACCACAATATTATCTGCCCATGCTGGTTGTCGTATATGTACGGTTGAATCATTAAATGCTGTCCAAAAAAGGGGAGTATGAAGAAAAAAAGAAAAAAAGTAAATAAGAGCAAACACCATACCATGATCGCCGTAATCATAAAGTACAAAGGAAAAAGAAAAAAAAGAAAGAAAAAACCACCCGGCCAGTAAGCGAAATCGGCCACGATCCAGTGCTGATCACAATGATCACAATGCATACTCGTTACTCGTTACTGAATGCCCTCGCTTTAGGTAGACCATGCGGTGGCGATCATAATGTCTCAAGTGTTGAATATGGATCTTGTGCAATACACAGCTGCAACTATCGACGATCATCGATAACCACATCAATGCCCTCGGTATCCGAGTGGCCTGCAACAGGGCTTCGGCATCCGGAAGAAACCGAGGATGAGGAACCGGTTGTCCACTCATCATCCTCAGAATGGTAATCACCACTGAAATCAGACATACCGAAGGCATAGTCGGGCGAGTGGCCATTGCCGATTTCCAAAAAGTCGTAATCCCATCGGAATTCCTTGTCGGGTTGAAGCCTCGCGAGGAACTTGGTTTTTGCAACATAGAAGGTGCAAGTGGCCACTAAACAACAATTAATTTGAGCAAAAAAGTGAGAATTCTTAGAACTTACGGAAACTGCCCGCAATGAGGTCCACAGCATAGTGGTGCTGGAGGTATAGGGTGGCCCACCATATCCAGAGGATATAAGTGTAGAAAAGCCATTTCGCACGAGGGAAGACGTGTCCCATGAACAAAGCCTCGATGGTTGCGCAGCCGGCGTGGAGGGATGGCATGGCGCCAAAGACCAATGGAGCGGCGGTAAAGGTGGAAGTGTAAGTGTTCCAGCCAAACAGCTTATCAATACGAGCAAGACCCGCCGGTGATCCCGGCATCGAGTAATTGGCAGGAGCCAGCCCGTGAAGATTCTCATACCCTAGTTCCAAGGTTTAGTTTACAAAGTCAAACGTGCCATCAAATGAGATGAAGACCTACAAGGTGGAGAGCACGGGAACATCAATTGGATGGCGACACCAATGATGTTCATGTAACCAAAACTACGGGCAAAGACAGGAACAGTTCCGGGTGCCGCAAAGATGAACATGACGGCGGAGCAGACAACCGGTGCACCAAAGTGAATAACACCATAAGGAAGCCATGCAAGGACATCCAAGAGTGCATTGGTGTTTTTTGACAAGATGTTACTAAGGTTGGCGCCGTAGATGATGTTCTCGAGAGCGGGAAGCACACGAACCCAAATGGGAGGGCGCCAATCGGAGGGGATAAACCTTCAAAAAAATCAACCATGTTAGTGGCTAGCAACAACAAGACGGATAAACGGATTCCCGTCCACGTGACAGATTCAACGGGAAGCCTCAAGAAGGAGGAATATGGAAAAAGAGGAAGAGCAAAGTCCAAATGTACCTGCATGCGTAATACAAGACCAACCACCCAGCAACGGGCAGAAATGGCAGGAAGAACTGTCGCGTGATGGGCAAGATAAGAGAGGTAATTAAAAGGGTGGAAATTAAGGTTTTAATGATTGCACCCGGCGTTTCTATTACGGACAAACAGAAGATTCCCAAGATGACGAGAAACAGGTATTGACCGTCCCAATAACTCCAACGATGAGCCCTGAGTGCACGGATGGTGTCGGCAGGATCGTAGGATGTTTGCAAGGTCGAAAGGTTGGAGGTTGGTGACTGCCCACTCCTCATCCGAGATGCAAACTTCCTCCGAACCCTGTGGAAGCCCGGAATCGAAGGCCAACCCATCAGGCTCTGCTTCTTGAAAGATGGATGCGTGTCCAGCATTCCTGGAAACAATTTCGATGCAGGTGACTTCATGTTGTGGGGCACTCCAATCCAAAGGAAACGTCCGGAAGGGCCGGGGGAAGTGCTGTTTGCGAGGCTTCCGCGACGGTTCAGAGGAAGGGGGGGGGGGGGTTTCGGGTGAGAGGAAGAAGGGTCGAGAGTTGATTACGCAGAAAGCAACAACGCTCCGTCAGCGGATGAGGAGGTGAGGGAGAGAGGGATGAGGAGGGAGTGAAGAACGATCAACGGTCTTTCTTCGGAAGCGAGAATGGGAGTGTGAGGGCGCACGGGAGGGTGGGAGACGGGCGAATGCAAAGGGAAGAGGAAGAAGGAAGCGGAAGGTTGCGAGTACTAAGTACTCGGTAACCATACGGGGTGGACATGGTAAATTGCCTGAGGCTGGGCATCCCAGCGGTCCAACAAAAATACGTGCACAATTTGGCCCAGCAACAGCTTGCCATTTCCTGGCCCCCTCCCGGTCGGGCCACAAGTTGTTTACCCTGGCCCATCCAATCTCCCATAAACCATCATCTGATATTTCAAGCACCTTTTACGGTTAGTTAGATACTATATAGGGATAAGCTTAATACCAGCCCGTCTGTGCAATCCTATTCTATTTTTTTTTTTCCAGGGACATTTGGACCAACTACCGTACCGGCGGCCCAGCAGCGTACCGGTAAGGCGTTGCAAGTATTTCCAATTGTTACAGGAACCCGATGCCCTTTCACCCATCCACGATCACTCTGGTCACTGTAGGAGTGAATACAGTGAGCCAGAATCGTTCACTCACGAGCGCAGCTCGGTGTCCTACAGAGCTATCATACCTGAACTTGGCTGTCAGTTTGCCCGTGCACGCTTCCCCCAGGCGAAAGGCTGTTCTTGCTTTTCGAACTCGAGTACCGTACCGTATCTGCATCTCTTTTTCTTTTTTTTTCTTTTTTTCTTTTTTCTTTTCCCTCCTTCCCACGTTCGAGTCATGATTCACGGTTCTCCTCCATTACCACACATTTGCAGTTGCCATCACTTGCATACAACGGCCGGAAAATGAGGTCATAAAAATTTTCTGCTCGAGGATGGTATCGTGCCGGTATGATACGAGCAACATTCTGTGGCTAACCCTCTCACCGTCTCCGAAGCTGGTCAACCAAAATTTCGATTCTCCAACAAAGCACGAGAGGGGAAAGAGGAATGGAGAGGGAGAAAGAAAAAAAAATATTATTCCCAATCGTGGCTTGGCTACGCATCCTTCGTTCTCCTCTTCGCTCCGCCCTCCCCCCGTACCGTTATTCAAATCTCTTTCTGAAGTGCTTGGCGCCCGGACAAGGGTCTCTCCGCCGAGATGAAATGGAGAGAGCCTTGATTCGTTTAGGGAAGCTGCTCCCCTACCGCCGGATATTCATCACCCCGAACCCCCCCATTGGCGATTTATCATCACCCTTCTTGAATCATCCGTCTCCGTGCCGACCTCCATCATCACGAGCTGCAGTCCCAATAGCGACTCGGTAAGCACAGCAGGTGCTGGAAACCCCTCGAATTCAAGGCGGAAAAAGAAAAGAAGAGTACCGGTAAGAGTAAAGATAGGGTACGGTATGAGAGACAATATTGTACGAGTACGGTAAGTTGGTTGGGAAAAGTATGGGTGATCATGCATGAGTGCAGAGCTGTCCGTACCATCGTGACCCTTATCTACCACACGTACTCTCTTCAATGCGCCCGTATCGCCAAAGGATGGTAAATGCGAATCACAATATACCGGTACCGGTAACTTATATTGCTCTTGGTATTTTGAAGCTCTCCAACGGTTACCGGATCGACCAGCTTCCGTGCCGGCATTTGCACTCTAACTTTGTTTCTTTGTTCCGGGTTTAGGTGCTTGTACTGTACTGTACAGTACTTTGCAGGCAACCCGGAGATCGTACGAGCCCAAGTATCATAACCAACTTAACCCCCCCAACGCGACTGGGCCCTTGAAAGGCGACCCGAAATTGGTCGGATCATCAAAAGACCAAACGCTCGGAAATTATTCCCTTTTTTTTCCCTTCTTGCAAATAATATTTATTGAAGGTTGGATTCTCGTGGAGCAAATCCTGCTTCGTGCCGAGCCCTTGGTGATGCGGGGCTTACTTCATTGCCGGGTCTAACTACTTGGGTAGCGGTAGGTGAAAAACGGGGCCGTTTTAACTTTCAACACGCGTAAGGGTACTCGAACTCGAGTGTGAGAGCAACAACGTTTTTTGTCTTGTCTTGTGGGGTTACCGTTTCCGGGATGTAGCATGGGACTGCTGCAACTCGTAAAGCGCTGCTGCTCCGTGGTCGACGGAAGACGCCCAGCAGCTCGTCGCGCGCGCGTTAACGAGTGAAAGCGTAGACCAGCACTTGCGCGGCTGCGTGCTCGGGCACTGCTCGAGTATCCGGAAACACACTAAACGCCTCCTTCCCCCCGCTCTCACTCTCTCACTCTCTAAGCCCCACGACGTACGAAGCGAAACGGTTGAGAAAGTGCCCGTGAACACGGAGGATTCGCATGCTCGAATGGTGCAACGCTACGGTAGGCAGGATACCCGCAGTCCAATGGCTAATTTAGGTCCCGAGAGCGAATGTGGCTGGCGATGGTGTATCATACCTCAAGTATTGTACGGTATTGCACCGTACTCGAAGGCAAGGTCATGGCCGTCTTCCTTGCCGCAATAAATAGCTACCGGTGCTCTATCATGAAACGAAACCCGGTTGCTGGCATATCGCATTCTTGTGCAACTTACAGGCACCCGTACGAGTACAGTTCGGTACTGCTGAGCATGATACAGCCACCCAGGGATGCAAATAGAACCCAATCTGTATCGGCCGTGATGGATGATCCCCCTTTCCTCACTGTAAACCCCGGGGCCCAGAGCCGGCTACCATACTGTACTGGTATTATAGGTAAAAGTAAAAGTCCGCACCCGAAGGGGAGGGTTCCTGCAGTTAATCTTTCCGCTACCCAAAGTTCAGGCGGGTCATGTAAGTTGAATACCGTGGTCCTACACCCTACTACCGGTGCAAGGGCTCTCTCAACTCAGCATCAGGGTATCGGTACCGACATCGACCTTACCATGGGTGCCAGTGTGCCTTCTTGGTGTGCCTTCTTGAAGGGAATAAATAGCGCCTGGGCCCAACGGCTATTTTGAAGATCTTGCCAGCAGAGCACTAGTAGACTACAGTACGGTAGACGTGAAGCGTACGTGGGGTATTTTGCAATACGGTGCGATGCAGTGCCATCGTTAGAAGCCGGGCTGTACGAGTACCGGTAGACTAAGCCATGGAACGTCTCAGTGCGGTGCTTTCTTTCCGGAGCGGGGAGAACTTTCATCCTCTTCAGGATGAGAAGTACGCCCGCCCGTGGCGCAGTGCCCGGTGTGGAGTTACTACAGCAGTGACCGATGGCGATTTTTTTTCTTTCTTTCTTTTATTTCTCTACGGTATGATACGGTACAGTGGCTTCGCTTACCGGTACTCGTACCGGCACAGGGAGGATGGCGGTCACCGTAGTCTACGAGTACAGTACTACAGTGTGATACGAGCATGATACGAGGTGCGAGACTTGCATAAATCAAGATGCGAGTGCTCACGCGAGATCCTATGCGCGCCTTGTTTTTTTTTTGCTCCACATACCGGTAGTGCCCTACGGCACTCGAGTACGAGTAGCAGTCATAGGCTATGCTACAATTGACAGGTCACGTGTGATCAACTAAGGGCGCTCTAAGCCTAAAGCGGCTTGAGGTTGGTGTCTTGACGAGAGCCGCACAGAGGGGCGGGGATGTGGTAAGGATTTTAATTGGAAATTTTTTTTGAGGGGATGAAGATTGAGAAAGAAGGGCGAAAAAAGGAATAAAGGAAAACCCTTTTTGTGCAACGTCAATTCTTTTTTTTTCTGAGGAGCGTCACTTTCGATATCTAACCTATCGATAATATCGATAAACCCATCATAACGAACACTCTCCTTCTCTCCCTTTCTCCCCACGCCGCCTCTGTTCGGCCCTGCGGGCAATCACGTTCATTACGCCCCCGGAAAAGAAGCAAACGGTTCGTGCTGTTGCTGCTCTCCGAGTTTCAATGTTCAGGAACAATTTTCGCTGCTCATTGTTCCAGCCATTATCCCGGATCATAGCCGGAACGACGCCATCGATAGCAACGACAGCCTTTTCATCGTTATGGAGGTTGGAGTTTCCGGGCAGGTTTTTCTGCGTGCCATGTCAAGCCCGTGCCTTAGCCAGTCAGGCCTGGAATGGGCGTGGGACTCGAGCCCCTGGGTTTCTTGGAACGATAAAGCGTTTAGAGGCCCATATCCAGCTCATCGAGAAGCGGGCTGCCGATCTTGCGGCCCGGGATGCTGCCAGGAAGGTTTGTCGGTTTGTATCTTATCCGGAACCCCTGATCCGTGTTTTGCTGATCGATGGTGCTGGTAAACGGCCTTACAGAGACTGCCGGATCTTGAAATGACGGAGGAATTGCAGGATCAAGCCTACGCAGCATTGATGACGCCCAGGTCGGAAACTGCTGCCTTTCTCCCCCAACCGGTAGCCATGTCCGAGTTGTTGCCGGCCCCGATTATCGAACGGCTTGGGAGCGCTGCCGCCTTGGTTGATACTTCGACGCCGGCTTGGGGTGCGGCGATTGGACATCTGGGATCCAACGGGGGGTTCCAGGGGATGGAGGTCGTGGATGTCAATTGCCTACTAGTGAATATGGACCTTGAGAGCAGGGTGGAGCATACATGCAAGTTGCGGGAAATGATGGAGAAGGCAGAATTAGAGCCCGATACCTTTACATATGACCTATTGATGATGGCTCATGCGCAGTTGAAGCGCCCGGAGGAGGTGATACTCTTGTTTCAGGATCTCAAAAGAAGTAAGGGATTGGTTCCTGAAAAATATGCCCTGAACCCTGGATTCCTTCGACTGACACAACGCTACCAACAGAGGGCGTGCCTCCCACCGTATTTACTTATGCCCATCTCCTTAAGGCATATTCTCTCCAGGCAGATGTCGAGGCGGCTGGAAGGGCTTTCACAGAAATGCGTGAGGCCGATATCCAGCCGAACATTGTATGTGCCACTAGGTTTATAGCTATCTCCTTGGTTCAGGATCGAATTGTTATTATCGATGGTGGACCTCTAATTTTTGAGCTTGATTTAGGTCGTCTATACCACCCTGATTCAAACATGCCTAAATCGTCGTGAAGTTCTCACAGCTTGGCAGATATTCGACCTTATGAAGTTGAAGTCCAGAGCAACGGCACCAGATGCCCACACCTTTGCGCTGATGTTGCATGCATGTGCTCTGGAGGGTGAGAGCGAGAGGGCGCTGAATCTCTTTAGAGATATGACGGAACGTGTGGGGGTGAAACCTACGAAAGAGACATACCATGCTCTGATCCACGCACTCGCTATGCGGAAAGACTGTTACCGGGAAGTATGGCGGTATGCTACCGAGATGCAGCAAGAGGGGTTCAAAATGGACCGGAGAGTGCTCGGAACGCTGATTCATGCTTGCGGGAAAATGGGAGACCTGGCGAGGGCCAGAATGTTAATAAGACACATGCTGGGTAGTGGGAGGGAAGACATGATCCCGGACTCAGTAACTTATCAGTGCCTGTTCAGAGCGTATGCAAATGCCAAGGTGAAGCGCAACGGTGCTAGATTTGTGCGGGACGAGCCATCCGAGACCCCGGTGCCCTATATAGGGCCAGGCACTATATTGATGAAGCAGGAGGGGAGCTTCGAGGAGGACACCATACCTTTCTCCCAAAGCGCCATTCTGCATACCCCCTCGGAAGTTGTGGAAGAAGCAGGACGAGTCATGAAATGGCTCTGCGCCGTAAAACCGCACTTGGTAGATACTCAATTGGTGAACGCCTTGCTCGATGCCTACTCCGGCCAGGGCCGCTACCTCAAATTTAGAAAGCTCTACTTTACGGCTTTCACCGACCCCAAGGAATCCGACTATCTGCGGCCGACCGCCTCCTACACCGAGGCCGAAGGCCTAACCTTCGAACCTAGTGCCAGTGTCCCTGCTACGGCTACGATAGGCACAGATACGGATGCAGATGTGGACGCGGGGCTGGACAAAAACACCGGTCGAGATTTGCCCGACGAACCCACACTCCGAAAGAGGGTCCCCAGAAACCTGTACACCTTCCAAGCCGCCCTGAACTGTGCCTACAAATGCCGCGATCTACCGTTCGCTAGGAAGATCCGTGACGCCCGCATGAAGTACCTCCGCACGAAACAATACTACTCGCAGTACCGCGAGCCCGAGCGGACAAGGCTAAACATGGAAGCAGAGTGCTCGCTGATCAACATCCTCGCGCGTTGCGAGATGCTTAGCGAGGCTGCGGCCCTGCTGCAGGCCGCCTGCCAGAAGTACAGTATTTGCGAACCGGACATAGAAACACTGCATGTCAAGGCACTGCAGTTGGACGACACGCAGACGTTGAATGTTATCGAGACCTGTGTTGGGCCTTTGCCGTACCGCGGTTACACTGTTGGAAAAAGGGTTAGACCACGGTGGAGGGGTGAGGATGAAGTCGAGGATTTGTCGAGGACATGTTGATCTTGTTCCTCATTTTCTTATTTTTTCATTCATTGTGCATAATTACGAGTGATAAAGGGTGATTTTGAGTTGTATATAGCCTGGATGCCCCCCCCCTTTCTTTTTGTTGACAAGGAGGAGGCAAAGAGCTTGGAATGGGCGGTTCCTCTGAAAAGTTTTTTTTTTATGTAAAATGTATGATATCTTGTATTTGTGCTATTACCTTGGAGAATAGCGGAGTATGGGTAATCGACTGTGTGGTTGCTCTGTTCTTAACTCGTGACAAGGAAAATCGGATGGACTGGAACACTAAAACTAAAGTACATGTGGGTATAAAAATGCATTTAATGAATAGAGAGATTATACCCATTCCCTCGTTTCCCCTCCCCCCTCGCCAATCCCAACCAACACCATTCCCAATCTCTACGACACATACCGTTATCATCATAACGTCCAACTCGCGCTCTTGACTCTTCTCTCCTTCCTTCTCTCCTCCAAGAAAGAGTGGCAAAAACTGGCAAAAGGCTGGCAAAGAGAAACAAAAAGCGTTTGCGCGTTCTCACGAATATTCCTTACAAAAGTAAAGCTCAAGTCAAATCGAACCGAATATCAAATAGAATCAAATCAAGCCAATGAACGGACAATCATCTCACGCCCCCCCCCCCCCCCTCTCCCTGCCTGTCCTTGTCCGCCTACCAGCTACGCCAAACCGTGTGTGGGCAAGATACCGGAACGACCAGCAAGCAGGGAGGGGCGAACGGACAGAGAAAAACGAGAGCGGTAGAAGGTACTAGAAGGATAAGAACAGTCATAAGAGTCATTAAAAAGGAAAGCAATGAACAAAAACGAATGAAGCTTTCTGAAAGTCCTTTCCAAAGTTAAAAGACTAATCTTAATGAGAGAGTAAATGATGAGCCCCCGAATACCCCAACCTTCAGCTCAATAGCGAAAGAAAGGGAAGAAAGGAAAAAAAGAGAAAAAAACAAAAAAAACATTCCCAAGCGAGTATCCAGTGACCCCTCATAAGAGCGAACTCATGGAAGATGTGATCATAGAAAAAGTGGAAAAAAGAAAACCGCAACATCTCCCGATACTCCATATACGAACTAAAACTTTTTTTAGCCACCCAAAATGCACCCTATCCTTCCCTTGCTTTGCCTTCATTTGCCTTTCGTTTCCTTTTCTTGGTTCGTTGGTAGTCGTCATAGTAGTATTCGTTTTGCTACTCTCTGGTTTTATTCGAAAGAGGAGTGGAAGGAGGAGAAATTCAGCAGAAGGAAAGAAAAGCAGAAAACACGCACACATAAACAAATTCACCTGGGATCGCTCGCGTATACAATAAAACAGGCATTATAAAAACGTGTAACGCGTACCAGGTCAGTAAATAAAAAATGGAAAAAACACCAAATAGGATGCGAAAAATAATGCAGAGATAGATGGATGAACAGGCAGAGGAAGTTTATATTCCTCTCTTTGTGGTTAATCAGTAAAAACTACCATTTTCAGCGTTGGTCATAAACTCGGGCTTAATGTAGATGTCGTCGTCAAAGTTCAATATGCTCGGGTCTCTCTCCAGTGCCGTCAGGCCGAGCATATCCATGCCATCCTGGGAAAATAAGCCGAACTCCTCCGCACCAGATGAGGATGCGTATTCATCTAGTGAGCCGAATGATCCGATGCCAAACTTCTTCATGGAAGCTCCTACTACCTGCTCTGTCGTTGTGGTTGTCGTATTTGCCGCGAGGGGTCCATACGAGGGCACAAGGTCACTTTCGGCCAGTGAACTAGACCCAACAGAATTCCTATTTGACGACGGTGAGGGTGGGGAGACGAACGACTCGAAGTCATATTCATCGCTTGGAGAGGTTGGGGGGGAATACCCAGGTGATTCCGCGGGCTGGGCGAGGAAATCCGACGAGCTTTCTCTACAACGGGGTGTTGCCTCCTCTTCCTCGCCAGAGATTGGGGTATGAGGCGGCGGGGTCTGGGGGAGCGGACTACCAAAGTCTGGGAGCTCGTAGGGTGTCTGAGGGTTTGAGGATCCTGATGACCCATCCGCTACCGTGCTGTCAGAAGTTTCCTCTGCGTTCAATTTTTGGTCATCCTCCGGGAGGGGCTTCTTGCGGGGCCTTCCTCTCTTTACCACCTTCTTCACAATGCCTTCAAACGCGCCAACGCACATCCCTCTCTGTCTGTGCCGTGTCAGTGCGTCGTGCCTTGCGAACGAATTACCACACAAGCAGGGGTATGGCTTGACCCCTGTGTGGATCTTGGAGTGTCTCTTCAAATCGTGCTGTCTCACAAAACACTTCCTGCATGCCTCGCATCTGTATTGCCTATCTCCAAGGTGGGTTTGAACATGTGACTTGATGTTCTCTTTTCTTCCAAACCTCTTTTTACATTCTGGGAAGAGACAAAGCCACTTGCTATCCTGATCAGGGCCAGAGATGAAGCTTGAGATCTCCTCCATTGTGATGCCAGAAGACTTTGCTCCGAGTGGCTGGGTGAGATGGGGCGCTGGTACTCGGACCCGCACCGGTGAAGGGGTCCCGGGAACACGGCGGGGAGCTGGAGCCAATTGAGGAAGATCTAATGCCGGGAGGCTATTAACTGAGGGCGTCGAATGTTCGGGAACCGTTGGCATGGCATTGGCGCCGGAACTTTTATAGAGAGCGGTGTGCTTCATTTCTGGGGTGGATGGAACCGAAGAGAATGATGGTGACATGGCAGAGGACACAGGGGAATAGTACGACTCCCCCTCACTCTCAGAGCTCATACTGACTGCTGCCATGCTTACGAAGTTCGGATGGGGCAGAGGTGCAAGATCAAACGTGCTTACGGGCTGCAGCTGTCCGGTATGGGGCGGGGTTGGGAGGGAATCAGATATCCCATTTTGTTGGAGCAAGTTGTGTTCTCCACAATCTTCCAGGGGGAAGGTAGCTCTTAGCGGAGAACTTGACGCGACCATTGATCCCCGTCTTGGTGTTAGAGATACTGGTGATCCAATACTAGACAATAGATCGTCTATCATTTGTGCTGCATCCTGGTTTCCTGCAGGAAAGCATTCGAAAGGAGTCTGTGGGGTGGCTATATAGAATTCTAGTAAGTAACAGTGAGCGAGTGATAATTTATGAGTAGTTCAGGTACTTACCACTGGTGTGCTGGCTGGGGGGTGTCCGTGGCCTCTGGGCCTGCAGCGTGCAAAAATTATTAAAATTATCCATCGTCAAGTGCTGTTGGTCGTGACCACAATTCACACCAATTTCAAGATTTTCCATGTCCCTGGCCGGGTACACGTGGCCATTGCTTAGTCTAGGGCCAGCCGACCCAAGCATCATGAGGTCCGGAACGGAATAATGTCTTCGATGTTGCTGCACTCGATACCCTTCTTTGTGGCGTGATGGTGTTGGGTATGATGCCGGCACTTGTGGTTGTCTACGTTGCTGTTGCTGTTGTTGCCTCTTGTTGTCTTGTTTGGCCTCGTGAATAGGGTTCTCAGTGACACTCGTCAGTCGGCGAGGCCGTTGGGTCTTCTTCTTCGGTGATTGCAACATGGACTATATGTTAAGTAGACTCAATCCTGAGCAAGTATCGACCTGCGACTATTCTTCACGTGAGAAATGGCACAGACCACCTTTAGAAAAACAGAGCGTGGGGATCGGCTAACCTGACGAGAATTTGTTACTCGCAGTAAAGGATACAGGGCTAGAAAGCGAGAGGATAGCAGCCAGGGGGTATATTTTCTTGGAAAGAAGGAGATAAAGAGTGAGAGACTGTGTGGGTCGAGTAGCAAAACCACGCAAGACAATGCCAGGAAACAGTTAAGTTCTCAGCAAGCCCGAAATTAAGTGATTCTGTGCTAGCAAGAACCAGAGAGCGGATGAATGCTTCTGGAATAATACCACCGACTATGTTAGTGAGAGCTTCTTCGGAAAAGCTCTTTCGGGGGCCTTCACCGGCGGAGACGATGGTGATTATTGTTATATTGTGAGCAGAAGCGGAGGGAGAGAGGAGGTAGTGAGGAGAGGAAGGAGGTGGAGGAGGGGTGAAGATGAGACGAGATCAGTATCCAAGCGAGGGATGGAGAGAGAAGAGGAAGAAGAAGATCACGGTGTAAGGCGAGGAGGATGAGCTCTAAAGAAAGAGCTCTAGAGAGTTTGTTTACCAAATGTCTTGGCAGGTGTCGGTTGCTACAACAACCTGTGTTTCTCCAGCGCGTTTACACACATTCCTGAGTGACGCCATACCCGCATTCACGTGATACCGCGTCTCCGCATGGCAACCGGCCGTTTTGTTGTCTTGGTTGTTGATTACATAATACATATCTAGCCTCTTGTGACTGCTGTTTAGCCCCCTTCATGGATCCACCACACAGATCTCAGTTCGTCATGCTTGTGATCCTCTTTCCCACCAAGATCTTTTTCCCCGCTAACGACTCAACCAACATCGAAGGTAGTACCAATCCCCCGATGAACTTTGCTTCTTTGCATTTTTGGCTGGGATACTAATTTCGATATCCTACAGACGCAATTATTGCTGAGCTGTGGTTATTCGGTTTGCCCTCTCAATATATTGAGATATTCGAGATTCTATAGCCTAACTTGGGGTTTCTTTTTTCAGACAACAATGCAAATTTTCGTCAAGACCCTCACGGGTAAAACCATCACCCTTGAGGTTGAGTCTTCGGACACTATCGACAATGTCAAGAGCAAGATCCGTACGACCCCCAAAATCCAATGCTCGAGTTAGAGGTTCTTTCAAGCTTACTGATGAGGCGAAATAGAGGACAAGGAAGGAATTCCCCCAGACCAGCAGCGTTTGATTTTTGCCGGAAAGCAGCTTGAGGACGGCCGCACCCTTTCAGACTACAACATTCAGAAGGAGAGCACCCTCCATCTCGTCCTCCGTCTTCGTGGTGGCGGTAAGAAGCGCAAGAAGAAGGTTTACACCACCCCGAAGAAGATCAAGCACAAGCGCAAGAAGTGAGTCTATGCAGGAGTTTTCGGTTCAAATCTGGCAATAACTGACAAGACGAATTATTTAGGACCAAACTTGCTGTCCTAAAGTACTACAAGGTCGATGGTGATGGCAAGATCGAGCGTCTGAGGCGCGAATGCCCAACTGAAGGGGTCAGTAACTATCCCTAGACCTGGATGCCTTCCCCGAGCTATAATAATACACTTTGCTAACGATCGTTTGATTAGTGCGGTGCCGGTGTCTTTATGGCTGCTATGCCCAACCGCCAATACTGTGGCAAATGCCATCTCACCTATGTCTTCGAGGATGCTTAGGTTATGTCCCCGAGACAGATGGGGAAGAAATCGCGGTGTATATGTAACATGATCCCACTGTGGTTGAAAAAAAACAAAATAAAGGCATTTTCCAAATCCAGGCTTGGGTTATCCACTTCCGCCTGGACATTGCCAAATATTAGTGATTATGCTGCTCTTAAGAATTAGCGGTGGTATAGATGAACTAATCCTCCTCTAAAGCATAATCGTAGATCTTACCAACCTGAGGGATAACCTTAGGTGGCTCTGCCTTTCTCTGTACTATGAACTAGCTCTTCGCCTTCAACTGATGAAAGGATTGGCCAGGGTCTTGTGTCTCGATGGCTCTCTTGTTGCGTCTCTTTATCCCAGCCCAGCCTCCAGCAGGGAACCGGTGCACCTGCGCCGGCACTGCACCTCCACTATAAGTTAATGCCCTATCATGGCAACCAAATTCCGGGCGATACTTCCAAGGAATCCCCACAAGCAGTCTACGATAACAGCCGCTAGGGAAAAGGAACAAGCCGGACCAGACAGTGCCGGCCTTGGCAACACCATTGTATACGACGGAACAAGAGGGGGGGGAAACGATGAGAAAAAGGGTTCCAACAAAGTTTATCCGCTCCGTAACGCTCTTTCAATCGATCCCTTTATAATGTTCCCCAGGAATACCAGTGCCCTAACAAACAATCACGGGCTACTCGAGAGCTACCGGATGGTATGATAGCGTTGAACGCTGAGTTGGTCGAATCCCGCGCAAGAAAAAATAAAATAAAAAATAAAAGTCAAACAGCGCACTCTAGTGTAGCCTCCCCCAGTCAGCCAAACTTCTCGTCCGCAATACTCGTATAGTAAGTTAATCACTTGTACGAGCACTTGTAGCTAGTTAGTCGGACGGACGGACGGATAGGCGAATGGACAGGAACCCCCTATTAGTATCACGTTCCAAACATGTCATTTGATAAGCAAGTGCAAACACCGCAGCACTTGTGCGTATTATACAAAGTGTTGTGTAGGTACGGTACGGTACGGGTACTCGAGTACTGTACGAGTACTCTAGCACTGGTGCTGTACCGTGCGATACCGGTACAGCAACGGTGGGGCCATATGCAGGGTGACCAGTCTAATTTCCCTCCGACATAAATTCTCCGGTATAGTAGTACCGGTACTTGTACAACGTAAGTAGCCGAAGTTTCAAGGTCGAGCAGGGGGGGGGGTTTTTTTGGTTACGGTATTACCTGGTACTGCGACGGGTGATGGTGAGTGTGGCTTGCTGGCCATTGCCACCGGCGCGATCCATTCTTTCGAGTTGTGTCGCGATACTCATACTCATGAGAGTGGACAAGGTGGAGTCATCAAAGGACTTCAAGTACTCTACCTTGCGATGCTGTGTTCCGGAACTGGAGCTTTGTATGATACGGTAGGTGGTTGGTTGTTTGGTACTATACAGTGCTGTCGGTTGGGATAAGTGGTGCTAATTTACATGATATCTTCCTTGCGGTGCAAGTACCGTATAGTATGAGTGCTTGTGAGGCTGAGAGAGGCTGAGAAGGCACCGGGCCTTTTTTCCCCTCTCCTTCACTCTCCATATTACGCTTGGATGGGGCGGAGATATCCGGAGCGTTTCGGTGCCGGTATTCGTGGGGAGAAAGGGTGCGTTTGTGTGCAATAAGGGGTCTTCCCCCGTGCTGCTTAGTAGAGAGTATGGCAGCGGTGCTGTGCGATACCGTACCGTATTCGTCCAACCTACCTGCTACAGGGCGCGAGGTGGAGTACGGTGCCCTGTGTGTGTCCCTGTGCTTGCACGTTTCAATTCCAAATTTTTTTGAATCAAATAAACGCCAAGTCTTGATACACTCTTGCGGCTAACCCTGCGGGGGGGGGCGGCGCAATGGTGAGCAGGGAGGGAGCCAGTGGTGGGGATTTTCAGCTGTAGCAGTGCGCGCGTATATAGGGATTGGGGGAATGATGCAATACGGTACGATAGTCATTCCCCCGGGTTCAGTGGCCATCATGGTGGCGATGGTGGGAAGGGTGCAATGGTTGGGCGCGATCCAATACCAGTGGTCTAACAGCGCCTGCACCGTACCGGTACCCGTAGTGATACGCAGGCCTTTCCGCTCGCGGCGACAGGAATGTCACGGAAACGTCAAATTCAGGCTTCTAGCTCCTGCCGAGCACCCTTAGGCTGATGCCTCGGGGTACTCCTGCTGGTTGATTGGGTTGGTTCGTGCACTCGTACCGCAGGTGGGTGGTCGACGTACTCGAGTACTCGAGTATGGAGGAGGGGAGCTTGGTGGAGATTACGAAGGGAATCATCGGATGGAAGGCAAGGAACGGTTAGGGTGTCTACTTGTACTGTCACGCACTGACTGGCATTACTAGGGTATCCGAGTACCGGTATTGGCTGAAGCTATCGCGGGAGCCTTTATTTTTTATTCTTTTAACAAAGACCGGCATCTCGAACCTGTTTGTTTTCCTTTTCCTTCTTCTTTCTTTCTGACTGGCGGTTCCGAGGGAATTCTTCTAACGTCGGCATTTCCTTCCCGTGAGCCCTCGTTACAAATAGCGACAGTGTTGGTTGGTTAGACCGGAGTTATCGATAGACAAAACGGTCCAGGGTGGAACCAGCAACTGCACGCCGATTGTATTTCTTCCCTGACCCATGAAGGCGCTGATAAAGTGAATTTTTTTCCTGGGGGAGGTTTCAACGTGATTCTACTGGGACAGTTCCGTCAGTCCTGTAGGGCCGTAATAATTAGCAGAAACCCAAATAATCCAGGGGCCAAGAATGCTAAAACCATACAACCTAGAATTTGGCAAATATACTCGAGGGTCGGGTAAAGTGCGGGCACAGTCTCGTGCTGGGAATGGAGAAGTGAAGTCACATCAAAGGCTCGACCAATAGTTGGAACACGGAAGGTCCGGTTGGGAAGGGGCTTGGATAAGTGGTTGTTAACTGAAAAAAAAAAAAACTAAACTCAATAAATACAGGTATCATCATATCGGAGCGTGGGGTTTTTGAGTCTTCTTCTGTCTGTCTCCTGCGTGTCCTAGGAAACGATCGACTTACCGGTGCCTGCGGTTGACAAGACACTTGTCGTTGAGCTTCACTGCGATATTGGTGGTGCAGTACAGGTACTGTGGCAGAGGGGTTGAACCCTACTGAATGGCTTTACCAAGGGAGGTAGTTGAGGTTGAGTTTATCATATCCTACTCAGGAAAACTATCTTTAGCCCCCGTCCATCATCCCCTGCCCGTTTTAACCATAAACTGATCGCCAAGATCAAGCCGCAAACCGAAAACGTTTCAAGCGAGAGTCCCCTGTTTAGGGTTCCAGGGACACCTTCCAACAACCGAAAAGCCCCCGGCGGCCGCTAGGCCTTTTAGGGTCTAGGAAAAATTCTGAAAGCAGGGGCGCTTACACTCATTCAGCATAGCTTAATCGAAAAAACTCTGTTGAGGTGCAGTTCTTGTCCCCTTCAGGGAGTCTTACGCCGTTTCAACAAACACCGGGAGTGAAACCTGGGCAAGCCTTTTTGAGGAACCCAATCCAACGAGAACGAGGGAAGAGGGAAGGAAGGGAAAAAGAAAGGAGAAAAGGAAAGAAATAGATACTCCTGTTGGTTGGATTACCCGCACCTTTCGCGTGATGGGATGATCGTCGGGTGGATTCCATCCATCACCGCCTTCAGAACGCGCGCTTCTGATTGTGAACAGCGCATGAAGACCCGACATTCGGTCGGGCTACAGGTTGCTTACCTGGGGACCACTCGTCTTGCAGCAACTGAGCTCTGGTTGACATGCTCAGGCATCCGCCTTGCTTGGCTGGAAGGAATAGCCTGGTTTGGTTATCACATAGACTATTCTTCTCTCATGCTCTGCATCAAAGATCCTCTTTGGGGGCTCTCTTCGGGGCCGCTTTCCGGTAGCACATCCTCGAGTGCTGGGGTGGTACTGGAAAGGAGCTGCCCCTTCTTTTTCGCCTCCTCGTGTAATGTACTGCCGGTAGTACTGTGCTCGTACCGCGGTGGATTTGGAGAACTCTTGCCGATGAGTAAGATACATAGGGGTCTAGAGGGGGGGCGATGGCGGTTTGGGGTGTTAGTAATGTACATGCGGTAATCAGGTCTCTGTCCCTCTGCGGGGGGTGCGATCTTAGCTCTCCCGGGTGATATTTGGTACAACCGCTTCTAGTCCATCGTGGGAAAGGGACGTGCAGATGTGGAGGGGAGGTAGGGGGGGAGGGGGGGAGAGTGAGTTAGTTTGTGGGTAGTTGGAAACGGGGGTTCATGTACGGACCGCCGTTTATATCTGCACCTATTCCCATCTATTTCTTGGTCTTTTTTTCTTCCCTTTCCCTTTTTCCTTTTCTCCCTATCCTCCACTTGTGGTGAATATCTTCAGTCATTCTTTGGTTCGGGCATTACCAGGGAATCCGGTTCCTTTCTTTCCTTCCCCTCAGTTTGCCATTCGTTCCCCTCTTGCATTGATTGCAATCAGGAGGCCCTCTCTCTCTCGATTTCTAGTCACACATCCCGGTGGTGCACTTTAATTACAATTTTTTTATCCATTTTTCTTGACTATCCTTTTATATATATTTTTTTTCTGCCTGAAGATATATAGCCCACCTACTTTCGGATAGGTCACTATGAAGTTCTCTACTAGCGGTTTTCTTATCTTCCTCCTGGCTTCCTCAGAAGTCATTACAGCCGCGCCAAGAAGGGGTCGTGGTGGTCGTCGCGGAAGGGGTAAGGGAAGGGGAGTTGGCGGTCCTTTTGGTGGGTTGATCCAGCGAATACCTGGCAATAGTTAATTAATATATTTACTAACTTTTTTGTGCAACCAGGCAATGGCACCGACATCTCAACGACTATTACGGGCAATGACGGAAAACCTACACCGACCGTGACGGATGTCTACAATCTTGTATCGACAACCATGACCTTGCCAGATGGGAAGGTCACAGAGACCGTTGTCCCCGATGAAGATACCCTGACCACCCTTACCGATGCCGGTGGAAGCGTCACCACTTCAACTTTGCCAGAGGAGACAGGGGTCGATGGGGACGATGGTGCCGTTCCTGAGGGTGAGGATGAGGAGGATGTGGAGGAACCTTCGGCTACCGGTGCTCCAACTGCTACCGACATCTTGCCGGCTGCTGGGACGAACTCTGCTACTCGGAGGAGGGGCGGGAATAATTCGGGGGCTGCTACTACTACTAGCAGGAGGGGTGGGAACGGGAATGCTAGCAATACTAGCAGGGGGACTAGCACTACATCGTCTTCGAGTGCTAGTGCTAGCCCTACCGGCAGAGGTTTGTGGATTCTCCAGTATTCATGTCTGGTACGCCGCTAAATTGCATTATAGGAAACAATGGCGGGAACAATGGCGGAAATAACAACGGGGGAAACAATGGGGGAAACAATGGGGGAAACAATGGGGGCAATAACGGTGGAAACAATAATCTCGCTCTCGACCCTGACAATGTTCAAGATGCCAGCACCAAAACCGGCCAGGAAGACGGCGACGATCCCAATCAAGCCGACTCGCTTACTGACGGAGCTAACTTCATCAATTTCTGCAAAGGAAAGACACTGACGAACGGCCTTCAAGTCAAGAGTGGCTCTTGCAATGGCATCGTCATGGGAGATATCCCTTCCACTTCCAACATGGTCTCCACGATCATCACTTCTCCTACGCCCGGCCAGAACATCCAGGCAGACACTGAGTTCACTGTTAAGGTTACCACTGAGAATCTGGTTGCTGGAAGCTTTACCAGTATGTCTTCACCTTTCCTATATGCACATTCTAGCCTGTGCTAACATCAATCCCCCAGACCCTGCAAACACCTATTATGCCGCCCCACAGCAGCTCCAAGGTGGGAAGGTTATTGGACACACCCACATTACCATCCAAAAACTCGATGCCCTGGACACCAATAAGGCACCCGCTGCCGATGTGTTTGAGTTCTTCAAAGGTATCAACGACCCTGGTGATGGAAATGGCAACCTTGAGGCTGTCGTTACCGGTGGTCTTCCTGCGGGCGCATATCGTGTTTGCACCCTTAGCTCTGCATCCAACCATCAGCCGGTTATCATGCCGATCGCTCAGCGTGGTGCACAGGATGATTGTACCAAATTCACTGTTGGCGGGAATGGTTAGTTCTCATGTTCTCTCACTCGGTATACTAAAATCTCGAAACTGACTGTTTATAGGAGGCAATAACAACAACGGTGGAAACAACGGGGGCAGAGGACAATAATCTCCTCCCCACTTAAGAAACCCATCCAATAACCCCTATTCGTAATCTTCTTCTGTACAAGTATTATTAGTTTTCTTATTAGTTTTTTCTTTCTTTTGAGTCCGCTTTGTTCATCTCGCCATCCTGCGCCCCCCCCCATAGTCTTCACCTTGCTTCCAGTGGAAGCCCGGGAGGACTTCCCCCCGATTGTCCCCGGCCTCAACCGTTGAACTCGATGCATGCATCGGGCCATCGTGTAGTATATAGTCTATTGTACTGTATTATTTATCACAATTGGATACCGGTTACTCGAACTTGAACTCTGTTCCCTGCTATCTCTAATTTTACAATCTTGTTATTTTATAGATTTCCTTTTTCTAACCACATTGCCGCCGCCACCCCCTCCTTTTGGGATGGCACTGCAATTTACACTGTGAGCGCGGGGCGTGACGTTGTCTGATGCACTAACCGTTACAGTGCGCGGGGGGAAGTGCAGTAAGCAAGCAAGGGGGTATTTGGCGCGCCGCGATTACGGCGTTTCGAAATGGCACGTTAAACTCTAAAACCACGATACTCTTATGAATCGGATTCCGAGATAGCGCCGAGCTAAACATTATCGACTCCATTGTGATTGTAAGGATCCGCTTACCCATATGGTAGACGGCCTTCTATGATACCTGTGTAGTGGGGGTCGGGAGGGTGTTTACCCAGCACGCCGTCTACGAGTATGATATTATCATACGATAGAATATCTAGTAGCAGTTGCAATGGCAGAGGGTTTTTCGCAGCGAGACCTACGTGGTGCCAATACAAGTTAGGGACAAGGTACCACGGCTTGGCCACCCGACTCTTCAGTCCCACCCGGTCGAGGTGTAAAAGCCCCGAACCGAAATTGGACCTGGAATTGAGGGCTTCAAATACCCACCTCCACTACACTTTCATGCCTCCATCAGAGTATGATTTTGTATCATAGTCGTTCTTAAGCACAATCCTAACAAAAAGAGGGGGTTTCAGGAAATCTAAGAATCGGCTACTGTTGTGAGCACTTGAAAGGATGGGGTTTAGGAAACTCAATAGTTGTCGGGGGTCCTATTATGGGCTGGCTGGCTGGCTGTTGATGGGTGTGGCAACCCCTCGCAGCGCTTTTAATAACTCCTACCTAAGTTACGGTAGGTCCGGCAGCGCGAGCTCTCGATGTCGCGTTTTGACAGTTTTAACTTGGCAACCGGAATCTGGGACTGCCCGATTTTTTTTTTAAAACTGTCGTGTGGATATGGTATTATAATTATGATACCTCTATCTTGGCCTTGGCGCGATCGTTCAGTCTCCCCATAGGAATTTTATATAGATGTTGTGATTGGGGGGGGGGGGGCGGGGAGGGTTAGGTAAACGGACCCTAATTATTATTATTTAGTCTTTTTTTTTTTTTTTTTTTGTATTGTATCATGATATTATTAGCAATATTATACTGTTCTCATTTCAGTAAAGCCCTTTATATATATATATAAAAAGACTCAAATCATGTTTCTGTTCTCCCTCGAGACAGGATACCGGTATGTCTACAACAATCAAAGCTCCCTCCACCTGGCCTGTATGATAATACTAGTATATTTTCTCTTATACAGGTATAGTACAGTACAGTAAAATAGTTATCTCAGCGGGCGGGGTGAATTAAAAAATAAAAATAAAATCTGCGGGAAAAGTCTTCATCTTCATCATCCGAGGAGGGTAGGGACGATTTTGAAATCGTGATTTCCTTTTGGCGCGACCAGCGCTTCCTAAGCAAGCAAGCAAGCAAGCAAGCAAGCGGTGGGTACTGTACAAGTGCAGTTACAGTTACAGTACTGTATAGTAAGTAAGTATCACGGATGTGTAATATCTGTCATGCTATCGTGTCGTACTGCACTCGTACCTGCTCTTGGCGTGGCGCTGAATAAAGGGGTTGTGGCGACGGTTGTGTGCGATGACTGGATCGCCTTAGCGGTGCGGGGGTGGGGGCGGTGGAATGATATTGTGTTTATTGTGGAATTTACGGTGATGCGATGTTTTGGGTACGCGGGTGGATTAGCACTCGTATCATAACCATGAAGTGCTACGGTATATATATCTGATTTCTCTGGAGGTTGGCTCGCTAGGGTTCCCCCTTTCTGGCATCATGGATGGTCACTCGGCGGTACGAGTAATGCGGATAGGGGAGGGGTGCTTTATGCTGGTATCGGAGGCACCTCGAGACCTCGGAACCTTGAGGGAGGTGGAGGAAGGGGAAAAAAGGGAAAAAAGGGGAAAAAGGGGGCGGCTTGCCAGCTTCACTAGATTTTTCTCCCTGCTAATGTTTGCATTGGTTTTGTTCAGGGTTAGATCGTTATCATCTATGATGAGAATAAGAATTGGGATACAAACAGTACACATTTTTTGGGTATGATAAGTGGTAGGATGCCGGGACTCACCCTCGCAATTGCCTTAGCTCACATTGCCGTACCGGCGGTTGCCGAATCTCTATATATGGCGCTAATAATAGACTAGTTGGGTTAGTGGTCCTTCTTCATAGTCGGAACCAATCTCCCAGATGAGTAATGCTATCAGCACATATCGACCTCACCTTGGAGATTGATTCAAGAGCAAAGATACAAGTACAACCCATAAAGGGCGACAGAATGCAAAGTTCATGACGAGCGATGGGCCGGTTCGATGGTGCCACCAATTATTGTTGTACGACCTTACAGATGAGATGAAGGGGAGATTTCCATGATGGATTCAGTGCGCCACTATGTTAAAGGAAAAAGGTTCTGTATCATAATAGGATAATTTGACCTGAATGCACTTGATATCACACGATTACCCATTCCGGAACAGCCCAAAACCGATTGCACCAGCTTGGGTCTCAGTGCGGTGTAGGGAAATTTCGGAATTGTCAACACTGTATGATACTCGAGTACAGTACGGTAGGGTATCCCTACCCGTGCGGCCTAGCTACAGTTGGGCACCTAAGCCCGTTCGGTGCCCGCCAGATTGGTAGGTGCACAACGCATGATTGCCTCAACCCGCCGTATTTTTATTTTTTTCGGCTGTAGTCATGGATTGTCATTCGATCTATACCTTCCCAGTTGACCTCGTTCCCGGAATGAGGGCTTGCGCGAATGGGCACATCCCGCGATCACAAGTTGGAACTCGTGCTGAGGTTTCCCAAACTCAATGGAATAAATCTGGTACTGGAGGAGGAGGAGGGATATTTTGGAGATTTGCGAATGGCAGAGGTTTGTGAAGAGACAGTCCTTCGTTGTATCATGACAGCTCTTTATTATCCGGGCTCTGGAGATGAGATGATATGACTTATATTTCTTTCGTGTAGATTGCTATTGCCCGGGTGTGATTCCCATTCGAAGGGTTGGGTGGTCCGAAATGAAGGTTATGTTGCTCATAGTATGAGACCGCAAGGGCATTCGAAACCCCTGGTCAAGGAAGGGATCCCCTTTACCCATATGTCCCCAAGTCGGCCTCTTGAAGTACTCTCGGTCACTCATTAGGCGATCGGTGGAGTGACACCTTATGATGCTCAAGGTGGATGGTAGCAACTGGCGATGGCTAATCCCTACTAGAGGTGCATGTTGTACTATCGGGGGGTTGGCCAATACAGATTTCACTGTCTCATCTGGTTTGCCCGTTATGATATCTACATCCTGGTATGATTTATTTCTCCCCTTTGGTTTGGCTAGGGCTTGAATATGGATTTGGGCAAGGATGGAGGAGAAGACATTATGGTAAGAATCGGCCCATGCGGTATCATAGAGTCTCCTATTGTACCCTACCATTTATTTTAGCGCCCTGTTACTCGCACAGAACATAATACGGGTACCTTACTAGCTCTTGGGATTCAGGGACAAAGGCACTTGAGAAGGATTAGTGCTTTCCCGGCATGGTATAGCCTAGGCCCTCTGGCTGAGCCGGACCTCACCAGCCCATTCAGGCAACCCCGTTAACCCTCCAAGACAAAGCCATCGCGGGCCAGCCCTGCAGTTTGTGGGAACGAATCGCAAGGGTTAATGTATGTAGCATCAAGCTGCGCTGGAGAATCGTAATCCGTGGGGAGCAATGCCGCTCACTACAATTCTTCCATCCGGCCATATTTCTATACACTCAATTGTGCAAGATGCCCCCCGGGCCAATCCCTAATTTCCCGGTGGGGGGAACCATCCAGCAAGAACATAATATTAAACCTTCCGATGCAAGTATCAACAAGCAAACCTCACTCAAAAACTCCGCATCACATTCACATACACCTGTCCACTTCCAGGATGCGCTCCGCGCGCCGGAAGTCTGGAAATGCGTGCTCAACCCTATCCCCTCCTTCACGAGCCCGGTGCATTCCGCGGTCCTGGCGGATACCACGTTCGGCACATTTGCCTACCACTGCACGGAACCTCCCGAGCGAAGATTTTGCTCGCATCTATGATGGGTTCCTTTCTCCAGGATGTTTTGTTGGAAGTCTGCTGTAGGGGTGGATGTGCCTGTGGGGACTGGAAACGGTTGCCCGAGGGACGGTAGAGGGATTTGGGGGGGGGGATGCGCTGATGTTTGCGCCTTGCTAGGATGTTCGGTTAGAGGTGGTAGGGAGAGAGAGGGTGGTTGCTTTGATGGATAGACGGCGAGAAGGGGGAGGGAAACTTGAGGGTGAGAGGTTGCCTAGCTTCAATTTGACAGAGCATGATAGAACATACTATCTGGACTAGGAGAGGGCTTGATAGTATACGTTCCTGGCCGCGATAGACTTATATATGCGACCATTGTTCGTCCCGATTATAAGTAAAAAAAAACCCTATCTTTAATGACAAAAATCTACAACCGAATCTAAAAAAAAACGTGGATGACAAATTACCATCGAATCAGGACGAGTGCGGGCCCCCCACTCCTGAAAATAGGCGCCACAGCCCGCCCGCTTCTGCCCGGGCTTTTCAGGCGGCCATTATGGTGTGATAATTGAGGCTCGTATATATCATGCAAAATGCCCCGACTCCAAACCCAAGGGCAACGGTCTTCCAATCCATGCTTCTAGAAATTGAAATCATAGATCGAGGCTGCAGGTGCCTTGCTATATATTCCCACGGTAAAGAAAGTCGGGGGGGGAAAGGTTTACCCAAATGATGCCCGGGGATACACCGCGGAGCGTGGACGAGCCCCTGGGCGGACATTGTGGTGTACTTGTGCTGTAGCAACATGGGTGTGCGGGTACCTGTAGACAGTTCAAAGCTTTATCGTGGACGTTACAAGGGGAACCCCGCCGATAATAATACTGGAGCGGAAGGGTCTAGGTTTACTGGGCTGTGGGAGAGTCACACGCCCACACCCAACCAGCACCCCCGCAGGGGAAGGACGCACACCCTATATCAACAGGCAATCAAGCAATGTTTCCTTCCCGTCTAAATCGGGTTCTAATTCTCCCCCTTTACCCCCACACTCATCGTCGTCTTCTTATATAGCCCTTATTTCCAGTCAATTTCCCACAGCTCATCCCACGGGAGATCGCACAGTCACGGTCAATCCCTTTTGTGCAGGAGCCAGCTCGGTCGAGGACACTTACACACCGGTATGATACCTCTAAGAGCTGATAACCCACACATTTGCTCTATAGCCTACAAAGGCAGTATTGTACTATACCCCCAAAGCATACTTTCCTCCGTAAAAGCACTCCAACTTCAATGCACCGCACCAATACCGATCTCAAATATGATCCAAGTAGAACCCCTCGATCCCAATGCCGGTAGCACAGTAGAGCACCCCGAGGCCCATCCGGGTGTATGATAACTCCCAGTACTAATTGACGGTGCAATGGTGCCTCGCTGGAAACCTATTCTACCGCTGGAGCAATGCCCTGCCAGGCGCCAATAACACCTGCTCAATCCATACTCCCCAAAATGGTCAATGTTAAAACAAGCTTCCGCCAACCGTAGTCATCATACCCTGTCGAGAATCCCTCCTTCCCTCCGTCAGAGTCCCAGGCATGACTTTTCCGGAGCCATATTTCCGTAAAATCCACGAATGAGGTTTGTCTCCTTTTGCCGTGGTGCCATATCATGGTATAATAGTGCGTAATGAGCCCAAGCAAGCAAGTCCATTCGAAAATAAACGAACAAAATTAATTCAGGTTAACCCACAAAATACTCCCCCGTCTTATACGAAATGATCCCCCTTGGCGCTCGTGCGCAGTGCGCCTTTCAGGGCCCCCGGGCACTCGTACCTTCCCATCCCAACCAACCCCAAGTCATTCCTACCGGGGTAAAAGCATGCCTGCACATATCACGACCAATAGCTGCGGTACTTGTCCCGCGCTTGCAATTCCGAAATACCCGGATCTTCGGACTTTGTACGACGCCGGGAGGGGGCGGTCGATTACTCCAGGAATCCTCGCGCTGGGAGGAAGGCCGAGGGCCGTTGTTGTGGTGGTTGGTGGTGGCATGCCATTCGTTCCTAGTCTACCGGTACTGTAGAGTACAGGACCTCGCCATCCGTTTTGGGGGGAAGATCTTAGAGTGCTGGGTCCCTCGGAGTTTTTTTTCTTCTTTTTTCTTTTTCCTGTCTCGAAGGCAATCACCCGCTGCACACTTGCCCTACTTGATTTAACCATCGACCGTACCCCGCATAGCCGGTGGACCAACCCGAACCTCTGCCGTAGTGTTTGATAAGGAGAGAAGAAAAAATTGGAATGGAATTGGCAAACCGATGACCTTTGAGAAGACGATGATGACTTTGTGGTTTGATAATATGATACCTAGTTGTTGTTTCGCAGTAGGCTACCGTACCGTATCTTTTTTATTTTTCTTCTCAAAAAGAAGAGGGATTAGCCCACAGTGCCCATCCACCACGTTACCCGTACCGTGTGAAGGGTATGATACAAAAACCAGAGATCCTAGCTCACATGTAGAATTACTTGTGCTAGTACAGGCACCACCACCACGAGGGTGTATTATCGTCCAAGTATTACCGGTATACAGCACAAGCAAGTATAGTGATCTTTGGATCAGACACAAGTACTGTACCCCGCGCGTTCCTATGATACCCATTCCACCGAATCCGTTTCAGGAACATTAGGGCATCCACCGTAGGGAAGTTCCGCCATGAGCCAGCCAGGACAGTGCTCACAACATTACTGTACTGTACCGGTAGGCACTCCGGTATCGCTACCGTATGATATGTATGGCGCCGCCAGCTTAGCGATACGGTACCGACCAAAATTTCCCAAATTCTCGGGGAACAGTGGCAAAACATCGCATGCTATCATTATTTTGCCTACTCCTGTTATGATGATCATGAATATCGCAAAGAACACATTTGCGGGGCGGACCTCGCTTTTCCCGGAAAGGCGATTCCAGCTCTCGGGCTAAAGGCGAGGCAGGATTTTGGTTTGTGCTTGTGCGTATCGTAAAAAGATGAATAGGAGTAATATGGGAATATATTGCCTGAAACGATAAGGTCGCCAATTGTATTAGGACTGGAGCACTAAATCCGGATGGCACCAGGGGTTGAGGGTGCTGGACCCGTACTGCATCGGAATTAGGCTGCGGGCGACATCATGATGTGTTGCAGCGGGGCTAATAGAATCTCACCAGTACTCGAGTACAGTACGAGTAGTATATGATATGATAGTCTACCGTGGTTGTGCTAAGCATTGAGCCGTGGGCCCTAGCTCACATTTGCACCAGCGCAGCACAAGTAAATTGACCACTAGTGTACGGGTAGACTACTGTACCGGCACAATGGAAAGCACTGCACGCACCGAGCCAATGGTGTTTTAATTGAAGATATCTTGTCCTTAACCAGCTTACCTGATTTTCCAAACCTGAAGACCTATGATCTTAGACCAATTCACAAGTATTTCCTCTTTTCTGGAGGTTAAGCATTGCATTTTTTTACCCAGCATGAAATACTCACTGGTGAGTGCTCAGTCACGGTTACAATGCCAAAAAATGGGTTTAGGGACTCCATAGTCTTTGACTAACTCTTTGTAAGTAGGAGCATGAGTGTTCTCTCGTCATGTATGATTCAGGTTGGCGAGTGCAGGTTCAATATACTGTTCAGTTGCGAAACCACCGCCGTTGATAGACCCGGACATTGTAAGGAGCTACGGTAGCCGAACCGTGAAGATGATTGCTAAACTCCGCTCAGCTTTTGGTTGGCGGTCGTAATTTGACTCATAGATTTCTACGCGACGAAAGCTATCATGCCTCAGCTAGTCCCATTAATCACTCTGAAAAACGGGTTTGTGGTTGCGACTGATGGAGTATTGGTAATTCACTAGCTGTTTCGCGTCATTGTGTATTTCGGCTTACCACGGCATTCGCTAGTCCAGAGTTTCCTTCTGCGGAAAGGGGGCGAGAAACGCACCAAAGAGTCTCCAAGAAGCCAAATAGAAAGGAAAAAGAAAAAAAACTCCACACCATACTAGGAGAGGCAAGTCCAACGTCTCAGCACGTGGTCCGTTCAATCGAGCTCTTACTGTACTCCTACCGTACCCGAGTACTGTACTGTACTAGTACAAGTATGTTCGTAGCAAGAACCCCCTCCATACCCTACTCGAGCACTTGCCGCGGTATCCGCTTTGTTCTCGACTCAACTCAATCCCCCCCCCCCCACAATAGTGCCGGTCAATCAGCAATACCGGTGGTGATAATTCGCCGTTGCTGACGCACCGGTGTAGTACCGCATCCGAAGGGTAGGGTACTAGTACAGTGCTAGTATGATGCTGAGGGGAGGGGTGGCTATTTTGTGCCATCATTGCTCCCGTAACACTGAGGTGTCGTCAAGGCGCCGAATTGGCGTCCTTTCCAGCCGGTAGGCGTGGTTGAGTATCCTGCACGAGGGCCATGCGGGAGGGTGTGATGTCATGGGTGAATTCTCGATTCCTCGACACACGGAACTACAGGGTTAGCGCAGGTGGGAATTCCGGCATCTTGGGTGTTTGTTTGGTCTTTGGGGAGTGGATGGGATCGGGGAGTTTTTAGGCTTTTAGAAGGGGTAGTGCACGGTGGGCTTGCAATACGCTTACGAATGCTTATGGGTGCGCTGTTGTAGGAATGGTTGTTCTGAATGTTCACGGTGTAGCAGTTTGTTGAATGTTCTTGTAGTCTTCCTATCGGACCCCTCATTCCAATGTTAGGGGCAGGAAACGTATCAAGGAAATAAAGAAAATAATAAAAAAATCCGCAGTATGATATTTACAAGCGCATTTAACCCCAGAAGGCATGCTGTGCCATTTTTCCCTAACAGGAAGAGGGAAGGAGAGGGAATTCCCAATTAGAACATGCAAGAGCAAGCATCTCCTCCTCCAAAACTCCAACTATCCCTCAAATCGTTGGTTCCTGGCCACTGTCCGAGAGGTACCTGTGCCGTACCACCGGTAAGCATTGGGAGCCTAACACATCCAGAGTTGGCTCTGGGAAAAAGCCTGTGTCTCCCCTCCCTGTTTCCTTGCTCCCCGCGCTGCTCTAGAGGCAGTGCAGGTGCATGGAAATCCAGTACCAGTACTCGATTACCAGTCCCGCAGGGAAGTGAAGCGTTGCTGGAAGGTATTGATATCGTACGCCAGCACACTGACAGCCCTCAGCAGCTCACATCGGATGAAAGAGAAAAAGAAAAAAAAGAGAAAAGTTGCCGTATTTTCCGTAAGATTATGACAGGGGGAGGGAATGCGGGTGCTTGATGGGGCGGGGGAGGCTTTTGGCCCATCTCGTCGTACTTTACCCTACCGTACCTTGCTACTGTATATGGGAGTGACTGGGGACCGAACGGGGCTACAGTAGGTATGGACGAATCGGACATCTTTGAAGGGTTGTCTGGCCTTGTGCGCGGCAAGTATATAGTGGTGCATTTAAGAGATATATAAAGGGAGTGGGTCCGGCTTTTTTTTGTTTTGTTCTGGGGGAGGAAATTTTAGCTTCAAGGGCCACCGCTTAGGACGGGGTCGGGTTAATACTTTGGTTGATTCTACTGTTTTTTCTATCTTTCCTTCTTTTTAATCTTTATTTATTCCAAGAGAGGGGAGATTCTCCAAGGCTTCCATTGTCCCGTGTCATACTCTATCACCTCTGGGCCAATTCACCTGCCCCAAGTTTGTATTTCCAGCGGTCCACGAAAATCGCTGCTAGTCCGGCAGAAGCTACCGCTCTAGACCTATTAGCACGAGATGGACAAGGAACAAGGCCCAGGTAACTCAGGGCCAACCCTCGCCGTCCTAGGTGGGAAGACGGGAGGCTACAACCCACGAGAAATTGGCTTGAGCCATGAGCATTATGCCCCGAGTGGCGTGAGCCAGGCATCTTCGAAGAAGGGTGATGAATATGGAGACGATGTGGGAATAGTGCCGGTAGGGGAAAATTTTGAGAACTTGGAGAGACAGCCCACTAGGTTATCCATTCACGACGCCCCCAGTTTCCCGGACGGTGGGGTAAAGGCTTGGTTGTGCGTGCTTGGGGGGTTTGCAGCGATGTTTTGTAGTTTTGGTAGGTTCTGTTCATGCGAAAAATTAAGGAGGAGTTTTGAGTACTTGCTAACAGATTTGTGGAGTTTAGGTTGGATTAATTGTAAGTGATTTTGCTTGTGATGCCCGGCAGGAGTTGGAAACAGCGTGCCTAACCGGTGGAACAGGTATTGGAATATTCCAAGGTTACTATGAGGCTGTAAGTATCACGCGCTACCATTCGCCCCCCCCCCCCCCCTCTCCGAGTATGGCTGACAGGTTCGTTTCATAGAATCAACTTAAAGAGTACCCGCCGGGTACCGTCTCTTGGATATCAAGTTTGGAAACATATTGTGGGCAACTGTTCCCTTTTAAGTCCCTTGTCTGAAGCATCACTGACTGGAATTGCACAGGTATGTTCTTTCTCGGTCCAATTGTGGGCAAGTACTATGATGCCTATGGCTCTCGTGCGATATTATTACTCGGAACTTTCTTACACGTTTTCGGCTTAATATTGACTTCCATATCGTCTAAATATTGGCAATTCCTTATATGTCAAGGGATCGTTTCATCTATTGGAGCTTCACTTATCTTCTATCCGGCCCTCGGGGATGTCTCTACCTGGTTCTTCGAGCGGAGAGCATTTGCATTTGGAATAATGACTTCAGGATCGAGTATGGGAGGTGTGGTTCTGCCAATTTTGATCCAGCGATCGATTCCCCAAGTCGGCTATGGTAAGGGAGCGCTTCCCAATACCACAATCTCTAAACCATGTCAATTAATGATCAGCCAGGCTGGACAATGCGAATCACTGCCTTCGTAATCCTCGGAATGATGATCATCGCAAACCTCACCCTCAAGTCCAGACTCCCGCCAAAGGGCTGGACCCCGCTCAGATTGAGCGAGTTCCTGAAGCACTTCAAAGAGCTGGCATTCTCTATGTCAGTCGTCGCTGCGTTCCTGTTCTTCTTCGGAATGTACCTACCCTTCAATTACATTGTCGTCTCAGCAAAAAGGAACGGCATGTCAATTTCCATGGCGAATTATCTTGTTTCCATATTGAATGGAACCAGTATATTTGGTCGTATCCTGCCAGGCTGGTTGGGGGATAAGCTTGGGAGATATAATGCATAACCCCCAGTAGAGCCAATCTGGTATTATCGCCGGATCGCTAACATTGGTGATTGATAGACGATGATCCTGACAACCGGTGCTTCCGGAATCCTTGTGTTGGCCCTGTGGCTTCCAACGAACGGAAATCTACCTACTATTTTGTTCGTCTGCCTCTATGGATTCACAACTGGTGCTTTTATTTCCCTCGCCCCGGCTTGTCTGGCCCAAATTTCGGATATCCGGGATATCGGGGTCAGAAATGGTGCAATGTTTTCTACAATCTCTATTGCCGCACTGACGGGCGTGCCAATCGGCGGCGCTCTAGTCGACAAGTACAATGGGGGATTTTTAGGTTTACAGATATTCTGTGGAGTAGTCCTTGTTTCCTCGTCCATCTGTTGGGCTCTGGCTAGGTGGACTGTTGGAGGGTGGAAGACGACCAAAGTCTGACAAAGACTACTCGGGGGGACATGTAATATTGGGACCTAGAAAAAGTTTTTTCCTCTTCTTTCCTTCCTCTCCTTTCCATTCTTGTTTTATATTTTGACGTTTATCATATCATGCATTGGGATGGAAGAGCACTTTTATAAAATCTCAAAGTGACTTGTGCATGCGAACAAGTGTTTATAACGACTTCTCTAGATACCGGAGCTTAATTGATGAGCACAGCAAAGTAGATCCTATGTAGACTATGTTTGATTAGATCCTTTAAGAACCGGCCCGGAGTCGCAATTCAATTATTCCCTGTTTCGTCCGAGGCGGTGCTCGTTGAAGAATCAGCCACCACACCCCAGGAATCCCAGTTTTAGGGCTACATTACGCCACACTTTGACGTCGTTCGACCCGTTCCACTGGCGCTCCCCAAGCACTCGCGGTAGCACACGAACAGAAAAGTTCACGAACCTTCCTTCAGACCAAGCTATAGGAGAGAGCTCATTCGACACAACTACCGGAGCACCCTTGAGGAAAAAAACAAAGCAAGTGATTGGATTATTCGCTTCCTATTCAACGCTTATCGCTAAAATCCCCCTCTTCTTGAACGGCATCAATTGATACGCCAGGCGAGGCACGCTTGGGAGTCATCTATCCGGGCTGGTTCTTCACGCGTTATTCCTGCCGCATCTCTACCCATCCCCACCCTCTCTTCTCCCGCTCCACACCTCTCACAACCTCTTTCGAAACATCCGCGCTTGCTTGCTCCTTCCCCACCCCGCATCTCCCCGCCACCGGGAAACACCTATCCAGGCCGCCCCTCCACACTTCTTCCGGACCCCATAAGCTCCGACAGGCCCCCGCAGCGCTAGCGCCCAATGGAGAGCTCTATTCAACGCAGTCTAACTGATAAGCTCTACGATCGAAGGAAGCTCGGTGCACTTGAGTGGGTCACTAGCTCCTGTTGTTTGAATCAGCTGAGGTATAACACTGACCGAACCCTTCCTCCTCCGCTCTACAAAGGCTAGAAAAAACGATTCGGGAATGTGTCATCCACGACGACCACGAGAAAGTCCGCAAAATTATCGACCAGCTTTGTCATGAATATGCGTATTCCGTACATCAACCTCATGCTCGCAATGGCGGGTTGATTGGTCTCGCTGCGGCATCCATCGCTCTTGGGCCTGTGGGGTTATCCGCTCCTTTGACGATGTTTTGGAGGGGGTTGACCTAAATTTAAATGAAAACGCCACAACTAACAGCTGTTTAGGATGTCGCCCGGTATCTAGGTGAAATCGTCCCACCAGTTCTCGCCTGCTTTGCCGACCAGGACGCACGGGTTAGATATTACGCTTGTGAGAGCATGTATAACATTGCAAAAGTGGCCAAGGGGGAAATATTACCATTTTTCAACGATGTGTTTGATGCATTATCCAAGGTTCGTTCACATCTCCCGTGCAGCCGCTCCCCGCCAATTCGCAGGTTAAATATTTGTTCGGAGGTGCAGCTAGCAGCAGATTCAGAGCTCTCGGTCAAGAACGGGGCGGAATTGTTAGATCGGCTTGTCAAGGATATCGTGGCTGAATCCGCCGCCACCTACGTTTCTATCCTGCAGTCCCCAGAACAAAGTATCACGGATGCACAATCCGATGAAAATTCCCCGACCTATGCTTCGGACACTGCGTTTCCCACTGCATTCTCCCTACCCAGTTTTATACCCCTTCTCACTGAGAGAATACATGTCGTGAATCCCTTTACCCGCGTATTTCTTGTATCTTGGATCACACTGCTGGATTCAATACCTGACTTAGAACTCGTAACATACCTTCCAGAATTTCTCGAAGGATTATTCAAGTTTCTTAGCGATCCCGTTAATGATGTTCAGACAGCGACCCAACATGCGTTGGAAGAGTTCTTGATAGAAATCAAGAGGATCGCTAGGATCAAGCGTGGTATTGAGGAATCTAGGAAAAGCCGAACAGGCAGGATGTCACAATCAAGGACACGCAGCAACAGCGATAGTGGTGATACGGAGGAAGGAGTAAGATTGAGCGAAAAGTTAGGTTTAGATGAGAGTGGGGAAGGAGTGCCCCCTCCGGAGGAAAAGGGACTTAGTGCGGATGGATCGTGGATACCCGGACAAGATGTTCTCGTTGACCACCAAAGGATTCTAGAGATATTGATTCCATTCCTTGACGCTCCAGGTGGGTTATTCACCTCGGACGGTGGTACCAATTGTCCAAGAGGCTTACGTCGGAAAACAGAGGAATCTATTCAACTCACGGCTCTACGATGGGTCGAAAGTTTCTTTGATATATGTCCCGAGGATCTCTTGCCTTTTGTCCCCCGGCTGCTATCCCATGTTCTCCCTGCGATTGCACATGAGGGGGAGAATGTACGGAGAGCAGCTATGAAGGTCAATGCCTTATTATTAAGCCTGATAATATCACTGTCCGATGATGTTGCAGGAGAACCCGCGACATCGCCGCCAATGTCGAGAAATCCTACTAGAGAAAGTACGGTTAGTGGTGATAGAAGGGACTCACAAGCTCGACAACCTCTGTCGAAGGATTCAGATTTGGGCAGACGAACGCCCTCCTCCATACCTCCCGTTACAACACCAGTGCCCCCAGCAAGTCCCACACCGCCCAAAACTGCCGATCTTGACTATTCGGCCACTGTCAACGCTCTGACATTACAGTTTTTGAACGAACACGAACAGACACGGGTGGTGGCGCTGGAATGGCTATTGATGCTCCACAGGAAAGCGCCTCGTAAGGTCTGTTCTTTCGGGTTCGGATTCGGATTCGGGCATTTATACATCTCTACTAACGGTTAAAAGATGTTGGCAATTAATGACGGAACGTTCCCCGCACTTCTTAAGACCCTCTCGGATCCCAGCGATCAGGTCGTGACCAGGGATCTACAACTACTTTCCCAAATTTCCCACAACAGTGAAGACAACTACTTTACCTCTTTTATGGTCGATCTCCTATCGCTGTTTAGCACAGATCGGCGGTTACTAGAGACGAAGGGAAATCTGATTATCAGGCATTTATGTGTTAATCTTAACCCAGAGCGGATATACAGAACGCTGGCGGACATTTTGGAGAAGGATGAAGATGTCGAATTTGCAAGTATCATGGTCCAGAACCTGAACAATAACTTAATGACAGCCCCTGAGCTTGCCGACTTGAGGAAGCGGTTGAGGAGTTTGGATACCAAGGTTTGATATTATCGTGCTAATCGCCCCGCATGTGAAGGAGATGCTGAGTACAATACCACATAGGACGGCCAAGCTTTCTTTGTAAGTCTGTTCAGATCCTGGTGCCATAACGCTGTCGCAACTTTCTCGTTGTGTCTTATGGCCCAGGCTTACGAACAGGCGTCCAACCTCTTGCAAATTTTGTTTGTCTCCGCTCCCGGTTACTCCCGGATGCGGGCAGTACCGCGTCACGCCTTCATCCGAGTGCTAATCTATGAATCTGTATATAGTGCCGAACTGGAAATAACGGTCAACCTCCTAATCCAAGTCGACAAACTAGTTCAACTTCTTGAATCCCCAGTCTTCACATGTACCTTTTCCATCACCGACCTACCTTTTATTACCCCATCGCTGACCAAATTCTCTCTTTCCGAATAATGCAGATCTCCGCCTCCAGCTGCTCGAGCCCGAAAAGCACCCGTACCTCTACAAGTGCCTCTACGGTCTCCTCATGCTCCTCCCACAATCCTCCGCATTTGCCCTCCTAAAGAACCGTCTGAACAGTGTGAGCGCGATAGGGTACTTGCACATCGCCCCGAGAGCGTATGACCCACCCTCCTCTCTTCAAGGGAAGAGTAGCGCTAACACCGCGCCTCCCGGATCCAGAAGTTCCGCCCCGTACGAGCGCCCCACAAGATTGAAGGGCCGCGGCGACGAGATCAAGTGGATCGAACTTCTGGAGAAGTTCAAGACGGTGCAGGATAAAGCCAGGAGACAGCAGATGCAGTATAATGCGAAGGCCACGGCGAATCACGGTTCCATGGCGAGCGGTGGTAAGGGCGGTGGCACTGGGGCTACCGCTTCGATTTTGTCTCCGTCGAGGACGCCCACGCCCGCTGGGTCCGCGACGAACGCTGCTGGCACGAACGCACCCCGGGCGGGACGGGGAGGCGCCAGTGGGGGTGGTGGTGGTGGGGGGTTGGGCATAGGGCGGTTGGCGTCTGGGAGAAGGGCGAGGAATAAGTAGTGATGGCGATGCTTGATATCATGCTCTTTTCTTTTCTTTTCTTTTCTTTTTTCTTCCCTTTTTCTCCCTTATCCCCCCCTTCACTGCGAGACACGGAGTTTGGTTCCATCGTTTTCAAGCCTAGTCCTCCTATCCATGCTCATGCCATTCTGTCCACCGGTATTGTCATGTCCCTCTTCGCGCGAAAAGCGCAATACATTTTTCGTATTATAAGCAAAGCTGGTTGGTGTAGTGCAGCATGACATTGCAGTTCAGATATTGTATCATATCAAGACTCTCTCACCAGCCCAACCACCCTGTATGATAGTACGGCAAATCGACAAGTTGGCTCAGTCACGCACCATCACAGCACTACACCTGCTGCCCTCCAGAACATTACCTCCGTCCATCCCCAACCTTCTCGAACCCTTCTTGCACGATCGACGCCAAGTAGGGTGTCACAGTATCACAACTCGCAACCACATGATTAATGCACACGCTTTCTAATTCCATCCAGTTACCCAACCCAACGACAGAGCACCGCACCCGGCTATCCGATCAAGCCAACCTGATGGGGACAAAAAAAAAAAAAAGAGAGAGAGAAAAGAGAAAGTGGCTAGATAGATGCACACATAATACATTACATGCGACCTCCCCATCAACAAAAAACAGGAATAGAGCCGAGGGAGAGTAATGGTGAAAAGTAAAAAAAAAGTCAATATTTTACAAGGTTAGAGGGGTATGACCAAGGGAACAAGAAGAAAAAGGAAAGCATCCGTAAAGTTTGTCCGCTAGAGAGTGACGGAAAGTGGTAAGAATCAGTATTTGGTGAAGTAAATAAAAAGGGAATATTCAGTTGAGAAAGAAAAATAATTGGGTTTAAACACCCTCCCATGACCCCCTCCCCACCCTCCTTAGCCGAGAAACGATCTGCGCACTCGTCTATCGCTCAAAGGGAAAGGAAGAAAGACGCAACACAATAGGATAGACTCGCTCGCAGCAGAGAATGAGGGATCACAGTCTTCGCTAGCATTAAACTCCGCAAGTGTTTCCCTGGATTCTTCGCATATCGGCGGGGGGGGTTTTTTTTTCTTTTCTAGCTCTATTTTACTATTGTTGTTGCGTCGTCGCATATCTGTATCTTGCTTGATTCATCGAACATGGTCGTCCATAGCACGCGGCCACTTCTCCCTCCCCCTCCCCCGTTGCGTCTCCCTTCCCCGCTCTGCGTTGTCGGCTCCTCGAGTGGTTATAGGCGCATCAGCTCTGGTTCGACGGTCTGCGCGTGCTGCCCGTCCCAAACTCGCTGACGCGGAAGGAACCTTTGCTGGGACTGCTAGGGTGGTAGCTCTTGTAAACGTATTCACCGCTAAAAATGGCGTCAGTTCAAGGTTCAATGATTGAAAGCGTCGTATTGGGGGAGGGGGAGGAGCGCACTCTATGTACTGAGCCTCCGAGATGAAGGTAGTCCGTCTCTTTCTTTTAGTGTACCTCTGTTCCAGTTTGAATAGCTAGACGATACTCCCATTAGCATAAGCTTAGCTCTTGATCCGGAAATGCGCATGGCGAAAAACGACAGGAGTGGTGATTGTTTACCTCAATCTCTGTAAGAATTAATATTAGTTTCACGACTTGCGCGGAAGTAAGGTGGTAGAGGTACGGTAGTAGTAGGAAGCAAGCAGAGGAAGACGAAGAGCGGCAACTTACTCGACTGCAGTTTATCGAAGAAACCCATCTTGAGTGGGCACCGGATCACACAGGCAAGCCACGGACAGAGCTCACAAGAAAGGGGGAAAAAATCGAGAGAAATCCGTATTCATTCAATGTCAAACAAGGGATCGAAAAGGTGAAAAAAAAAAAAAGGAAACAATCAGCCTGATGACTTCCTTTTCAATTTCGGAGAAATCGTAGAAACGGTAGAGAGTTGAGGAAGGAAGGAAGAAGGTCGGTGTGGATGATCAGGACGGAGGAAAAACGGGCTGGAAGAGAGGCGGCCGTATTAAGGGGAACGGACAACCGAATATGAATTGGGCTGTAAAGGGGTGTGGGTGATGGGAGGGGCAGCCACACACCAAGGTGTATGCATGCAACCCTGGGTAGGATGGTAGGAGGTGGGGGAAAAGAGAAGAGAGGGAAGAAAAAGAGAGGGAAAGAAGGAGAGAGAGGGAGAGAGGTGTGGTGAGGATTGGAAACGAGTGCGGAGGTCAAGACACGGGAGGGCGGCGGGCAGAAGATGATTCTGCTATCATACGGTAACCGGACTCGAGTAAACTACCGGTGTTCGAGTACGGTACTTGTACAAGTATGTATGGTGGAGTAGCGTGGGTGTCCCTCCCGCTGCACGAAATGAGGAGCGAGTGTACTGTACTGTACGAGTACTCGAGTACTATACGGAACTGTACTCGTACCGTACGAGGAGGAGAGTTGGGATGGGATGGCAGATGGATGGGATGGGATGGAAGGGATGGTTCAGCGCAGAAATTGAGAGAGAAAGAGTCGAGAAATCATAAATGTGATGGATCGATCTTTCTCTCTTTCCATTTTTAAAAGGTTGCTGTCTTGCAGGAATACCAAGTACAGTACTGCCCCCACAACAGTTCAGAAGGAAACAGATGTCTAATTTTGAGAGTCTTTTTTCCCCATCGAGAGATGGTACAAGAAGGCAACAAGGCTCTCGGGCATAGAACTTCCATCGGAAGCACTCAGCTGCTGGAGAAGGCGCAGGGACAAGAATGAAAAGCTGTGCCCCTTCCTCATATACCTCTCTCATCCCCTGTCCGAATGAGTTATTGCGGGTACTCGTACATTACTTGTATGATACTATAAACTACGGCACCATACACCAGCTCTTCCTTCCGCGGCTTTTTAATGGGGAGTTGCGGCCCGTAAAAGGGAGGGAGAAGAAGGTTGGATATCATTACCAATTTTATCATTATTTTTCCTCCCTTTTTTCCCCTTCTCGGAAAACCCCCAAAATGCCCCCCGGATAGGGGCAAGGATCTAAGATGCCCCACCGGCACGAGCACGGTATGATACTCGGGCACGACCGCACTGCAAAGCTCACTGAAGCCAGGAAGGAATAGCATCATACAGGTACCGGTATATTATCTTTTTGATGACGAGAGAGGGATTCGCTTCTCGGCCGTCCCTCACATCGAACAACACATGCTCATAACGAGAATGTCTATAATTCTCCCGAGCAAGGAACAATCCAGAAGTTGCCAGTTTCCCCCCCCCCCCTGAGTGCCGGTATCGGATCAAACGAGTGGAGCACCGGTACAAGTACGATACGGTAACTACTACCGTACGGCCATCCTCCGTGTCCGTTACAACCACAGTCAAAGAAAAAACCACACCCTCTTTTCTGCCAAGACCTCCTGTCATTGGCTGAAAACCTTTTCTCACAGCCTCGCCTCTTTACCCCTCAGTTAGAAGCCCCCCCTCCCAGCCATGGATATTTCCTCCTCATGGGGGAAAGGGAAAGGCCCTAAACCCCCCCCTGCTCCTGTTCCAAAATGGCCAGGCAGAAGGGACCCTCCTATCTTTCGGCCCTCAGGCCCACCCTCTCTTAAGAGGCCACGAAGCGATACCACCTCCACCCTCCCCGTTATACCTCCAGAGGTACAGGAGGGGTCTGTCCCGGGTGCCCCCTATTTTCAAGACCTTTTCGTCACGATAGGTCTCCAAATGGGCCTCACCGAAAACCCCAAACTTGGCAACTCCTGGCTCATCGCCTTTAGGATGATGCAGCTGATGCACGACGACTACAGGAGAGCGGTCGATGGCCTCACTGAGGACCTCGCCGCTCTAACTAAGGAATGCGAGACGGCCCGTGCCCCCGCTCCCCCCCCTCAGCCTGCTTCCACCACCCCTGCCCCTGCGCCCCTTGACCCCTCGGTCCCAGAGTTCCTCTCGGCCCCCCCTACCACCTCTACTGCTACCCCTGCCGCCCCTGCTCCTGCCGCCTCCTCTAGTTGGGCAACGGTTGCCAGGAAGCCCAGGAGGTCCGCTCCCAGAACCCAGAAGGTGGCTCCTCAGCCCCCTAAACCCTCCTCTCCGGCTGTTGCCCAGCCTGCAAGAAAGGGCCTCACTATGCAAGAACGTCGCCTCCTTATCAAGAGGGACGACTCCCCCCTAGCTCTTACTGCCATCCAACTTCGGGACGGTATCAACAAGGCCCTGGCCGCTACCCTGGTCCAGTCTGTCTCCTTGGCAGGTGGACTCGTCACTCTCACTACAATGGATTCGGTTAAGGCAACCACGCTTAATAGCAAGGTTGGGCTTTTTCTCCACCTCATTTCGGGTGCCTCCACCGTTCATCTCGACACCCCAGCCACCCAACTTCTGGTTCATGGCATTCCTACCTCTTTCCCTCTAGCCTCTGTGGCAAGCGAGCTCACTACCTTTAACTCTGGCCTCTCCCTTACAGGGCAGCCTAGATGGCTCACCTCGGATGACGCACGGGATGGCAAGGCTGCCTCCACAATTGTTATCTCTATCACTGGTCCAAAGGCCGAATCTTTTGTAGGCAAACGCCTCTCAGCCTTTTCCAACCTCTACCAAACTGAGCGCCGCCTGCGCTACAACCGCTACACTCAGTGTTCTATCTGTCACAGCTATGGACATCACACCAACAAATGCGTCAGCTCTGCAAGCTGCCGCTGGTGCACTCTCTCGCACGCCACTAGGGATCACACTTGTCCCACCTCCACCTGTCGTGTCCGCGGTCGCCCCTGCAGCCACTCTTCTGTTCAGTGTATTAACTGTGATGGACCTCACGACGCCCACTCCCTTACCTGCCCCCTTCGCCCCCAACCAGCCCCGTTAGGGGATGGGGAAGGGGTTGACGACGAGGTGGATATGTCAGCCACCTGACCTTGGTTTTCTTTAGGGCTTTGGTTTCTTTTCTTCTTGTTGCATCGGCGTATGCACGGCTATACCTTGTGTACCTCTCAGGTTGGAAGCCTGTTAGGGGTTTCTTTACCATGTATGGGCCCATAGTATGCGAATTGGGCGTCGGCTCTAATCTGTTAGTCATCTGAAGCGATGCGAGGGGCTATATTAGCTCGAAATGGGGGTCATTCACCAGGCTTGGTCTGTGTGGGCCTAGGGAGGCTTGGAAGCCGGGAAAGATATGTTTCCTTTGTTCATGCATGTGAAATTAAGGTTTTTTCTATTGCCATACCGCGAGGTGCAAGTAGGTTTTTGAGCCATAATCAATAAACGTATGAATTAAAAAAAAAAAAAAAAAAAAAACTACTACCGTACGGCCCGATGAAACCTACGCGCCTAATGATGGTCAGGCCGGAGGATGCCGAAGGGCACTTTAAGGTTCGGGAGCAGGTTAGGAAGACGATGCACAAGAGGTGGGTAGATTGGGATTACCCACCGTACTATGGCTATAGGCCACCATACCGGGAGTGTTGGTCGTTTATGACGTTCCCAAAGTTTCAAGCTGGGCGGGTGCACCAGATGCGTGCGAATAAGAGCTATCTCAATGCGCAGACAGACTGGTCCACGCGGGGCCGGGACCCGATGTGCGGGAGGTGTGAGATGGGAGAGGAGACATTTCAACATGTGGTCGCCTGCCCGGCGTTGGCCGGGGCTCGCCTACATGAAGACCCAAAAACTTTTGATATTTTGGCTGATTCTGAATTGTGGAAGGGTGGAAAGAAAGGGTTGCGCTTGATGGGGGGTTTTATTTCCTATATGATGAAAAACAGGATTAACTTTCCGGCGGGTGGGGAGGATTTTCCTTATACGAGGTTGGCCAATTTGGCTTCATGATTTATGAAATGTTTTCATTGATGCGCAGAATGAGGTGATTACTATTGGACATTGGTTTTTTCAGGGGGTGAAGTTTCATTTGTACAAGGGGTTTTTAGGCCATGTCTTAGGGTGCTTGCCATGGATTTTCCTGTAGTTAGCTACGAATAAACCGCGGATTTAACAAAAAAAAAAAACTACTACCGTACGGCGAGGCCTGTTTGGTGCCGATGAGGGTGTACGTGGATCAGGTCAGGATGATGTCGGTTGTCAGAGTGACGACGGCGATACCAGAGAACAACTTAGCCACGGCCATGTTACCAGCGGCTTTCCCGGTACAGAGGGAGTATAGGTACCCAGAGAACCGCAAGATGGCCTTCAATAACAACAAGGGCGGGATGCGACCAACGACTTGGCGGTCGACATCGAACACAATGGCCCAGGTACGACTACCCTTGAATGAGGTTGCCGCGATAGCCACTACGGTGTTCGGGGAGGGCCCCATTCCGATGAAGCCTACGCGCCTAATGATGGTCAAACCAGAGGATGCCGAAAGGCATTTCAAGGTTCGGGAGCAGGTTAGGAAGGAGATGCACAAGAGGTGGGTAGATTGGGATTACCCGCCGTACTACGGCTATAGGCCACCATACCGGGAGTGTTGGTCATTTATGACATTCCCGAAATTTCAGGCTGGGTGGGTGCACCAGATGCGTGCAAATAAGAGCTATCTCAATGCGCAGACAGACTGGTCCACGCGGGACCGAGACCCGATGTGCAGGAGGTGTGAGGTGGGAGAAGAGACGTTTCAACATGTGGTTGCTTGCCCGGCGTTAGCTGGGGCTCGCCTGCATGAAGACCCGAAGACCTTTGATATTTTGCCTGATTCTGAATTGTGGAAGGGCGGGAAGAAAGGGTTGCGCTTGATGGGGAGTTTTATTTCTTATGTGATAAAGAACAGGATTAACTTTCCGGCGGGTGGGGAGGATTTTCCTTATACGAGGTTGGCCGGTTTGGCTTCATGATTTACGAAATGTTTTCATTGATGCGTGGAATGAGGTAATTACTATTGGACATTGGTTTTTGTAGGGGGTGAAGTTTCATTTGTACAAGGGGTTTTTAGGCCATGCCTTAGGGTGCTTGCCATGGATTTTCCTGTAGTTAGCTACGAATAAACCGCGGATTTAACAAAAAAAAAAACTACTACCGTACGGCAATACCGATATATTAGTAGAACAATGGCCACGCTGCAACAAAGAGCCCATACAAATGGGCCGAAGATGGCCACTCTTCCTTATAGTAGCGGTACCTTAGTTGTAGTTTGTGTGGGGCATACTTGTACGAGTACCCTATCTCGAGCATGATACCGCACCGTACTATACTTATCGTAGACCCTTGAGCCATTATTACGCCGAGGGGCGGACCCTCTAAGAAATTTTCCGTCCCCTTTGCACGCGACTTTTCCGCAGAATGCATGGCTTTCTGCGCCCAACTGATTTGGGAGGCGTACCTGAGCATCTTTTTCCCTGCTCGCCAAGGCATCCACGAGTGACTAAATTAATCCAACCCTCGAGAGTTGCAACCATAATTACTTGTGCCCTACGAGTACCGTACTCGTACTAGTGCTGTATCATACCAACCAACCAACCAATCAAGCATTTCTTGCCGCCTTTTTCCAATCTATCTTACCGTATAAATACCCTCTTAGCCGGCAAAAAAAAAAAAAAAAAAAAAAGGAAGAAAAACTTGTTACAGCGGGAAAAACCTCCCCTTTTCGAAGAAGGAAGGGAGAAAATAAAAGAGGTATGATGATACCGTACTGGTATGCTTTTTAGGGAAGCCAAAGATCTTTCTACTAACTGACTTCTCATCCCTTGAGACCGCGCTGCAGTACCATATCATGCCGTAGGTTTCCCATGCCATGCCATGCGCTAGTACTGCACACAGAGTTTTCCAGAACCCAGACAGAGAGGCAGACAGGCGTACTGTACGAGTACTGTAGCTCACGCACACCCACACCCACACCCACACACACCCCGCCTTCTTACCCACTGCTGCACGCCATCACAACGCTACCCTACCGCATTTTTCAAGAAGAAGGAAAGAAAAAGTCTCCAAGTTAGGGCGAATGTCTCCCTTGAGATCGCCATCGCACCATGACATTAGCTAGGCCTAGGACCCAATTCGTTGTTTGCCTCCATGTGCCTGTATCATACGGTGCGGTTCCTGCTACGGTCCAAGGTGTGCAGGCAACGAATGGGAGGATCCTTTGATACCCCCATTATCACGTTGGATACATTTTTGGACGCGATTAGGCAGGTACGGTACGAAATGGTCGGATAAAAAATAAAAATAAAAAAACTCTCTGAGATCCCAAGCCAATCGGCCTCCCCCGTTACACGCCAGCGGCTGTCGGTATACCCTGCTGCTTCTTACAGCAGCAGCTTGATATGCTGTACGATACATGTGGGGGCTTACTGTGCGGTAGTACTGTAGTGCTGTAGTACCGGTGGTATGATAGTACTGCAGTACCGTAGTATTATAGTAACCACACAGCAGTAGCATACAGTGCACAAGTACCCCACCAGGAAACCAGGAAGCAGGAAAGAAAATAAAAAGAAAACTCTCCATACAGTATTTGACAACTCAACATCTGATATCTTACAGTACCGGTACCCGTATGGTACCCAATTTCACACACACACACACATTCTCTCTCCCTCCACCATCAATTACCGTACCTCCCCGTTTCACCAATTTCCCCCCCCCCCCTCGACCCAATAAATGTCCCTGATTGGGCACGAAAAACCCGGTTATGAATCGCTCCGCTCCCCTGTCGCGCGTTACTGTAACAAAGTTAGATGGACACACACCCGTCACCATCCATCCAACCAACCACGTTTTCCCGAACCCGGTCTGTTCCGTTCCCGACGGGAAGCAGCAGTGCTAGTACTTGTAGCAACGACGGGTAGTCTACGAGTATGATACTCGAATAAATTATGATTGCTGCTTGACTGATTGGCAGCAAAATCGAACCCGCACAACCTCGATAAATCATGCTAATCTATCGATTGGCTCTCGCGGGGGATGTCCATTGATTGGTAGATGGATGTCCGCAGCCTACGGCACCGTGTCCGCTGTATCACACGGTAATGATACGAGTTCTGTATGTATGTATGATACTTGCCACGCTGTTTCCGCAGCTTGCCCAAAGCCCGCTGCGGTGGGATGGAATGTAACCTATGATATGATTCCTACAGTTACTGTATGGTATCGACCTATGATATGATATTATGATACAGAAATCAACAGCCTGCTCCTCCTCCTCCTCCTCCTCCTCCTCCTCCCTCACACTCTTCTTGTTGCCCGGTTAGTTAAGGGTACAAGTACGGTACCGTACTATTATTAAACGGGCGCGGTCATCAGCGACAGCGGGGCCCCAACCAACCGACCGACCAACCGACCAGCCAGCCAGCCAGCAAGCCAGTTCAACCAACAAACCAAGCACCAATATCACAGTGTGGGACCACCGTATCATAACCTACCATCCCGAAATAACCCCCCTTCCCCGCAACCCAACCCGTCGATCCCGCCTTTCGGAATCGCTATAATTACGATACGATACGGTACCCTACCCTACTGTATCATACCTCCGTCGCAAATAGCAACAGCACATCAAGAAAAAAATAGAAAAAGAAAGAAAAAAAATAGCAAAAGATTGTCCCTCCCTCCACCCCTTCCGCCCCGCGAAATCTCCTATGATACTAGTACGGTACTCGTGCAGCATTTGTGACGGACCGGGGACACGAGATCGTTGAGATGGGTGGGACCCGGAGCGACGGGGAACAGGATATAATATACATGTCGTCACGCATTGGTCGGTATAATAACTTGACTTAAATTGTCGTTACTTCCGGTACGGCGGTTTTTGCGAAACACACTTGAAGAGGGGATGAAGCGGTGCATGAGACATCACTCGTGGAATTCTGGGCCGAGGGGAGGGGAGGGTTTCACTTGGACGGATATCGCAGCTAGGGTGGAAGGGATCGATTACGGAGGTACTGTACCTCCGTAGTGTGGGTTTTGTTGACGACGTTCGCAAGGGATACGGTAGCACCGTGGGCTGTACAGCACTCGAGTACTAGTGCGAGTACTCGGATACATATGATGCTGTGTGGAGCTCCATGGTATTATGATATTATCAATGCTCGGCATGATGGTCTACCGTATGACATGATAACGGGCATGGCAAACCCCACAATAGCCCGTCCCATCCTGAAGCATGAATCATGCGGACTTGTACGAGTACAGTACAGTACTCGAGTACCGGTTGAAGATGTGGTACTTCTCGAGTAGTACAGTAAATGTGCTGCCAGCTACCGTACCGTAGCATGTTTCCCTTCCACCCGGGCACGGTATTCGAGCCCTTAGGGTGGGTGAAGCGGGAGCGGATGGGGCAATCGGCAAATTGGTTGGGAACCACCGTGGTGCGCCATAACGCGTTGGCGAGGGGGATGGTGCCCGGCGCTCTACCGGTACGGTAGTGTGGGAGCTTGAATACGGGTACTCGAGTACCATACCGCACGTTACAGTACCGTACCGGTAGGGGGATTACAGCTCAGTGTGGTACGCTATTCAGCGTCTCGTCGTGCAGTGCACTCCCCCCACATTTCGGTCGTCACAGTGGTCGTATCGCTTCCCTGGGTTCGCCTTTGCTTGTTACTCGGCAGCGTCATGACAAAAGGAATCACTCAGGTTTCCACGGCTGCAGCAACACCCTATCGTCTATCATCACTCCACTTTATACTTCTACGGCACTTGTACCATCTCCATGCCAGGCCATCGTACTCGTACGCTCCTCGTGATCAACCACCCCCCTCAACGACTCAGACCCCAATGGTCGGTCCTCTCTTACCGATACCCTTCCCTTTGCTCTTGCTCGATCCTTCCCCCGCGATCTCAATCCCGGGTGTCGTCTCCTGCGCTGCAGCGGCACCCACCAGACCCTCGTCAACAAGGCCGGGATCCCATCACACACATCATCGGAATAGGGCATGGTACTCGGGTACTGTATGATAGAAAAAGAAAAGAAAAAACTCACCTGCCCAAAGCGAGCTATACACCCCACTGGAATTGATGAGCTGCTCGTGTGTCCCAGGAGGTTCTGCAACCGAGCCATCTCGCAGAACTATAATTTGGTCTGTGGTTTCGCGACCAGTTTGTTAGGTCGGCGTCCTTTTCTAGAAACGCGAGGCAGGATGGAGGAAAATGAGGAGGTAAAAGGAAAAAAAGAATAATAACAAAAGAGGCCCTACCGCTGTCAAAAATGGTACGCAGGCGATGCGCAACGAATACGCTTGTTCGCTCTTTCTCTTTTAGGATAGAGGAGATGTTTCCTAGGAGGGCTTGCTCGGTGTGAGAGTCCAGGGCGGAGGTCTGTTACCGGTATGGGCACCGTAGGTTAGCTGCCTCAATGCCGTGGAATTTTGGGTCTGGGACTTACGGCTTCGTCAAAGAATAATACCGGGGGATCTTTTAGGAGCAGTCGTGACACGGCGAGGCGTTGCTTTTCACCACCTGTTTGTTAAGGTATCTTGCGTCAGCGCCCGCTCGAGTGATGTGCTGCGATCGGCGCCGGTACCTGAGATCATCATTCCCCGCTCACCAACCATTGTCTGGTAACCCTCCGGGAAAGCAGAGATGGCATCATGGATTCTTGCTCTCTTGGAGACATGCAACACCTCCTCTGCTGTTGCGTCTATACGACCGTAGCGGATGTTGTGCTCGATAGTGTTATTGAACAGTGGGGTATCTTGAGGCACCACGCCTATACTCTTCCTCAGTGATTCAACGGTGACATCTCTGATATCCTGGCCATCAATAAGAATCCTTCCACCCTGGACATCGTAGGATCGGAAGAGAAGTCTTAGGATTGTTGATTTTCTATCAGAGGTTTCAGCAAATGTGAATACTGATCCACCATCCACCCCGGTCATGAGAACTCACCCGCAACCACTGGGGCCAACGATCGCCGTCTTTTTCCCAGCGGGGATCGTGAATGTGACGTTTTTCAGGATCGGCCTGTCAGGGTGATACCCGAATGTCACATTCTCGAATCTAATCTCACCACCTTTAAATTCCAACGGTTTTGCGTCGGGCTTATCCTTGATCGCTATGTTCACCTTTTGCAGGTTGAAGAGGGTCTCCATGTCTAGGAGCGACTGCCTTAACTCGCGGTATACCGAGCCAAGGAAGTTCAAGGGAACCGAAAGCTGGAAGACAAGTTGATTGACCATAACTAGGTCACCGACAGTTAAGTTCCCGTCAATTACACCCTGACAAGCAAGGTACATCATGGCGGTCAAGGCTGAGGAAAATATGACATTCTGTCCCAAATTTAGGAAGGCTAGGGAGGTCGCTACTTTGATGGACGCGCTCTCGTAGCCCTTGAGGGCCTTGTCATACCTACCCACTTCGTACTTCTCGTTGTTGAAATACTGCCTATTTGTTAGCTAGGGGTTAGGGCACAAGCCGGGGAATCGGTGGGGATCGAGTGATAGCAACCTTAACAGCTTCATAGTTGATTAGTGAATCAACTGCTACGGTTGCTCCTTTATTATCGGCTGCGTTTGCTTGCTTTCTGAATTTTGTTCGCCATGCGGTCGTTTTGATTGTAAATACTGTATAGGCTAGCATGGTAGCAGCCGTCACAGCAGCAAAATTAGGCCCGAATTTATAAGTCTAAACGCCTTCAGCTGGTGTGGGGTTTCTATTATATCGCGGGACTGGGGGGATCCCTACCAATATCCCGCAAACCATGGATATCTCAAGGAATATGGGAAATATGTGGAAAACCATCGAAGTAAGCAAAAAGCTTATCCCCTTAGTCCCTCTATCAATAGCCCTACTCAAGCCTCCGGTCTGCCTCGTGAGATGGAAATTAAGATCTAATCGGAGCAAGTGATCGAAAACATTGCAGGCAACTCTTCGTATCGCCTTCTGCGCAACACTGGCAAACACAGCGTTCCTGATTTCTTGGAAAGCAGTTGACCCTATTCGGGCGAGGCCATCTTTGTGATTTTAATGCCCGACATCTTCCACTGCTTTGGTAGTAAAGAAATTTGGGGAAGTCACCGTACATGCTACTATTACAGACCCGGTCGCGGTCCATACTGTTCCTCCAACAGCTAAAAAGTCCACGTTCATGGAGTCGATTATAGTCTTAAAGTAAAATGGTACTTGAACGTTTAAAATCTGATGGATCATTGGTTTTTCTTAGATTGTGTGCGGATGGGATATTGGTTCGAGGAATATGTAGGCAACACAGACCTTCGCACCGACGAGGAGGCCCAGCGAGAGTCCTACGCGGACTTTGACACCAGGGTTTCCCTGCGATGCAATTCCCACTCAGTATCTAACTCCCTGCGACTTTTAGGAAGCGTACTTTTGGCCATAGATAGGTTGACATCTCCTTTATAATCCCCCAATCTGCTTTCCGTTGCTCCTGGGCAGTTAGAGTTGGTTCTCCGAGTAGATTTGGGGCCCCCGTGATAGATGCCGAGGGCATTAGCTTGTTTACGGTGCGTGCGGGGACCTTCTCTGGCTGAGTAGACATTGGAAGACCATTGGTTGGACCGGAGCTCTCATTTTGGAGTAAAAACCGGGTTGAAGCAAAGCCTCGCTCCAATCCAAGTGGGCAGAGCCGTGCGACACCCCGAGAGAGTAGTAACGGCGAAGTACGCCCTGGGGCCGCCCTCGCGATTGAGCGAAGGAGGCAAGGGGAGAGCATTCTGATGCTTCTGCAGCGTTTCTCAGAAAGTGTAGGTTGAAGCGGGAGTGGTAATGGGAATGGTAGATGTGATAATTGAGATTACTCACATGGCATAAGCTGGGTTTGATCGGGAGTAGGGGACAGGGTAGGGCGGGGTGAACAAGAAGAGGTGGAAGGGGGGGTGGAGGGGCAGAGCTAAGGGCCCGGTTCCACTGGCGGCTCCTGCTTAGGCACAATGACGCCAGTCGAGAGCCGCATGGTTGAGGTCGCCCCGCTCCCGTCCGTCCAGTTCTTGCCGCGGGGGAGGTTTTCCGGCCAAAAGATAATAATTATCTACAAGTCCCTGTCGATAATTAGAGCAAGCTTGTCCCAAAATACTTCCGACCACTGCTTTAGAAATGGCAATGGGTTTGGACAGGGAGTGATACCCCCTTTTTTTTTTTGGCGATGAAAGGTTGAATGTCGACCAGGGATCAGCAGCATCACTACCCCCACCACTGCGCACAATCATTTTAGGGCGAGTTGAGGTTCACGAACTTCATCCGATCACCCCGCCATCAATTGCGCCATGGCAACCCGTCGACTGAACCCTTTCTTTATCCCTACAGCACGGTCCTTCCTATCTATTCCTTTGGTCCTCGCACGATCAGGTCCATGCTCGAATCGATCCGTGCACATCCGAGCTACCCCATCAACCACTGCGCTCGACGGGTTTCTAGACTTGTCGGAACAGACACAATCTATCCCGAAACTTAGCGGGGCTGGACCTTTTCCTGCCGGTATGTTAGTTGGGGGAGCTGGGTATTTATATTTCTGTCGGTGTGGGACTAATTGATTCTGGTTGATGTTTAGATGTAAAATTCGAAGTCTTGGGAGCTCCATATTCGCTGCTCTCTGTGGCCTTACCGGCATCCTCGGTATTGTACTCACGGAGAGGAACTTTAGTTGGTGTCAATGGCAGGGCAGATAATGTAAAAGACCCCACTCTTCTCCTGCATTTCTTGAGGGCGAATCACCGACGGATAATGTTCGTAGGCAGTCTCAACTCTATCGTTACTGGAGCCCATTCGACGGGCATTTCTCCGGATACCATTCCTCTATCAAAAGGTCAGCCTCTCACAATCTAAATCGGTCATTAAGTGTGCAGTCAAATGTTAAGGAATTGTTGGTTATAGATATCCTCTACTTCCCCACTCACATGCCTAATATCAACAAACTCACCCAATACAACCTTCGGCGTCATCGAATTGGATGGAAAAGCCGACTGGATGGTTACCCAGAACGATGCATTGCTAGCATGGACCGGCCATTCAATATCTGCAAAACCCAGTGTCAGCCCAAGAATGGTATCCCACCTCGATATCTCTTCCTAAAGTAGCGGGAACGAGGAGGTTGCTAATAATCGAAGAGTCTCGCCCACTGGGGAAATTCCAAGCTCACGGGTAGAGGTCTGGTCGCACTAGTGGGTCGGGGGCAAATCTACCAAGTCACCCTAAGGGCCGGCGAGGAATTCGTCGTACATCCTGGGAGCCTCTTAGCGTATTCTATCAACACAGAATTCGGACCAGTGCCTTACAGGCTCCGCTCAGCATCAATACGTCTTCAAGTCCCGCGGCTCAATCTTGACCGGTTGCTCCTCCAGATTGAGTTTATTAGGGCCATGCATAACTCTGAGGTGTCCAAGACTATCTCTAAAACCCTCTTTGCGTTTAGGACTTGGTTGAGGCGCACAATATGGGGCGATAGGGTGAGTCCAATTCTCCCTCTAGGCCCAGGATCCTCTAATGTGTGATATACAGCTCTTTGTGCGATTCCAAGGTCCTGGGACAATTCTACTTCAATCAAGATCGGCGCGTATTTCTGATATTCTCGGGCCCCATGATGTGAACGAAGCGGCCGCCGTTGAACCCGGAGCTGTTGAGCCCTTGGAACATATTGGTGGAGCTACTGTTGGGTCGGCGTCAAAATTTCCTAGCAAGCCTTTACTTCCGGCCAGTAATTCAGCCGCGGACCACAAAGGTCTGAAAGTGGTTACAGTGGGGAAAGATGGGAAGGTGGAGTTTGAGGATTCGGATTTCAAGGACTTTACAAGGAACTAGTAAGGGGAATATTAGACTACTTAATTCTCTGTAACATATGCATTCAGGCTTTTGCGAGATGGCTAAGGCAGCACCAACAATCTATCCAGACCGCCTTAAAAAAAAAAAGGAAGGGATATGATAGCATCTCCACATAACTTTTAACAGGTCAAAACTAGCCTTTTTTATATATATGTATATTCTACGGCAATGTAAACTGGTCGTAGAAACCTACAGTATTAGTCTATACTCCAGCAACAAGCCTGCTCTCCATCCAGTTGCCCAGTTTGTTGACGCTCCCATCCCATTCCATCAGCCTCTGCTTCATATTCTCGATCTGCTCCTTGTCCAATACCTTTGGCTGCACCCAAGAGATCCTGGCCACCTCAGCCACCTGGTCGATACTGCCGCGGACAAGCCCCAAGCTCAGCGCCCTCATGAGCAGATGTTCGACTTCCTCGGGAAAAACTCTCGTCTCCTCGAGAATAGTGGCAAAGCTTAGGGCACGGTCATGGGGGGGTCTGCGAAATACAGCTTCGGTAAGAGCTGACAGACAGAGCTTCTCACGAAGAAACGAGGACCGGCCTTCGAGAAGTGGCTGTTTGGAAAAATGGCCACTGAGTCCGTGGAACCGAGTGAGATTTCCCGCATTGAAAGCGAATAAGAGATCGCGGAGCCAACTGTGCTCGGTACCCTTTAGCGAGTCGAGTATGGGGTGTAGAAGCAACTCTCCGAAGTTGTATATTGACTCCCCCAACAAGGCAGCGATAGCAAGGTTATAGGCACGCTCCTGTTGCTCCATCTGGCTCAAGTCGGCAACATTTACGCAGGCAAGGTATAGAAGTGCGTTCTTATAGTAAGAGGCGAACTCGAGCTTGGCCTAGAAATGGATTAGATTGTTGTCGGAAGAGTGCGCTGAAGAAGCGTCTTACATTGTAATAGTCGGCATTCACACGGTAAAATGAGGCATGGACAACAGACTCCACAGAATCAAAGGTTTCCAGATTCTTTTCCGCCTCATCCAACGCCTTCCTTGCACCTTCCATATCCGCCAGAAGCAACTTGACCCTGGCAACTTCCACTGTAGCATAGACATAGGCATCCTTGGAGGCGGGCTTGTTGACCTTTGTAGCAATCGTGGTAAGAAACTCCAAAGCTTCATCATTATCTGATTCATGTCCCGTCATCAGCGCGTGTTCACCACTGGGTGATCGGTTTCACGGTTTCAGAACAATGAACAGACCTTTGCTCTCCCTGGCGGCTGACAACCCTAGAGTTACGAACTTCAACTGGTTTATCTTATCCGAGAATGACAAGACAAAGTGTTTGTATATCGGGATCCGCTGGGGGCCACTTTCTGGGTCCTCATAAAACTTCAAAAGAGCTTCAGTAAGTTGATGCCACAAGCGGCGTTCCCAGAAATCTTCAAATTCCAAGAAAAAGCCCTGAAGATTAGGTGGGGCAACTTCGTCTCGTTGCAGGGCAAGGAACTCGGGAATGGGTTTTGGGTCGAGATCCATGATTCGCCTTTGGGAAAGAAATGGAGAAGCTGCCGGTCCGTAGATATAAGATGGATATGGAATGGGTGAAGTTGATGGGTGGAAGCTGTGGATGGAGGAATTGGCTGTCGAATGCTTGCCTCCCACCTTCTTGAAGTCTCCAGGTAGAAGAGGGAGACACTGGGCATTGCAATTTTCCACGTGACATGCTGACTAACAAGCACAGATCTGTGAACCCCGTCCCTCTAGTTACCGGACAAGACATCCCGCCTACCCCTTCTAGTTAGCGATAGGCTCTTGAAATTCTTGAGAATCTCCACTCCCACATTTTATCTCTGCAGCTTGCAGCTCACATCGGCCGCTATGCAGAGGTGTTCTTCGACTTTACCACGGAACACAGCGATGAAGACACAATTATTCAACGTTGCCCCTCCTTTTCGGAGAGCGATTCATGATATCGCAATCACAAGGACCGGGAAGCCTGTCATTCGGGCCCCGGGGGGTGGCAGGTATGCTATGAGCTGTTGTTTCAACTGAAGAGTCCCATTAACACCAAGCGAACAGGTCTTCAATTGGAGGTTTGTCTCATTGCCGTCGATCCAGTCTTCGAGATCATGCTCATCAAATATATAGGACATACTGCGACTGTATTTGGGGCCACCGGCTTTCTCGGAAGGTACATTGTGAATAGGCTTGGTATATATGACCTGTTCTCGAGGTTGGGAGATCCCGCTGATGGGATTGATACCATATAGCTCGTTCAGGGTGTACCGTTGTCATACCATACCGGGAGGAGATGGCCAAGCGTCACCTCAAAGTTGCGGGAGATTTGGGCAGGGTCATTTTCATGGTTTGTAGGCCTGCGCAGCGTTCCGGTAGAAGCCATCTTTAATATAGGGTGATAGGAATGGGATATGAGAAACACGCCGTCCATTGAGGAGAGCGTGCGACACTCTGATATCGTTTTCAATCTGGTCGGGAGAACTTACACTACTAAGTTAGCCCCCCAGAAATATGCATGAGATGGGCCCACTGACTCCGGATAGGAATTTCACTTATGAGGACGTCCATGTCGAGGCGACTCAGAGAATTGCTGAGGCTGTCGCCAAATACGATGTTGACCGGTTCATCCAGGTTTCTTCTTTCAATGCTGACAAGAACTCGGTTTCTAAATACTACGCTACTAAAGTCAGTTTATACACCTTCCAACCTGCGACGGATCTGACGTAGAAATTCAGGGTCAAGCTGAGGAAGATGCCCGTGTAATCTTCCCGGAGACAACTATTGTCAGACCGGGCCCGATGTACGGATTCGAAGATAAATTCCTTCACAGGCTGGCTGGTGCAACTAATGTCTTCACTGCAAATAACATGCAGCAAAAGATGCTACCTGTGCATGTAAGAGCTTCCCAGTATGAACCTGAATGGTTCTATACTTGAAGTTTGTGAAGCATATGACAGGTTCTAAAAATTGGCAGGTAATCGACGTTGGCAGAGCTCTCGAGGCTATTGCATACGATGATGCTACAGCTGGTCAAACATTTGAGCTGTACGGCCCCAAGGAGCACACCCTCAAGGAAATCGCACACATGGTCGACAAGGTCGTTCACAAGACACATCGTCATATAAATCTACCAAAGAAATTATTCCAAATAATTGCCTCTGTACTAGACTACTTGTGGTGGCCTACGATCTCCCCCGACGAAATTGAGAGGCAGTACCTTGATCACAAAATCGATGCTACCGCCAGGACCTTCAGAGACTTGGGCATAGAACCCACAGATATTGAGGCAGATATGTTCCAATACATTAGACATTACCGGTGAGCCTTAAATATTACAACCATCCCAAGAGCACTTCTAACCTGGTTTCCGCAGCTCTGCTGCTTACTTCGACCTACCGCCGATGACAGAGAAAGAGAAGCGGCTTGAGAGACAGTATCTTCATGTACAGCAGGATCTCTAGAAAATGAGGAGGGGCATGTGTCGTTATAATTAGGGAGTGCCCTTCCTTCTACATATATCCTGTAGAAAACCATACATAGAATCACAACGCAGGGTGTTTGCATCACGACGGGTAAAACCCTATATATATATTGTGTATTTGGAAGGAATCATACCGGCTCCGAATAGTGACTTGTATTATATCTATTATATCGAGGCTTAGTGTTCGAAGAAGTCTAAGGTCGGTTCTGGGTGTGTAACGTTATTTCTATAATATGATATTATGATACAAAAAAACTCTGCCCCGGTGCCGAGGTTAGAATTATGTGAAAGTATGAGTAAACCTGTGCCAGGGCCTATCCAGTTCCTACACCCAAAGAGCTTCTTGGAAGGGGGGAGCCTTTGTGAAAGGGCCCTGAACCCCTTTTCACCAATTGCGCAGTTATCGTGACCCGGGGAGGGATACAATTGACAGAGCCCAAAAGCTCACGGAAACAAAACCACCATCACAACAGTCCTCTCGCCGTATCCACCAGCTACGGCTTCAATTTCATTAATCCTACCTACCAAGACCCCCGTGATACTACAACATATTGTTCAACTACCCCCCCCCCCCGAATTAGCTCTCTCGAGAACGGCGACCCCTTTAGCCCCAAACTCCCAAAAGCCGCAATGGCAATTGCTCGCGAGCACGACGAGTACCTAGAAGCCCAACTAGCAACCCTCCCGCACCTCCCCGCTATCGAGCGACTAACACCGAGAGTGATCCGCATCCTAGGCGGGAACCCCTCAAAAGTATGATGCCTTCCCCTCAAACCGAGCAACCCCCCCCCCCAAAAAAAAATCCCGGCTAATCCACAAACCCCATCAAGTACCACCTCCAAGGCACAAACACCTACCTCCTAGGCACCGGTCGCGAACGTCTCCTGATCGACACAGGCCAGGGCGTACCCATCTGGATAGAAACCCTCTCCGACGTGCTAACCCGCGAGAACGCCATCGTGACGCAAGCCCTCCTAACGCACTGGCACCTCGACCATGTAACGGGTTCCCGCGATCTCCGCAGGTTGAGCCCGAGCACAAGGTACTACAAGAACTCGCCGGACGACGGGCAGGAGGATATCCACGACGGTCAGGTATTCTCCGTCGAGGGCGCTACCGTTCGAGCGCTGCATACGCCCGGTCACACCTTTGACCACATGTGCTTCCTCTTCCAAGAGGAGGACGCGATATTCACGGGCGATAACGTCCTGGGGCATGGGACGACGGTCTTCTCGGATCTTGGGGCTTACATGAAGAGTTTGCAGAGGATGCTGGATCAGGGTATGACGGGCGTCGCGTATCCCGGGCACGGTGCGCTGATTGGGGATGCCAGGAAGAAGATTGCAGAGTATATCCGCCATCGGATGCGCAGGGAGGAACAGATCGTCAAGGTCTTGGAGGAGAAGAGGAATTCCGGGGGAGACTTGGCGTTGTCCGCGCTGGATATCGTCAACGTGATTTATACCTCTGTTGGGCCGGAATTGCGTCTCGCGGCGGCGAAGGGTGCTGTGCAGGTTCTGGAAAAGTTGGAGGCCGAGGGGAAGGTTGGAAGGGAGGACTGTGGGGAGCAGAAGAAGTGGTTTTCAGCCGACCAACCGAGTCTGTAGAGAGACTATGATACTTGGGATTTACAATACGCTACCATGGGTGGGGGGACAGTATCTTCAGCATATTTGTTACGTTGATACTAGTCGAACTTCCTTCACATCAAGTCATTGGCTCATGCCCGCATTGATAATAGTTAATGAAATTTCCTAGTCTAAAAGACAATAACAACACAATAGCCCCCCCCCCTCTTGGTATCTGACGAGTTCAACAAAGTATCCCACAGTCAGAGTATGCACACTTAAACACGTCGTGGTAAAACGAGCAACTATCAGACTGCAACTCGAAAGCAGTACCACAAGACAGGATAGAAACATACAATAACCTCGACGCCAAAGCCCCCCATAGCCTTAGAATATACAAACAGCCTAATTTAAACACCCTGAAACAACGTTAAAAATATAATTCACCTCGAGGAAATTCACCACCCCAACCCGAGCAAGTTCCTGCTGTTGACAACCCTTGTCCAGATAACATGCCGTTTACTCCTCTCCTCCTAATATCCCGGCCCGATGCCGACAATACCTCAGCTCAAGCTCCGGATCATGTAAAACAGTAGATATGCCTTCGCTGAGAGAACATCCTTCTCGGTGGCAAGTGTGACCATGCTATCATCAAACCGAAACCACTTTTGTCCCTTCGTACTCGTGCAAAGACAAGCAAGCACCCTTCTTGTGAGCACTGAGGAACCAGAAGAAGAAAACGATATTCAGGTGAGAGGGAGGGAGGGGGATATGGCAGAAAAGGGAGGGAAAGACGTGGGTAGAGTATTTTCAGGAATTTGGTGGGAGAATGATATGACAAACCTGTCCGTTTTCACGTGAAAAACTTATATAGTGGCCAGAGTTTATCTGGCCCGTATGAACAACAACACTGAGAAGGTCGTATAAGTAAGGTCCATGGCCTTTAAGGCTAGATTTAGGACCACAATCTGTAGAACCATCCCTTCCTTTCCGTTTCGCACGTGTCGTATAAGGGGTCATGTCCAGCTGCATGGGGAATCGTATTTTGGTATCAATTTTTGATGATGATTTTGTGGAACCATGCTCAAAACGCTTATCCCAGAGTGTGAGCGCCAAAGCGTAAGATCACTTGATTATTGTAAAAACTTACCTTGAGTTGAATGCATAGTACCGGTGGTAATCTTTTGACCGTTAACTGCTTTGTAGCCACTTCTTGATGTCCAGAGCAATTTCCGCAGTTATACTCGTTCATTCCCAACTTTTCTGTGCTTGTAAACCGCCCAAGGCATTCTTGTAGAGTCTGCATGGCCCCTTCCCCTTCAGTCTTTGGGACGTCTAGTCTCCTCTTATCCTTTTTTCTCAGGTCCAGGCTCAAGTCCATAACCGGGTCAACGGCCGTTGTGACATTTTTACATCCTTCACACGTCACATCGCTCTGGAGTTTACCATAGAATGCGCGATGGATAATGCATTTGCACGGCTCCGTCTTGGTATCAGAGTTCCCACCATTGGTTGCATGTAGCTGATTCAGAAGAAACTGGAGGTATTCGTGAGCGTCCTGCTGTTGATATCCAGCTAATGTCTTTCAGGTTGGTACATATTGGTTAGCAAACAAAACAAAACGAGATCCACAATGACCAAAGTCCTTACTTGCTCGCACTTCCACGACGTGGTGAGAAGATTGACCGGCCCAAACCCATCCGTCTTATCTGCGGCAAAAAACTCTGAAAATACTTCCTCCATGGCGCAACTCATGCAGTTGGTTTGCACACACTCCTTGGGCTTATGGCCATCTGCTAAGTAGAAATTCCGGACAAGTGGATTATGTATCAAGCTCTGCAATACAACACTCATGAAGCAGGTAGAGCCCATGTTAAGAAACCCCCTGAGCCCTGTAGCTTTGCAGGGCGCGAGTGTTGCATGCGCCTCGATGTATTTAAGGTCCTCGGGTGAGGGTTTGATATCATCCAACCGCCTCCTTTTCCGGGCTACACACGCTCAACCCGTTAGCGCCACCAGAAGTCACTCAGCCTTCGCAAAGTGAAGTGGTAGAAGGTGAAAACTACGGAGAGAGGATAACATACCACCCCCCTCCATAGCTACCTCCTTTTCCATCCTAATATCTTCCAATATCGGATCATACACGAAGTCCTGGCAAAGGAAGCAGTAGACATGGCCGCTTCTCGAGTCAATACCTAGTAATAACATCAGAATTCAAGCAATAAACTTCATACTTGGGAGCCTGGGTCCAGCCAACCAAAATGATGACGCCTTTCCTTGGAGTGGGCTTCTGCGTCCTTGGGGCAGTATATGCTCGGACATTCCATGCAAAGGAAGGTTCTCGTAATGAGAAACTTGCATTTCGCACAAGCTTGCGCATGTGTCCGGCTCGAATCCAAAGCCACACGAGTGGCGTCACCGTAATGGCTTTTCATCTTGCTACCCTCCCTAGGGCTCAGGAGAGGCCTTTTGATGTGATCTATTGCGCGAGGCAAGGAGTAGGAGTTAGTTTTCCGATGTGCCCAATGAAGCCGACGATAGCTTTAGTGGACCAAAGAAAATAGGAGACCCACCGCAGCCATAGGTTGGAAGAGCGGCCGAGCTATTAGCGAGGGGTTTGCTGTTTTTGACGGCTTTAGGTGAAGCCGACAATGCGGAAGCAGAAGGAGGCTGCGGGCGCTTCAATACAGTGGTGGGGCTCATAGTGGTGGACAATCGTGTCCCGAGGGGGGGGGTGAGAGGTGTGTGTGGTTGGTAGTGACGCGGTAAGAGAGAGGGGCGGTAGCGGCGACTTGAACACGGAGATCTGGTTGTAGCAAATGCAGCGGCGCCCTCTCTCGCTCTCTTTCTCTCTCTTTCTCTCTCCTTTGCTCCTTCACAACACGAAGTGAGAAGCGGTGGCTCACCGAGTGCGAAGTTATGGGGTTCCACCGCGCGCGCACAAGATGTGTCTCATAGCGGGAATGAGGCTGAAAATATCCCTGAATCTGACGCTCTGCCAAATCGAGCGTCGATGTTTATGTCGTATCCAACACCTAACCCTAATCCCATCTGCCGGGTGAAAGGGGGGGGAACGGGACTGAGTGCGTGAACTACGGTACTCCACCAGGGTTCAACGATCCATACTCGAGTAGTGCGTTGTATGATATGATACTCGTGCTTCTCAGCCAAGATTTGGCACCCCATTTGTCCTAGTGTGTGGCACAAGTCCTCGTCCGCAGAAGGGGTATAGCTTTCGAATAGTGTGTAGCTAGTTCTAAGCTAAACTCTTCTGAGGGAATCACCGGAGCTGAATGCCGTAAGTTGGGAAAAAAAACAGTTAGGTGGCCCAGGTGATGGTATATAGCTGTGCACCATTGGCATGCTATACCGCTTCAGTGGAAAAGAACTGGTGCCACCCGCTAGGGCAAATTGGGTGCCAAATCTTGGCTGAGAAACACGAGTAGATGCGCCAGACTCGCGACGAATCTTGGTTACCCCAGTTCCTCAATCCCTTGTTAAGGCTATGGGTCATCCTTTCGTCACACTGACCCTTTTTGAGCCGAACCCCCAAGCGAAAGATATGAAAAGCCCCGGCTGGGTATCAAAGGGCGATATCCCGCGGAAATCCACAAGGACGAGCCCGGGACAAGGCAGTCCTGGGCTTAGCTAACGGTAATCCTTGTAAAGCCTTTCAAAACCCCCGGAAGATAACAATAGAAGTGCCCTAGACTTAGCATTGTGACGTGGTGAGGCTACTACGAGTAACGGATATGCCTTCTCTCTAAATCAGGGCCTTAGTGAGTGGTGAGGAGAGTGGTTCGTTGGATCAGGAGCCGCTACTTCTGATGCTAAAAAAAAAACTCATAGGAAAGAGTTGCTAGCTCCTCCCACCGTATCTTGATCACTGTGGTAGTATCCAGTCAACACCGCTAGCGGTGCCGTACAGTACGAGCGCGCGCCGTAATGGTAACCCAGCATTGTTCTTCCATACAGAATGTTTGTTTGATCCATCCCCCCCCGTATTGGTGTGATATTGTTGCACTCAAAGTCTTCTGCCGGGAGTGATGCCATATTTCACAGGCCATCTTGACATGAATGCCGGAAAAATGAGTAGTCATAAATTATCACTCGGCTATCTCCATCGTCAATTTCGGGAACTGGTGCAGCACTTTTGCCGTAACTGTTTTTGGGTCTTATTGGAGTCAAGGCCATTCCCCAGTGGCTGATGTTACCCGTACCGGTATTAGATTATTGGATCCATAAGGGGTCCGACATCTGGACCACCGGTAACTTGCCCCGCAGTTTCCACCCGTCTAGGCGACGCTTAGACTACCAGTAGCTATATTCTGCTCTATCGTGCACATTATGTTGCCAGAGCAACGGGCTGGATCAGACAGGGATGAATGGTGGCGGTAGAAACCTTTTATCATGCGAGCTAAAAGCTCAGTTAACTCCGTGCAGAGATAATGTGGCATTCTCAAGAAGAAAACAATCGAGAATGGTTAGCTTCATCAAACTAATTCTTAGCCTTCCTGCATTTATCTAGCAATATGTCCCTCCTCCCTTGCAGCAACTTATAATGGTTTAGGTTAGCTTAGTTTTTGTCCTAACTCGGCCTAGTTCCCTGACTTTTTAAAATTCTGGGGCAGAACCTGAAAGTTCCTTGACCAATCTTTCTCTTGGCACGAAGCCCGCAAAGATAATGTGCACTACGGAGCAGAATCTCGCTAGTATCATGTTGCAAGGGCTTAGACTATCATACAAAAAAAACCCCCCGGCACTAACCGCACTCGAACCAATTCAAGTTTCTAGCTTGTGTGGCTTGATGGATGTCAACCACCCAAGTCAAACACAACCGCACCCCCACATTTACTTTTTTCTTTTCATTTCCCTTCTCCTCGAAGAAATTTTTTTCCATGTCGTCCAGCAAAGCGGAGGGCGACAGCGATAATGAGCTCCAGTCTGTTCCTCTTCGCCCGTGCTCGTATGTTTGGTTCCGACGACTAATCATTGTTTCGTAAGCTACACAGACTCTCCTCGGTTGCGCTCGAAGCATTGAACTCGTTTCTCGTGGAGAAAGATGAGCGACAGAGACGCTTTGCGGATCTGAAGGCCACGCTGGAGAAGGAGTATGAGGAGAGACAGAAGGTTATTACCATGGAGGATTTCGAGGAGGATTGGCAACAGAGTCAGGTATGTGAGAGCCCAGGGACTCGAGGTTTGCGGTGCCGGTATTGGGGGAGAGGGGAGGGAGGGGAGAGAGTTCTTCTTTTCTTTTCCGTTCTTCCGCGATATACTGCATGGCACATAAGTGAATGAAACTGTTCTCAAATTGTGCCCTACGAGTAGTTCTGGTATGATCCTGCCACAGCGGAGATGCTCGCGGAGGAGATTCTTGATGGGGCCACAGAGGAAACGCTGGTCGGGATCATCTCGGCTCCAAGTGTCTTTGTGAAGATCCAGGAATTAAAGGTGTGTTCGTATTTCCGGAGGGGCGGATCTTGGGGGGGGGGTCTCTAGATGACTCTTTAATATTCGTATTAGCTAACCATTTCAAAATACGAAGCACAGGCAGCGGGAAGGATAGCAGACTCCATCAAAGTCCGGTTATTAGAATTCGATAAGCGCTTTGATTTATTTCCGGAGTTCACACACTACGATTTCCAATACCCTCTTAGATTGCCATTAGAACTGAAGGGAAAGTTCGATCGGATCTTAATTGACCCGCCTTTTCTAAGCAATGACTGCCAGACCAAAAGTAGGTGACTTGTTGGTATCTCCTGCATCATAAACCCTGGATTATATATTGGATTATACGAGTACCTGAGCTCCTCTGAGGCGCAAGGATGGCGGCCGGTAGTCTATCTGCTCGAGTAGCTCCTTGACGCACTAAGCCCATGGACTGACAATCCTTTCTACTTGTAGCCGCCCTCACAGCTCGTTGGTTGATGAGACCGTGGGTTGCACCGGCAGGGGCTGCGAGCACATCTCACGACAACGGTGGTCGCAACACTGCGGAACAGTCACCCACACGCATAATGATATGCACAGGCCGGGTGGTGAGGGAGCTGGTTGAGAAGCTTTTCCGCCCTGCTGGTGTCCGAGCGACGACGCTCGAAATTCGACATTCCAAAGGCTTAAGTAATGAGTTCCTGTGCTACTCTTCCTTTGAGAGCAAGCGTATCAAGTGGGAGCAATGAGCGGAGAATTCGACCCAGCGACTTTTCAAAGGGATCCGTCAGTTTGCTTAGAAATACCGGCAGAGTTTCTTATCGCACAACATCACCATGGTAAGATTTTTTGTTTTTGGTGCCCAGCAGGAGAGCACCGGTGGGGCACCGGCCAGGAATTAGATCCAAAATCAATCAATCAGGGGATAAATAAATGTATGTATGTCTCTGGAAAGAAAGGAGTCACGAAGAGGGGTGTTTTTTTCTTCTTTCCTCTCTCTTTTGGATATCGACTCGTCGGGTGATTTTCCTCGTACCGGTAGTCTATCAGATGATTCAGTTGGGCTACCATACCGTTCCGTACATCACAGTAACTCTGGAGTTTGTTTGATTAACAAGCGTGGGGATGGATGGAAGGCCAAAGGAAAAGAGAAGCCCCGCGAAACCGGGGGAAAGCGGAAAATTACTCCATTTCTATGGGTGGACAGGCATTCCGGTCCCCGTTAACTCGAGTTACCCAACCACCAATGATGGTGGCACGCAGCGCACATCAACATAGGGCAATTCCATGAGATGGTGGGTCCCCAGGAGTCCAAAGTCGGTAAACTCGACCCTCCAGGAGTCTTGGATTCCAAGATGGAGGGGTCGGATCAGACGGAACACCTTAAATCCGAAAGCTCCGTGATGCCCTCATGGATTTACCGGTGAAGTGTTGCCAATTCACCACTCTATCATAAAATCAAGTGAGCCTCATGAAGCCTTGCGTGGAGAATTTAGGTTCATCTTGGGCTTGGAAAAACAACGCAAGAGAAAGAGGTTGTTTCCCTTCCTTTTCCTTCTTTCCTCTTCTCCCCTTCCCTCATCCCTCTCACGAGCCATGTGTGTTTGCTTGTTTGTTTGTTAGGGAGGGATTGCACCGGTCATCTGGAGAGAGGGCCCACGTTGTTGTCGTTGAAGGATGCACTTTAAGCTTGGCGCTCTCGTTTACCGGTAGCATGACAGTGTCCTCAATGATAAGTTAGCATTTTGCCTGCATGGAGGGAGGGTAGGACTCAAGATTGAGTCACACCTGGAGTTGTTCCTCCTCGTGGTTTAGATTTTCGCACTGCGCTGTATTATCATGGAGCGGTATGATATCTCTCTAGGATAGTCTACCGGTATCGTACTGCCAACCTGCCAGTACGATACCCTTTGCAACCATCTGCGACGTCATTCCGTCCAACGCTGTTCTTACCTCCACGGATCACATTTTTACCTCGTGTTCCGGGTTCACGCTTCCTTCTAAGGAAAGCCTCCTGAACCTCTCTTCCTCCTAGTGACCGGGCTCGCCGGGGACCGAGAAATATTATCGCACGACATTTTCAATCTCTCCCCACTCCCCCCCCCCCCTCATCAGGTTCCCATTCCAAATTTACTCGTGCAGTATCTACCATGCGGTAGAATTAGAGTTAGAGCCAGGATGCTACCGTATCATAATTGAAGTATATATAACTGGGCTTAGGGTACCCTCCGTCTCCTCTCGTTTCCCTATGGCGCAGTAAATTATATGGGTCAATTTTTTCCTTTTTTCTTGCGATACGACGAGTGCAATACTGTGTCAGAGAAAGAGAGAGAGAGATGCTGAATCGAGCTGTGCCTTTTTGGCTTGCGGGCCTGACAGTTTCATCTTTGCAATTGGTCTCCGCTGATGAGGAGCACCACCACCATGGTGGCCATGAGGGCGTTGCTCCGGCTCCTGGCTCGTTAGACACCCTTCCATACTATTTTGCGCATCCCGATCATAAGGGGCTGTTATATGGCCATATAGCTCTTATGAGCATCGGCTGGATCATTATCCTGCCCATAGGTAAGGCCTTCATAGTCTCGTTAACGATAATAATAATCATAATTTTTTATTGGAGATCGAAATCAAAATCAAAAAAATCATCCTATTGACACATGCAATAGCCGTTGTCCTCGCGATTGCGGGCTCCAGATACCACCTCCCAGCCCAATTGCTTTTCCTCGCAATCCACGGTTTCGCCGTATTCCTCTCAATCCTTTACAACAGCGCTACCCCAGATCTATATCCCAACAACTCACATCACAAGCTCGGATGGGCCATCACCTGGATATTAGCTGCACAGTGCATCCTGGGCGTCTTGGGGAGGACGGTTAGGATGGCTCGCTGCACCGGGAATCTTGGTGGTACAAGGGAGCAGACCTCCGGGTTTATCCCCGTCCCGGCTCAGGATCCGGAGGATCATCACCATCATCACAACCGCCACAATCACAACCATCATCATACATTTCAGCGCCACTCTACCGATAGTGGGCAGGGCTCGGATGAATATCATTCTCGGTCCCCCTCTTCCTCGTCCCTGGAAAATCTTCGCTATGGGAACCTCGAGGGCGTGGGTTTGCCCCTGCTAGAGGCGCACGACCGCGAGAAGGCGACCTTGGTGGAGCGCTTGACGAGTACTAGTCGGCTCGATTCGCTCCTGTCACGATGGTTGCCGTCTTTGCTCAGGTTCAAGGTTTTGGGAATAAGCGACGCTTTGTATTCTCTTATCGCTAGGTTTTCGGTTGTTTTGGGGTTCGCACAGATATCGCTCGGCATCGTGACTGCGAGTGGGATATTCGTCAGTATTCCGGGCCGAGGCGAACTTCTTACTTTCCGCGAGAATTGGCTAACGCGGTTATTTTCCTGTTCAAATAGATGGAAAATCGAGTGTTCAATGGTCTCGCCCATTTCATAAAAGGCGGAATATTTTTCCTCTATGGTGTTTTAACACTTGGGCGGTGGCTTGGTGCTTTCAGTGAGCTTGGATGGGTATGATACTTCCTCACGGCCCGAGGAGCAGCTACCTAATGTGTTATTTATTAGGCCTGGAACGTCAAGCCACCTGAGGAGTATGGCGGCAAGTGGAGATCTAGAATACCCTCAGCTGAGATGGTCGAATCTTCCGTAATATTTGCCTACGGGGTGTCCAATGTATTCCTCGAGCGTCTTGCTGGACGGGGTGGAGCTTGGTCGCACGGGGACTTGGAGCACGTATCCATCGCCTTTATGTTCTTTGGAGCTGGTCTTGTATGTCTTCAGGTGTCCCGGAAAGCTGTATTGGGGATGACTGATTCGGAATAGTGCGGTATGCTTGTGGAATCGCAAAGGATAAGAAACGTCTTAAACCAGAGCACCATTATTCAAATCGGTGAAAACAGAAGACCCTACAATATTAAAACCCCACGGCAACCAGATACTGCGGGTCATAAGGTGTCACTAAACCCTCTCCCGGCGCTTGTGATATTCTGCCTCGGGGTAATGATGAGCCAGCACCACCAATCTTCGGCACTGTCGACCAAGATCCACACTCAAGTATATCCAGGCTCAACAGTTACATGGGTCGCGGCAACTGACGTGTGCACAGTGGGGAACTCTTCTAGCCACGTTTGGCGTGTTCAGGCTTTTCACTTACGTTCTACTATATCTATTGCCCCTAACTTCTTACTATCCATCCAGGCCCCCAACTGAGATAATCGGGTCATTTTGCCTCATGGCGGGCGGCCTTGTGTTTATGGCGAGTGTAAGTCTACTTCCAGAGGGTTATGAACCTCGGTTTTGATTAGCGCGCTGCACGCACTTCCAGTAGTACAAGGCACAAAAAGGGATTACTGACCGCACCACTCGATACAGAACAAAGACACAGTTGCAGCACTTGACCGAGCGAATGGGGACGCAATGTTCGTCCTCACGGTAATTATTGGATTTACCGTTTTGATCATGAGCTGGATAACGTGTGTGATGGCAATAAAGGGATGGGCGCTTCGGAGAGAGCAGCAGTAGCAGCAGCAGCAGCAGCAACACGCATGAGCCTACGATCCACGTACAAGTACCGTACCTGCTTGAGACGCGGGATTTATGGAAACGGCGGCGTGCTAGCTCGCTACAAGTAACATGACTTTTTCTGTGACGGCTTTCTTCTTTTCCACATGGTTTTACGTTGTTCCGACGCCGCCTCTAAACCGGTTGTGGGTGTTGTTTTGTTTTGTCCCTTCCTCTCCCGTGTGCTGATTATTTGCTGGTCGTGCCACTCCTAAGTTGCAGAGCTTTTGCTTGAGTTTCAACTATCGTAGTATGGCTTAATGATTTCCTGGTGCAGGTGGATGTACCGGTCTGTATTTAGCTGATGTGTGCACGGTGCGGTATGCTGTGTTCATGTATGGACAACCATTTGTGGTAAACTCGACTGAAATCGACCAAAGTTACTCCATCAGAGCATCACCCTCTCGCACTCTCGGTGTTATCCAAGAGCTGAAAATCGCTGGTCTCGAATGATATCTGGCACCTTTGCGCACAATCGTGCTCCACTGTAGAAGTGCGTGTGGTACCGTGTATTAGGGCAGGCTATGGAGCCCAATCCGGAGAATCCCAGATGCTTTTGAGGGTGGGGAAAAAAAATGACAGCCTCATAGGCAAACGCGGCTTAGCTGGGTCAACGCGCCAAGGACAACATAAAGGGAGATTCAGCACAAGAGTTTGTTTGTGAATGGAAGAGGCCCTGATTGGGATGATCTCTCTTCCCACCCATCTCCCTCCCCCTCCCCCTCTCCCTATCCCCTTGTCATTCGATCCCAACTCTATTTCTTTCCTTTTTCTTCTTCGCACAACATTCTGTCTCTACAGATAGCAATGCCTCTTACATCTGAAGACTTCTTCCTCTTTTTTTTTTTTTTGTCTGTTTTACTCTGCTGCATAAGGAACTGTAGTCCACCTGTACTGTATCATACTCGAGTACCGTACGTGTGCAGCCCGATTTCAGCTCAGGTTTGACAGATTTCTGGGGTCCTCAAGGCTCTAAACGAGAAGAGCCACCGATGCGGTTCCAGTTGCTGCGCTGCACTGTACGAGTACGGGTGCCCACACCCTTTCCATTTGCGTTTTCGAGTTAACCTACCGGGACTGCAAAGCGGGAAGAGGCGAAGCTCCTCAATAGCCCTACAAATATAGCCATCTACTGTGACACGACCTCATTCGGCCAATAAGGCTTCCATTTCTGGATTTCGGGATTGGGAAAAACCGCTGTTAGCTGCTTGCTGCGGACTGCAGGCGCCCAAAAGAGGTTGAATTTATCTGCACAGACTGTCTCTCCCTACTCTCGTTCCTCAGGAAAGGTACCGAACAGCCACAAGCCACCATCGGTTACCGGACCGTACCGGGAGACCCCAGAGAATAAAGTAAAAAATACGGTAGTGTTGATAAATAATTGGGAAGTCGCTGGCCAGTGCTGTCAGGGTTGTGGTGCCTTCCGTGCCCCCGCTTTGGATTATTATCCACCTGCCTTTTACCTATATAAGGAAGAGATCCTCCTCCGGAGCTACCTATCTCGTTCCCGGGGGCCTATCTGTTACTGTCGCCCAGGATTGACTGCCCCTCCGAAGCACTTTGCAATTACGCATACCGAAAGGAAAAGAAAACATACTTTGCGATATCTAATCAATAAACCGTTGGATAAGAGCCCACATTTGCACCCCTGAACAAGGACCGGCGACAATGCCATCCTCAGTTGAAGGTTTGCCAACTTCTGAATACCGACAATTGCAACCTACTCTACAGGGAAGAAACAATGGAAAGCCTACCTCCATCGCATAGGTTTGCTGCAGAGTTGGATGCCGGGTGGGGGGGGACAGAGGGGGGGGAAGCGGAGCGACTGCGTGGTAATAACTCGGCGGTGCTACGGAGGGTGGAGAACCAAATGGGTATGAACCCGATCCCGAGTGAATGATTGGAAAAAAGGGGGGGAAGGAGAAGTGAGGGAAGAGAGGCGAAAAAACAAGCAATCAAAGCAAGAGAGCTCTGCGCAAGCTGGGTGAATGAAGTTGAGAAGGCTGTCATTTCTTGGGGGGCGATCCTTTCAAGGCTCAGTGTTTGTTCTGACGGTGAAAATCATAGGAGGGGTGGAAACATTCCTGCAGGAGATGCTGCGACGGCGAGATGTGCTGAATGGAACGAGTAGAAAACGCAAGCCTTCTGTGAGCACGATTTGTTTTTTTAATTTTTTTATTTCTGCAGGGGACATTATGATTGGGTGTCTGACTTCTTTTCAGTTAAGCACTGGGGAGCCGGTTCTCAGCCTAGTTGCTTCATCGAAGTTGCGCGACTATCTCATCACGCAAATGAGTGATAGCTCAGATTCCAGCGAGGCTGACTCCCCTCCGGGGAGTATTACCAGTCTTGATTCACAAACATCCATATCCTCACCAACATTCCCAAGTGAAAACTCGATGCCGATACTGCCGGAAAAGTCTGTCCTCGATTTAATACCTGAATGCGTTCCTCACTTCTCGCAAAAGGTATTGGATGAGATCACAATGCCAATGTCGGGGTGGGTTTCTCTTTTCATGAGCCTTGGTGGCTGGTGCACGGTAGCTTACTCTAATGTATCCAGCTGGAATCCATCGACAATGACACTTCCCCCTCCACGGCCAGCCAATCTGGAAAGCCCCACTAATCGGGAATTATTACAGGCCTACCTGGATATTTCGGCAAAACGACTAGCAGATACCTCGCCCTCATACGTGGATCTATTTAGAAAGTACATACCTGCCATGGCTTATGATTCGACGGGGTTGATGGAGGGAATATTGGCCTTAGCCGCAATTCAGATAGGGTTGATGAGGAAAGACACCCGCATAGTAGCAGTCGATGCTGCTTCTCATTACCATAAAGCGTTAAAGGCGCACTTTAACGCCGTTGCAGACCCTAACTCTAGATCAAAAGACTCACTCCTCGCTACAAGTATAATCTTGGGTCATTACGAGGTATTTTGCCCTCGGCTTTTGCTTGTCTCGGCCATTCACTTATGCTCCGTGCCATCAAGATCTGGAATGGAGAAAATGTGAAAATGGGTGTTCATATGTTGGGAGGAAGGGACATAATACTGGCTAGAGGTATCAGAGACTCTTTTTAATCTGAATATCGGGGCCAACCATTGATACCGGTTTAGGTAAAGCAGCTCACATGACGCCAGTGGGGAGAGCCCTTTATGCCGCTTTCAATAGGATGGATGTGGCCACCTCAAGTATTACGGGAAACCCAACATTTCTAACAAAGGTTAGATATGCCCTTGTGGATTGGCTGCGCGTAGAGCATTATTAACTTTTATCCGTTTAGGATTGGTGGACCGTTGACCCATTCACTCGTGTTCCAATTTCAACGGACTCCCCAACCCTTCTAGCAGCTGACGCTGCTCTCTCGAAGCTCTGTGTGCTCTGTTGTAAGCTCACCTATCTTAAAGCTTGGTCGTTGAAACGTAGGAGGACCCTGTGGGTTAAATCCAATGGAAACCCCTCCTTAGAACAAAAGGAATCACTCCAAGAAATAATTGAAGATCGAGTATTAAAATTAGAAGAAGAACTTGATATGTGGTATGCCGAGCTTCCCTCTTGGTTTTCCGCCCTTGACACCGGTCCCCCGGACTATAATCCTGGAGACGAAGACATAAACACAACCCCAATTGCTTCAATTGCCATGGGAAGCTATCAGCATACATCTATAGCCCTTGTCCATGGCTGGGCAATCGGCGTCAGGCTTCAGCTCAACCGGATAAGTAACCCTGACATGCCGGTTGTTCCACCTCGCCTAGGATCTCTGTGCCACACGCTCCTCCGAATATTTGCTTGTTTGCCGAGTTCGACTGATGCATGCATGTAAGTGCCGTTGCTCTCAAGAGGTTCTAGGAACAATTCTTAACTCCTTCCATAGTGTGGCCCCATTATTTGCAGCTGGCATGGAACTACGCCAAAAGTGTCACCAAGAATGGTTATTAATTGCTCTGCGAGACCGAATAGACGAGACTGGGTTCCATGGTTTGATATTCCTGCGGGAAGGATTGCGTTTTACCTGGGCCAAGCTGGAGGGCATGAACAAGGGCCGATTCAACCGGATAAAAGAAGGGGCCGCATCAAAGTATGGAATTTCCCGTCCGTCGCTCGTGTTTTTTGGCTAAGAGATGTCTAGAATCGACGGAGTTTCGGAAAACCTCTGGGCAGCCGAAGGGATGCTAGGAACATTTGAGAAGCTAGCGCTTTACGATTCACCAGACATGGTGGGAAAGAGAAAAAATTTCCAGGGGGATATTGACACATCCAATCTTCCGGAGGATCTCGTTCCATATGAAGCTCCTAAAGCAGACCCCATAGTTATAGTCATCGACAGTGCCAGCTCAAGTCCTGTTGCTGCTCCGAAGCGGCTGAGGTCCGACTCACCGGAAATAATATTAGTGAAAAGAAATGGCCGTGTTGTGTGATCTTCAATAATCTTTATCCCAAGAGTGGCATCTCTAGGATGACGACGGTATACCACCACCACGTCCTTGCTTTGCCGATCTGGACGCCTTTTGAGAAATTGCGATTGATTTAATTTGGGGATATGTTTACCGCTTGGAGTCTCGTGAGGCTAGGGGCAATGATGTGGGCGCATGATTATGATGGGTTTGATAGAGTGGTTGCGCGCTTTTCGGGTCGGGTCGCATGAAAACAGCGAATGAAATATCAACTGGTTATCGGATGTACCTTGCGCCTTATGAAGTTGCTGCGTTGCTGTGATACCAGCAAAAGCTCCGTTCTGAGATTTGGAGTATTTCGCACCAAATATGATATTCCCAAAATATCTAGCTTTCCACCCCCACGCTGACTCGCTCTCACAGACTCGAGTGATACTATGTGAATGTCAGTCACGAATGTGAGAGTATTACCGGCATGTCTAGAGTTTCCAAGAACTCTGTGATTAAAAATGACCCTACCGCGCTGGCAGGGCAAGCGGTGCGGGGGTGCGCATTTAACCTTCCCCAGGAGGATCCCTTTTCAACATTCTGCCAGCTGCCGCTGCTACAGTTGCGATCGGACCGTCGGGCAGGTGCCTCAGCTGGGCCCATATCCCAACTGGTTGAGTGGAATACTTTACAAAGTGCCGGCGAGTGGCTTTCCTGTGTGGGGAGACACCATTCCTTCGCACAAAGAAACAACATCCCTTTCAGCTCCTAAAATAGATCCTCCTTCCCTACCTTCGAGGATCACAGCCCCCAGTCAACACAAACGACGTTAAGATATACTACGGCAAAACAGCTCAGTATTTCTCTCTTGCTAGCCTTCTACAAAGCCATGTTAGGGGTAATTAGGCTTGGCACCAAATGTGTTTGTGGTGGCCCCTACGTGTGCTCTCCAGCAAAGAGTCTAGTTTCCACATGAGATACTTCACATCCTGGGGCAGGCCTAGTCGAACATATCTATGAGAGAACTAAAGGCCGTAGCATGTATGCCCCTCCCCGTGTTTCGGCAAGCTGGCGCAGCAGTTTTGGTTCAATCAACGAACAGCCCCTGCCAAGATGGCTATCCAATTCTTCTGATGATGGCACGGGTACCGACTAATCTTCCACTGGCTGAGGGACCTGCTCAGTGTGTTCTCTTTTTACCTCTGTCCAATTTTATGAGATGTGCCGGTAGGCCCTGGTAATACGGGGGTGCGTTTGTTAGTTTTTGCTAATTTTACATTAATCAATGGCTTATTACGAGTACAACTTGTCCACAATTGTTTCTAGTAGGTTGTGCCTGCAGGTTGTGCCTGCTACGATGTGGAATATCAGTGCGGTTTCCAATTCGTGCGCACTCGAGCAGATTTCCCTGTATCTAGTAGGCGATTGGAAGGGTGGGGATGGTTATGTTACCGGATGATTTACTCGTATCCTACTCTCTGATGGCACATCGCGGGGTGCCGGTACCGTATTAGCATCACTCGCCACTCAACGTATTGTTCCCACTACCCCTGAAAAACCAGCACTAACCTAGGTTGCCTGTAATATATATAAGTAATGGAACAGTCGGGCGCTACGGAGCAATCCTCCCAATTGCTGTATCGACAGTATCATACCAGTAAAACGATCTCAAAAGGAAACCCAAGAACAAACTGGGGGCGAACTCTTTTCGCTGCATGTGGCTGAAGTCGTGGTGAACTGCTTACTAACTTTTTAGAGAGTACCGTACTGGGAATAGATGAACCAGGAAAAAAAAAAAAGTGTGGCGCACGGGGACCGGCTATTGCAGGTAACGCCAAGACCCGTTTTCGCCGCTGGCCCTTTGCTCTAGGTTTGGTCCACCACCACAGCTACCCCAACCAGAACGTCGAGCAATCAATCATCACTCCCGAAGAGAACGGAAATCCCATCCTTCCCTCCTCACCTCCATTTCTCCTTCTCTCTACGTTTAACAAAACATCGGGATACCCCCCATTGCTCTTTTTTTTTATTCGCTTGTTCGAGCTAGCATGTTGAAGTCTTTTGTTCTTAGACATTCATCTCGCTCATTACTCCGGCCTTTGAGTGCTAAGGCTGGTGGATATGCCCCCTCCACGTTCCTGCTTGTGCAGAAGAGGGGCCTCGCGTCGGAGGCTGAGGAGCACGACGTTGTAGTTATAGGTATGCTATGCCCCCCGCAGAGTCCGGTGTCTTTTTTCGTCGGAGTGAGTGCGCTGGTTATTGACGGGCGGATGTGGTTAGGTGGCGGGCCCGGCGGATACGTTGCGGCCATCAAGGCCGCTCAGGAAGGGTTGAAGGTGAGGGATTTTTTTGGTCTCGAGCAATTGGAATTTGTATCGAGGCTAATTCGTTCGCTTTTCGCTGTGTGGGGGATAGACTGCCTGTGTTGAGAAGCGTGGCACCCTTGGTGGGACTTGCTTGAATGTTGGCTGTATCCCGTCAAAGTCTTTGCTCAACAACTCGCATATATACCACCAGATTTTGCACGATGTTGAGAACCGCGGGATTGACGGTACGTTTCTTTTGCCATTTCTTAACGCTGATTTCTTTCCCCTTCTTGCTTCACCAATTGGTAGGGGTTTTTGGTAGTGGGTGTTTTTTCTTCTGAGGGATGAGTCAGTTTACTAATGTGGGGCTACTGTATAGTCGGCGATGTTAAGCTCAACCTAACGCAGATGATGAAGGCGAAGGAACAATCCGTCTCGGGATTAACAAAGGGTATCGAATACCTATTCAAGAAGAACGGTGTCGACTACGTTAAAGGAACTGGGACCATCGCCGGCGAACATGAGATCGAGGTTAACCCATTGGACGGTGGGGAGCCTCAGACTCTCCGCGCTAGGAACATTATCATTGCGACTGGATCTGAGGCGACTCCCTTCCCTGGGCTTGAGATTGATGAGAAGAGGATTGTTACCAGTACCGGTGCTATTGCATTGACTGAGGTGCCAGAGAAGATGGTTGTCATCGGAGGTGGTATCATTGGACTCGAGATGGTTAGTTTGGGATAAATGGTAGCTATTGCCATATTAGTTGCTGACGATCTTACGATATGTATAGGGTTCAGTATGGTCGAGACTTGGCTCCGAAGTCACCGTTGTTGAGTATCTTGGAGCTATCGGCGGCCCTGGCATGGACGCCGAGATGGCCAAGACAATGCAGAGAATTCTCCAGAAACAGGGAATGAAGTTCAAGCTTAACACCAAGGTTATGGGCGGTGATGTTGAACCCAACAACATCAAGGTCAATGTTGAATCCGCCGAGGGTGGAAAGTCTGAAGCTGTTCGTCCAATCCCTGTGTCGAACGAATTAAGGTTGCCGGGGCTAATTTCAGTCGGCCATAGATTGATGCCGACGTTGTTCTCGTCGCAATTGGTCGCAGACCATACACTGCAAACTTAGGCCTAGAGAATGTCGGTATCGAGGTTGACGAGAGGGGCCGCATCGTTATCGACCAGGAATACCGCACCAAGATACCGCACATCCGTGTGATTGGCGATGTCACCTTCGGCGCCATGTTAGCTCACAAGGCTGAGGAGGAAGGAATTGCTGCCGTCGAGTACATCAAGAAGGGCTATGGTCATGTCAACTATGGAGCTATCCCCAGTGTCATGTACACCCACCCGGAGGCCGCTTGGGTGGGCCAGACCGAGCAGGAAGTTAAAGCGGCTGGCAAAGCGTACAGCCTTGGTTCTTTCCCATTCAGCGCCAATTCTAGGGCAAAGACCAACTTGGATACCGAGGGAATGGTTAAGTAAGTCTTTTGAGTTTTTTTTTTTTCTTTGCGAGAGTCCGGTGGTATGTGTGTTTTTATTTTTTATTTTTAGATTGTCACTGATGCATTTGCGCTGCTTACTCAGGTTTATCACCGATAAGGAAACTGATAGGATCCTGGGTATCCACATCATCGGACCCAACGCCGGTGAAATGATTGCCGAGGGAGTCTTGGCCATGGAATATGGCGCTTCGTCAGAAGATATTGGGCGTACAAGTCATGGTAAATTCCACATCACTTTTTTATTTTATTTTGGGAGAATGGGCAGTTCTGACCTTGTCCAAAGCCCACCCCACCCTCTCAGAGGCCTTTAAGGAAGCCGCCATGGCGGCCTTCTCCAAACCTATTCACGCTTAGAAAAATGATGCATGTCAGCTCAGCAAAGGGGTAGATTCTTGGTGGGAACGGGGAGGCAAGGGTTTAGCATTAGACGACCTGGTAGCAAAAGTTTATCAGTATAGTAAAGAACATTACTTTGTCATCTGTAACACTCTCCTTTTTTATCTTTATTTTTCTCTTCTCTGTTTCCTATTTTCGCGTTTTTCCCTTTTTTAAAAAAAACTCTTTTTGGTTGCGGAGCCAAGCATTTGTTTTATCGCTGTAACTTTTCATCTCTTTCCCCTTCCCCCCTCCACTTCTCTTGATTCTCCTTACTCGAGTGCTCCTTCGCTACGCCTCCCTCGCAACATCTCTCTAGGCCTATTGATACACAAAAGCCCGCGTCGCGTGTAAATTGGGGTTTCGTCCTTTTTGATGATCCAAAAATGGTGTTACAGTCTTTTTCTCTTCCCATTCCCGTCAGCGCAGTGCCGCTACTCGTGTTGGTAATGTGGGGGTAAGCTGTGCAGCATGGTACCGTATCATGTTTGCAGGGATGATGATGGCGATGGGGTGGGGTGGGGCGGAAGAGCAGGGTACTTGTACAGCACCGTGCTTGGGCATCGCAGGGCGAGCGGGAATACCGGTAGATTGCCTGGCGAGAATGGAGGGAGCTTCGCTCGTGAATTGGATTGGTCGTTCGGAATGAGGGGTGCAGCATTTTCACAAGCATCAAGCGCACGGTAGTTTGTATCATACACGGTACGAAGCATTGTAAATTATACGAGTATATACCGATAGTTCTTGGACAAAGGTCATCCATCGTTGGCGCCGAGAATCCGTAAGCCCACACAAAAGCAACTCGAGCAACTCTGCGTGCAGACTGAAATGAGTAAAAATAAAAAAATAAAAAAAGGGTTACCGGTAGGCGGAACAATTTCTGGATGCTGTTTTATGTAATTTTTTGAATCCCGGGGTAGCCCCCATACCCTTCCCCCAACGCTCCTAAGATCTTCAGCAACTCTATTGCCTGTTTTTCACTCAATAATTTCGACACTTCTCACCAACCCTTTACCAGTGCCTAACATGAATCCTGCCTTTGGTATGATAGCAATAAACATATAAGTTTCAGGCCATTCAGGCCAATTTCCGCCCCAACTTCCATTCTCACCAAGACTCCCATTCCCACCAGACTCCCATATCCACCACAGGCGACATCTATACGCCAAGCATTATCCCAAAACCGGTGAATGGCCACCGTAGACGCCGATGAATTCAAGCATTCCAGCGTCGATCACACACTAATTAGCTGAGCTGAACGTGTGGAGCATCGCTCCATCCGGCGGTTTATTAAAAGGCGTGACGATCGACTGGTACCAAATTTAATATATCAACCTCCGCAGCGGGGGGCACCGAAGTTACCGTCGATAAAACCGAGAAGATCCAAGTCCCGTATCCCGTCAAGTCTAACTAACCTCAAGTCCGTCCTGGTCGAGAGGGAATTTCATCCAAACCCTGCATGTACGGTATGATACTGTACAGATCGGAGTGCGGATCGGAGATCTAGGGCCTATGATATCTGATGGTGGGTTAAATCATCCCATTGCTGTGGGCCGGCGGCGGCGGCGGGCAGGGCTCGTTTCCCGTCTTCATCATATCGTACCCAGCGTCCCGGAATTAGTGGACTAATATCTGAGTTGTATGGGTGGATGATAGATCCTGTGAAATGTCCCAATGGACTATTTGGCAAGATATCTGCTCCTGGACTCGTCCTGCTAGCAGGATAGAGTCCGGTCAAAGGTTCAAAAACACCAAGTGGTTGGCAGAATCTTTTGCTAGGTGGCAATAGTAGCAAGAGAGGAGGATGAAGAGGGTTATCGAGAGGCGGGTGAAACCTGATGCTCATGCAAAGCCCGGGCCACAAGTCCCATTTATCACTAAACCGCTCTGAGACTGGATCGGAGAGTTATGGGTTGAAAATATGGGAGGGTTCCAGCATGTAGATGGAGACTGTCGACGCTTCTATGTTCGTGGAGCAATTTTGTTCAGTAAAGCTAACTTGTGGTTCCCCTTCTTGCGTTTCATGATTGTCTAAGGATGTTTTTCATACGAGTCTTTTCTTTGCTACGATGGAGTGGTTGGAGGACTGGATATCATACAGATGCAGTACCCAGAGCGGTCTGGGCTACTCTCCCACCATGCCGGATGCCAACTATTATTATCTCCTTCATTCGCACTGCGATAAAAAGGGGAAGAGGAAGGGATAAGAAGAGTTCATTTCTCTACCCCCCTAGCATTCCACCTATGCTTTGTAATAATTTCTTAATAACTACAAGGACATAGTTGTCCTCCCCAGAGTCCTCGAGCTCCGCCATTATCTCATTCAATAGCTCCCTCCCCTCCTCCCCTAATCCCTTGAAATCTATTCCCGCCCTCTCCATCTTCTGCACCACATACCGGTACCTCAGGCCAACTAAATTTTTCACCCGCCCACGACATGGAAACTGAAGGAGGCGTAGTATCTCCACGAGAATAGCGGGAGCTCGGTGAATCGGGGATCTTTCCTGGTCGGTCAGTTGGCAAAACTTGTCCGGGGAGTCGCCGGTAATCGCGAGGCCTGCATCTTCCGTACCGGCAGCCGAACCATGGAATGGCAAAACAGGTCCTCCAACAAAAACGAAATATTCGGCGTGTTCTTCTCTAGTAGGGTCCTAGACTACCTTGGCCGCCTCCATCACGGCTAGTTGGATTGGGAGAAGGGGGGTAGATTGATTGATTTTGGGCTGGGAAATGGTAAAATTTGGCGAGGCATGGTATTGTGGGTTCGTTGAAGTCCTCGTGGGGATAGAGGAGGCAGATAGGGGAGAGCTTTCTCGATGGTTCTCACTTCGGCTACTCCTTTTGGCACATCCGGGAAGGGATTGTTCTTGTAAACGGCGAGCATACGCGTGCTTCACAGGCCTCGTACGAATTCCAGTACAATGGGCACGGGGCTGGCAAGGGGAGGTCGGAATCGGCACTGAGCCTTGCCATTTCCCCGTACAAAATCGTCAGAAATTTGGCCAAGACAATTGTACCAACCATACCTCTCTTGATGATTATTCCTCAACCAGTTTAGATGCAAAGTTCTAAAGGGTTGGAAAGTAAGATCCGCGGGGGTTGTTTCACATAATGATGAAGATCTGGTTCGGGTTGCTTCACTTCACTAGATCAGTGGTTGGAAGGCCGTGAATATAGATAATCTAGTTGCTTTCAGTGGAAACGGGTTACCTACCGGCGATTTTCTGTCGCTGGCCTCGCACGATACTAGAGGTGGAGGTTACGAAATAACTTATACAGGGCCAGTATCCGAACGCCGGTATATTCGCTCCGATGTGCTCGAGTACGGGTGGCGGAGTGTGGTTGACGGGAGAATGGGTATGGATTGTCTAATGAGCGGGGAAACACATACGAACACGAGAATAATTACTACGGTAGAGAGGGGTGAATAGAGTACGGGGGGGAGGGGGGCTTTATAGAGAGTTGGGGGGAAACAAGGAGGGCATATGCATAATAAAGAGGATATAATACCGGTATATTGTTGGCTGGATGACTCTCTCAGATCCCCTGAGCCCATCAGACGGACGTGGACAGATGTGCCCTTGAGATCAGGTATCGTGCAGTTCATCCTATCGGGTTCGGGAAACATTGAGTGCCGGCCTGGGTTTTTCCGAGTTATGGAGAGTTCGTGTCGCCAGGCGTTGCTGGACTATATACGTACGATACAGATATCATACAGTCATACAGTATTGGCAGGCTCTCTCTCGAATGACGAAATATGACTATTCCGATTTCCGCAATAACCGCGAGAACTCTAATCAATCAACGGACCATGTGCCCGGTTCGCTTAACTCTATTACCATGTTTTACAAAAAATTAATGTGTTTTTTCGGAAAGTTTATCTTCTCAATTCGTATGGTTACTAAGGTATAATAGTAATCCTTCTTTGCTCAGTGCTTGGGTCCAATATCGGTACAGTACTGGTAGTCTACAGTTAACCGCTATCGACTGTCGTCCAATCCGGTTCCAGGGGGGGAGAGACATTTTTGTCCGTTGCCGTCCTCACGCCCGTCTTAGACCCACTGGACGACTAGTCTACCCGTGCCGTAGGGTAGACCACTCACTGGAAGCACTGTGAACGCCACTCCCGACCAAGCCCAGTGTTGCTACTCGTACTCGTACCGTACGAGTCTACGACCGCCTCGGGAACTTCAGTCAAACCAAAACCTGCGACTTTATTCAAATTAAGTTAGTGCCACCTCGTCTGGCATGAATGCACCGCAGCACCGCCTTGGGACACGCTTTTCCTGAAGTGCCCTGCCTTAATCATCCCTTCTGTGGATTTCAAGCCCAATCCCCGCTTTAAGCCCCTCTGATCTAGATTGGGTCTAGCCAACTCTGGCTCGCTATCATACAGCGCTCGATCCGCTTGCAAAAATATTAAATTTATCGAGGCAAGTTCATGTCACCGAGCCCGGACTCTCTCTCTCGTTGAGCTTATCTTTTTCGAAGGGATGGATGACCCTTCACTCCTTTCACTCCTGGATCCCACTAATTATGATTTTCCTGGGCGCTAGCCAACGGAACAGCTAGGCTCTTGGGCGTTCGTGCCTGCTCTTGTTTACCCACGGTGGGCAATAGCTCTGGGAGAAAGAAAGCTATCAAGGATGAAAGAGTACTCTTTTCGGGGTGCAAGTCTGCCTATTTTGGACGTAATTTGTGGCATGCACGAAGAGCACTGTACGAGTACTGTACGAGTACTGTACTGTACTGTACTGTACTCGGGTACGATACATGTTTTCAAAATGGCGGGTTTGGCATCGCAATCATTCACACAACATTACTGCATACCCTCCAATATCCCAATTTAACTCATTACAGTAGTGCTAAACACCGAGAACTACCAGTTTTCCGAGGAATTGATTTATTTGCAAAAACTGGTGGCCGAGTTTTTTCCGGTTTCGTGGGAAAGGGACATTTTTGGTGCAAAAGTGGCCACCAACGATGACTTTTGTCAGGGTACAGCGCCCGTGGTGCATCGTGAGGCGGATTGAAGTATGATACCGGTATCATACCCGTATCATACGGTACTCGTACTACGGTAGTAGTACCAGCACAGCACAATACTCGCAGTGGGGAAGGAAGGGTAGGGCGTATCGAGGGCCCCTTGCATCAGGTCTCAGGGAGAAGGAGGGGACACCGGTACCGACATGTTACAGTTAGAGCAGCGTACGGTATCATATTATTAAATACTATCACAAGTCACCTAAAGCGCTACGAATACAGAAGGAAACCCCATATCGGGCGATTTGGCCGGGATCAAAGGGCTGGTGCCATATGATACGATGGGGTAGCCGCTTGCTTGCTGCATGGGTGGATAGGAGGGCTGTAAGGGAGCACAAGGCGACGGGAGGGGAAGCGAAGGGAAGGGAAGGGGAATGGGATAGGATGGGATGGGATGGTCAAAGCTTGGACCTATTTGTAGGATCTCCCCTCCCCCCCCTCCCTCGATTTACTTCCTGCTCGCTTCCTTCTCTTTTTCCTCTTCCTCCTCTTTCCTACCATCGTACCCTATCACACCTATCATACCATTGCTGTAAAGCTATCGTGTTGCATTATATCTTGGTGCTCTCTGCCTCCTCCTGACGCGTTTTTGCTAAGCTAAGCAAGCAATCCATATTTGTGAAAAAGACCCGAGCTCTTTCTACCCGTACCCGTGCCATTCCCCTTCCCTTGCTGGGACCCTCCCTGTTTAACCCTCGTTCGGTACGGAGTCTTGCCTTTCCCTCTCTGTGGGCCACAGTTCTCCAGCGGGCAGCCTCTCATTCATTCGCCCTGCCCCTCTTCTTCCCTTGCCTTCACCATTGCACTCATTGGTGCCCGTTGCCCACCCTGTGCATGATCCACTGGTCGTAATGCAGGCGGCCTGGACACAACATACGCCGCTGCCACGCAGGGCGGTGCCCGTACCGATAACACCCCAACGGTGGGGCCCCCCGGGAGCGCCGTCGTCGTCGCCGTCTCCGGGCGGTATAGGTAGTTTTGGTGGGAGTGCCAGTGCGAGTGCGAGCAGTGACCAGAATATAGACCTTTTATTTGCTCATTCGTCTGCCAGGATTGTCAGCTTTGATGCTCCCGCTTCGGCCTGTGCTGGTGGGCAGTTGATTCCTTGGACGAGTGCTACTGAGAGGACTATTGCGTCTGGTGGGTCCCCACTTTTTGGGTGGATGGTTGTTTTACTTTCACGGAGATTGACCCTGTGTTTTCTCGTTTTTATCGCCTAGGCCCTATCCGGATATATAAGACAATTCCCCACAATGTCGCCTTCTTGCAATCTGGGTCGGCGCTCCGACCGGTGCTTTCGAAGAGCCAGTGCTGGAACGTGGACGGACGCGGTGTGTTTTGCCTACAGATTCGACCCGGGAGTTACTGGAGGCTTGAGATTCTCGAGTTGGTTTATCCTTTTTATTGGTTTCGTGTACTGACGTTATTCATGACGGCTAATGTTGCTTTGTAGGAATCCGGATGAAAACGCTATAAGAGCGGTTGAGTTTAAGGCGGTTCTGGTCACGATACTTGCTTATGAGGTCACCACCTGCCCGTTCTTGAGGTCCGGAGGCCGCGTCACAGAAGTCAATGCGGTTAAGGCGTTGGAGCCATCGAGAGTCTGGAGGAGGCCGAGGGCGACCACCTTGGGCATTGAGGCTGTGAGGGGGGAGGAACCGGCGGCGGTTGAAGGGATGCTCGAGGAGGCTGAGGAAGCGGAAGTGGCGGGGGAGAGGGTAGGGGAGGAACGCGCCGAAGCTATTATTGCGGACCAGGAGCAGGGGGGTAGTGGTAGCGAGTCGGATACCGCAACGCTGGTTCATGACGACGGGATGGATCATAGTGTCACTTTGATCGACGTGAGCTCATGCGAAGAGGCATTCGAGGAAGTTTCCACGGAATCGAAGGAGTGGCACGATTTCTCTCCCCCTCTTAGGAGTCCAGGAGGCAGCATGTTCCTTAGCCGGTCATGCACGGTGCCTCCTCAACTTACTGATGCGAATGCATTTTCCACCATCAGTCGACCATCGTCTCGTCCTTCGACGCCTAGTTCTAGCGTGCCCGTTAGCCCAATCAGGCTGCACGCATCGACACAACTACGAGAGGTCTGTGTTTCGAAACGCCGGGATAGGAACCCCTCCGCGACAGGGCTTGACCTCAGTGATGATTCGGCCCCTGAACCTGCCCAGATTTCGCCTGCCCTTTCTACCCCAACTCTATGGTCTGGGTCAGAATCAGAGGATAATTGGCTTGAGATTGCTACGCCACAGCGTCCATCGTTGTGCTGGAATACAGACTCTGTTATGGTTCCACATTCGCCCACTCTCTCACGTTCGGCTCCGTCTCTTGTGCTGTCCGGGGCTGCAGGGCTTGTCGGAGCTACTGCAAATCTCATGGTCGTGAAGCCATCATCGTACATTGCCGGCATGATGCTTTCGATCGCTAGTAGGATTGCCACAAGCGCAGTGTCGGGAACAGCATATACCCTTGCCGAGAGATGCGGTCCAGCAGATTTCCTAGATTCGGAAGAGGAGCTCGATTACGAAGACGACTTTGGTGTGTGCCTTCGACCCGGGGGCAAGGACCCTTGGGATAGAGATGTATGGGGGCCCGAGGATGTTTAGATACATTTCCCCGTAGACAGTGATAACCCCAGTGCGAAATATGTCATTCTCGTTTTTTTCTGCTCCTTCTCACTTAGGCCTTCATTGTTTTATCATATAGGTGGGCCACAATCGGATATACCCGATAACTGCTTTTTTTTTTTGCTAGTTTCCGTTTACCATCTTCCGGTCTGCATTCTTTTGGTTTTCTTTTACGGGAGAAGGTGGAGTTTGCTATTATTAAGTTTCGCATTTTCTCTCTTTGTTCCCGCTCTTTAAGCATTTCCTAGGGTTTGTATCAACACTTCTGGGCCGCGATGCTGCTGGGTCGGTTGGTTAGTTACCCATCGACTAGTTAATCTTCACGGTTGGCAGTATACGCCTCTCCATCTTTATTGCACAAGGCTGCGCCTAAGTGGTGTGTGGTGCTCATTACAGATGTAATGAAGTGTTGTTAGGGGATAGTCAAAGTGAGGTGGTCAGTGGTTCGGGTTGGTTGGTGTTTGATTTTACTAAGTGGTTGTAGACTTACTACTCGTACTAGAATCACTGAACCTCATGCTGAGATGTCCAAAATTCCCTTTGTTGTATAGGGGGACAAAAGCACTGCCAGTACTGACCCATGTGGCACTAGCCTAGCAGCCAAGTTCATGATTCGCGCGAACGCCAAGTATAAAGGTTCCTTGCTCACTAGGCCATGGACTATTAGGACGGGCTCTTGAGACCATAGACCTCTATTATCCCCGACATGATAACTCCTGTAAAATTGTTGAAGATGGGGGAGGAAGAGGAAGGGGGGAGGAGGGGGGTAAGTTCTTATTAGAGACTTCATGGTAAGCTGTGATTTGAATGTCCAGATGCCAGAAATTGTGATGCTAGCTTGTCAAGTTAGGTGTTTCGCTTTGGTACTTGCCCTGGCTGGTGGTTTTATGGGATATAAACCTTAGCAGTGCCTTGGGCAGCGCCCATACTTGAGAACAGCACTTCTCTCCGCAAACTATATTCAATTATGAGTACCTGTGACGGCACTTTTTGAAAAAGTGGTAACAACTTTATGGCCTATGTGGTCCTGCTGAGGTCATCTCATCAGTGAGTGCCCAATCTTGGTGCGGAGACCCGAGGTTATTTAAAATCCATTCCCCTCTCTTCCTTTCCTTCCCACTACCAAATCTGCGTTTCTTTCCTCCTTCTACCTTTGCCTCTCTCCTTTCATCTCGTCCTATCCCCCTCTTTCGCCCCCCTCATCCCGCAGTGTTCCCAACAGACTAGGCCACTGATAAGCCGTGGGCTGCACCAGGCCAGGCCGCCCCGACAATGAGCCTAGGCGGATATGCGCTGAACTCAGCCGGCCTACAGAAACCTGTTGGGCCTGTAAGTGGGATTTAGGGCTGGTAGTTTTAAGAGTGGCCCGATTCCTTACAAATTTCATTGTGGTTTATTATTTTATCTCTATCCTCAGTTATTGGTTGAAGTAACTACGCGATGAACGATCCACAACCAACCCAACAATGTCCAGGCACCCTACCTCCAGGTTCTCCAACGCAGTCCTATCTCACAATCCTTCCTTCCGGTTCGGTTTCTTCCGTAGGAATTCTATTAAATCCATCAGTGGATGTGCCCGCTATAGCTGACCCAGTCCTATTAGGCCTCCGGGATGTTAATCAACCACAAGTAAATCCATATCACTACCCGCACACAGGCTCCGCGCCATAGCCCATATCTGACCCAGGATCCACTTGTAAGTAAACCCCTTCATTACTTCCGATTCAACTGACGCTAGCTGTGATAGTGGGACAGAGTTTCCCAGTTAGATATGCGGATTCTCCATGTGGAACGGGACATATTCAGACTCGGAAGGGTTTCTTCCCCGTATGGGTTTGGTTTGGTTTGAAGTCTACTGACACTGTAGTAGGACCTTGCAGGTTTGAAAATCGAGTTTCGGATGGGCATTAAGGATCTACAGAGCTAGATTCAACATGTGAAGTGGCTCACGGCTGCGGCATGCTCTGAGATTTTTGGCCCTGTCGCTGTAAGTCACCAATGAATTTAAATTGTTACTTTCTAATGCAATTGATTATAGTTGGCAGGGTCTATGGCACAGGATGCCGCAAAAGCTGAAATGTCTAATATGTTCAAGGTCTTGGTGATGGTAGTATAGTCCTTGTATGGGGCGGAGGTGGACATGTAGGAGCATGTAGATGTATAGGCGGCTGTGTGTGATAGTGTTAGTCTGGAGGCATGTGTGAAGGTCAGGGAGTGAGTGATCTGTATGGGGTTATACCTCAGTTGTGGTGTTTGTATGGGGCTCTACCCCAGCGGAGATGTGTGCTATATATAGGGGCCACTAGTTAGCTGTTTGTCGAATCATCTAACATCTTCTCTCCTCTCCTCCGGTCCTGTGCGCGAACAACCACGTCTTTCTACCACCATCACTTGGCAGCAATGGTAATATACATTGGGATACTACTTGAGACCATTTTGCTAATATATTGTTAGGCAAGTGGGGCCAACGATGATGAAGACAAATAATATTAATATACGAAAAAAAAAAGAACAGGACGTATTGGCAGCGAAAAAAAGAAAAAAAAACCCCCTTTTTATTTTATTTGGACCGATGATTAGAAAATACAAGCCACACATGTATTTCACTATAACGGTGCATTGGTGGAGTTAGAATTTCGTTCGAACCGTGCGGGCCAGTAGAGGCTGCTTGTCGGCTCCCCAGCCGACCGACAAATCCTCTACCGGCAGTCTTTCCGAGAATAGAACTAACCCAATACTTCCGCCCAGGAACTAGAGTCTCAGGTGAGGGGAGTGGGTAGCGGAGGGGTGGATAATTATCATGAAATGTAGGTGGGCGGGAGGGTATATTTGGATTCACAGTTTTGGCTTTCGCTTACGGTATGCTAACTGGTCAGTTATTCCTTTCGAGATTATTGTGAATTTTAGGTTTGATCGATTGGTTAGTATTTTTTCGGGGGGGGGGGCTTGTAGGCTATGAGCATCGTTTGGAACTCAATGAGGAATTTTTCGAGCGAAATACCGTCTTGCTTGTTATATGTGGTCCTGGGTGGTTATGGAGATGTGGGTTGGGTTAAGAGGACGGGTGGTGCCTGTAGCAATGACAGGATCATTTGGGGTCACTCGTATCATAGGTAATCACTCTGTGGCTTGGCAATAGGAAGGGCACTACTTGGGTGAGATGTAGCGCCGCGCGGTGGATATTGTGCTTGTCATCTGGGGCTTTAGGTCAAGTGCTTGTCTTCGTCCCCTCGCTTCCTTCTCCTTCCGTTTTTTTTTACCGATTACCGTTCACTCCTCTGGCTTGCTATTTTAACCCTAGCGACTGCCTTTATCGTTCTGTCGCCGAGTTGGTTCGGCGGAGGGCCGCTCTCTAGACTAGCCGCCCTCCTGCTATCTCTTCCTGTCTTGTGTCTAGTTTGTACAGGGTGGTGACGGAGGGCTTGCGGAACCGCTCAGGAGTCGGGTGATTACGTCTTGCCCGGGAGGGTATGGGAATAATACGACAGGCGTTGCGCGGGAATAGATGAATCAATTTCTATCAAGAGAAGGAAGCGCACGGAAGAGGAAATCGAAATAAACCACCATCAGCTTGTCAACACCGATACCGTCTCCGGCACCGTGCACCCGATCCCGTGTTTCTAATGCCTAAAGCTATCCTTTAGATCCTCGTCTGCAGTATCATCTCCGCCTCCGGGCTAGATGTCGTGGCCGTTGTTGCCAAAGTATGGTTTACCTTGGAGCACATTAGGATCACTAAATGTGGCAGTGGCCGCGGCAATACCGACCGTCATTGCCATCAAATTCGAAAGCCCTTGACAGCCAGGATTTGTGTCCCTTGGGCTTGTACTTGTCACCCTTGCCATTGCCTTTAAACCATTATGGAGCGAAGGGGTGGCCGATCATGGATGGTGGTAGTCCGGGAGGTCCATCTCCTGGGCTAGGCTTCCATGGAGGAGAAGCACTTCCAGGACCAAAACCGGGCCCGTGTCTAGGCCCCTCCTTACTCTTAGGCTGGGTGCCTGTACCCTTTGGTCCCCAGGTCTTTGCGGTACCATACACCTCCGTTATATTCGCACAGGCGGTTTTATCCCTCCTGGCATTTTCCAAGATCATGGAGCGGTTCCCGATGAATTCCCTCTCCTCCTTCTTAAAGTACAAGCCCTGGAAGCTCTGCTTTATCGAAATCACGCCCTGGAATTTTGGTATCTCCCCGTACTTGCCGACGGGGTCGCCGACTTGACATGTCTGTGGGCTCTTCCTATCACATTCAAGCTTGTCACCTCGCTGGAAGGGGTCAGGGATGTTCTTGGCTCCATCGCACTTCCCGTCATCACTCACGGGTGCCTCGTAGAGCGATAGCTTGAACGGGCCCTCGTCGCCACGATACGCTGTTAGGTCGAGCTTCACGAAGACACCGGTTCTATAGTTGAAGTTTGTCAGGTTGAATTGTAGGTTCCCATGTGCCCTAGCGCCGTGGAAGGGCGCGATGAATCCGTTGGGTGACGGTTGCCTAATAATTGTGGGGGAAAGAAGGGGGAGGAACTCACTATTTCCTAATTGGGTTATCGGTGTGAGCCTTTGCATCGCCGAGGTTCCCGGTCTTCGCAGAGGCGCCGGTCGCGGCGGCAGCGAGGAGTACTGCCGTTGGTACGTGGGACATTTCCGCAAAATAAACTGGATCGGTATAGTTGGCCCACTGGACTACTATCTATCTCTCTGCCACGAAAGGGAGTAAGAGAAAGTATCAACACCCCCCTCAACACAAACTGCCAGTAAAGAACGTCGGGGATATAATGCGAGACCTGTCGCTTGGGGGGGACGGAGGAGTGGGAAGCGTGGAAGGGGAGGAGTGGGGAAAAGGGGAGAGGGGAACAGAAAAGACCAGGAAATCATTAATATATTATAAAACAATACCCCATCCTCAGGAACAAACGTCACCAAACTCTGGTGCCATACCATGTCGGGGAAGTGTAGTAAAGTAAAGAAAGCACAGTACAGTACAGCTAAATCAACACCGACCGCTATCTTTACCCATTCAATCTCCCTCCATCCCTCAGCTATTTTTGTCTTGTTCCCTTTTTTTTCTTTCTCTTCACATCATAAGGCATACACCCTGCCCTAACCTTCTGGCGTTTTTATCCTGGGTGAGAGGAGGAGGAGGAGGAGGGATGGCTTGAAGAATTCCTGCAATGTGGTTGAGTACTGTGTATATCATACGTGAGACGGTAGGGTGGTTTTTGTTGGTCCGGTTGGTGGGTTAGGGAAGGGCTTGACCGCTGCAAGTACGAGCGCCATTTGATACTGTACAATACCGGTACAAGCATCCAGCCTTATGGACCAACTTTATATGGTACGAGTAACTTTGGGTGTTGCGTGCGTTGGTCTATTCCGTTGCGTTGTGTTGCCATCGGGAAATTGGAACTCGGTACGAGTAAATTAGCTATGGTTTGCTCCCCTTCCCTTCCGGCGGGAGGGCACCGTGCGACTGTACTAGTAGTGAGGCTTGGATTTTCCGGTGTCATTCGGTGATTTGAGATTGCTATTAATGAGGTTTCTCGGCATGGGGTGGCTTCCCCATCATACCGGTAGGTTAAATTTACCTGCGGTCTAGCTGTTATAGCGGAAAGTTGCTGTAATGAAAAAAGAAAAAAAGAAAACTGTAGAAATATAAACAGAAGTAAAAATAGAGGGAAAAAAAAGATCTAATGTGTAAACTATGATGATCATGAGGAGACAAGAGGCAATTATGTTCCTTGAAAGTCGACCGTATACTAGAGCTCTCTACTATGATAACATGAGGTTCCGTCGGCTGGTATGACAAGTGTACGTACTGCAACCGCATCCTACTGCGGGGCATTTCAGGGATGTTATCTCGGTAAGCTAAAAACTGTTATCACCGTTATTATATTTATCTCCTTATGGGGAAGAGGAAGGAAGGAAAACCCCAGCTTGTATCCGTCCGTCTATGATAGAAGGAGAGCTTGTACGTACCGCCCAAACTGAATCCAGGCCAGATTAATGCCGACCGAACCGAAATCTAACCCACTAGTTTATTCATCCGGGGCGGAGATAAACCCACCACTGGATGCTGTAAATTTTTTATATTGTTTCAGCGATTATTATTATTATTTTTTCTTTCTCATCACCACCTGGCTGGCGAGCAAGCGAACAAGCAAGTTAAGCATGTGCCCCCTCGCCGCCCCGCCCGCACCCAAGCTCTGCGAGCATATCTCCCATGTCCTTCCTCTTGCTTTCCCGAATGCCCTTGCGCTTCTTGGCCTGACCACTGGGCGGTGACGGTGGGCCGGAAGGCGGGGAGTCAGCAGAGCGACCCCTGCGTTTCGCTCGCGCAACAGCCAAGTTCCCGATCCTCTTGAGAATAAAGATATTGTTGCGATGCTCTTCGCTACTTCTGGTAACGTTATCCCCGATTTGCAGGACAAGGGTTAGCTTTTCGGACCCGGTCTGGTTCTTGCGGAGGACGTGTATGACCCCGCGGGTCGTGGTCAGATCTTCCCACAGCTGGGATTTGTCGTGTTCCCAATGCACACCCCAGTAGGGAGCATCGGAGGTTATATTGGTACCCGTCAGCTCGATTATTTCCAGGGATTGGATCCAGCTGAGGTACTTGAGGGACTCGTTGGTAATCCCCGAGTGGTTCCTAAGGATTAGTGCCTTCAACTTAGAGAGCTTCCCGTCCCTAGAGGAGGAGCGAGCCCAGGACCTGATCACGCCGTCGTCAAGGGCGCTAACCTGCCCGTTACTGGTGAAAGGGAAATTCAGAACCACAAGATTGGGGATCTCTGGTATGCATAAGAGTTCGTCCCTGGTGTAACCTCCGTTATACAGAAGGTTCAGGTATACAATCCACATCCCTTGTTTATTGGATATGGGGTCTATTAGGGACCCAAGGGAAATTGTGTATGCAAGTTTTTCAATCCGTAGACGTTCCACGGTTAGTCCACTGCTCTGGGTCTCGGAATGACACACAAAGTTAGGTTCATCCTAGTGTGCCGCTCTTGTTAGATGATTCTTACGAACAAATCAAAGGGATAGAAGGAATTACCCCATAGACGGCTGCGAATCTAGACCACACGAGAAAGCTATCTCTCGAACTGTGAAGGGGAAGAGAAAAGTCAGTTAACATTTCAAGACAATTAAGATGAGATAGGGGGCCCCCACGTATTCAAAGTGTCCTCCCAGACAGGCTTCATGATAACCCAGGGGATGCCTCTTAGCATCTCGACTGTGAACTCCTCGATATGCTTATTCAATGTCCGGCGGGTGAGAACATGCAGGGATGGGGCCCCGGTTGTGCGGCCGTCTCTGTCGGTGATCTCTGGAGGGCGGGGCCGAAGTGTTGGCCTCCGACGATTGATGCGAGTCCAATCGGTACCGGGGGGCATTGTAACGATAGTCTCCATGAACCGGTTCCCGTTTTCGTCTCGTTGAGAGTTCTTGATGAAGTTCTTGTACTGCGCGATGATTGTATTTTCAGGAGGTTTGCCACATTTATTTGGGCGATAGCGGGAGTACATGGTTGCGGCCTGTGTTTGCGAGTTGACTTGAGATGCAGCTGCCGTAGGGCTCAGACGTGAAGGTTTTCCTAGTAAGAGCGTGTTGAACGTGTGGTGCCGCCAAGAAATGGTTTCGCGAGACAGGAGGTTCAGGTTGGAGAATTTGGGGTTGCTCATTGGTAGCACATGTTTCCTGACGCTGAACGGTTGTGTAACGATAGGAATGGGCCGAAACCCCAAGCTGCGGACATGACTGTGGGCTAGATAACAATGCCAACATGAAATTGTCGACACGGTGCATAGAAAGCACCCTCCTTCAAGTTTGTGGGTGTGTAGACAAGAGAGTATCGGAAGGGAAATGCACTACCAATGCAGAAGAGTCCGACTTTTGTATGGTTCCTTTCTCGCCCCAGAAGATCTCTGGTGCTGTTCCGGATCTGCATCGGTCGTGGGGCACAGGTGGGTGGGCAAGCACCAAAATCTGGCATTTGGAAAGCATACAAAGTGATGGCTTTGGCAATAGAAACAGCGGCGTCAATTGGTATCGTAAGCCGAGAGGATGAAAGTATTGGAAGGGGGAAAAAAAGGGAAGAAGAAAAAAAAAATCCTGTCCGCACTCCCCCAGCTACCGACGGTATTGCAGTGTACGGAGGCATCTGGAACATGTGTGGGGGGCTCCGAGGTGGAGGGAAGCGGTACACCTCACGGGTGGTCGATGGTCTGTAGCTGGAAGGAAGAAAAAGAACTTTGACCTGCAAGCGTTTTGACGCTTTATCGGTGAGGAAATAGCTGAGGGCTTAGGCCTGGATCAAGCCGTTCCCCCCGGCCACAGACAGCTGCAAAGCACGCTCTAGTTTGAGCCAGTAAGGTGTGTCGGCAGGGGTGAGGGGTGCAGTTCCTCCTGCGGCCATATGTTTCCAGAGTTCTAGGGCACCAAAAGGCAATCTTTGTGGTTCGCCCAACACGATTTGTTAGTAAATACTGCAATAGTGCAAGTAAGATATATCAGCCCTTTATGTTTCAATTTCTATCCTGGGGTTCGTATGCAGGTGCTTGGAACCCAACCGGCCGTTAAGTCCAAGGAAGATAGCTTGAATATCAGATATCAACCACATCGACACCCCCGATACCAGGCGGGAGTGTGTTAAGTGCCAACGAGCGAGCCTGTGCCTGTGCTAAGGAGTGTGCGGACGGGCGAGAGCGGCCGGTGGAACAACCAGCGGATCCCCAATCTCTTCCCTTGGATCTATCCCAATACTCCAAAAGTAATTCTAGGGTCGATGGACAATTTGCGGGACGGCTACAGAGCGTTCGAAGCTGGAGTGTTGTAACGGTGGCCGATAAGCTCCAGGAGGATAAGACCAAAACTCAAACTCAGTATAAAGCAGAGCTCTTTTATTGGCCCACAGTGGATGTGATGCAGTGGTGGTGGATGGGGGGGTTGGGGGGTTGGAGACGGCGGCGAAGGGGGAAGAGAGAGCACCAAAAGTGGATGGGCAGTGCCCGTAATTAAGCCACGATACCGGGTTGCTCTTGATGTCACCCTAGTGCTACCAGTGTCAATTGGATGAATTCTGAGGAGCAGCTTAGACTATATGGCTTAGGGTGCTGCTTGGGTGCTGCTTCGATTCCACTTGGCCTTGTAACAGTTATCAAAGCACCAAACCCGTTTGTGATATATTAAGTAAGTACAGATAGTGTAAAGTTATACAGCCTAGACTCCTCGCATACTCGAGTACGGGCCCAGAAAGCTTGTAGAATTTTCCATCATGAGTCGTGACTCGTATCCTTCTTTTATGTTTCTCGAGGCCCGTATTCGTATAAAGTTGTATAAGTATTATACCATATAGACAGCACCAACGAGCCAAAGGCTGGGAATAACCAGTGAAAACTAATCTAACTTTTTTTTGAAATACATGAAAATTGAAACACTTAATTGTACAAGCTCTAATCTAACCGCCAGTGGTAACCCTCAAATTTATACCAAGCAACCCCCTCCTTGAAAAATGCAATATCCTCAAACACAGAAGCAGGTAAAATCAAGAGAAAGAACCCAATTCGCCCCATGCGCCTTGCGAGAAAAGAAAAGAAAAGCAAAAAGCGCAATCGAAGGGTAGGAATGCATGCCACGAAATGCTTGCTTGCCAATCCCGTAATCCAGAAAACCTTAGTAAGAGACCTTTGGAGAATTCCTGATTCTGGGCGACCGTCTAACGGGTGGCTGGGGCTCCTTGACTGTTGCCTTCGCTGGACTCGGTGCCCTTGCAGCATTGACTGGCTTCGGGCGGTTCAGGGTCGCTGGCATCTTGGCACCTTCCGCCGACACGGAAGCTTTAGGAGCCTTAAAAGACTTCGGTTTCTTCAGGACAGGCGGTTTTTTGGTGATTCTGCCTCCAGAGGCTGCTGTCTTTACAGCAGCGTTGAGTTGCTTTGCGCCGGCGGGAAAGGCGGCCCTGATAAACTCAAGGACCTCTGCAGTCTTCTCGTGTTGGACAATCCTCACAGGGGGGCTGTGAAGCTTAACACTGTTAGTTTGGTGTTGGTGATGGTGATGAGAAGTATGCTACCTACCTGAACCCGCATCTTCGCGAGGTCCGAATCGATCTCGGCCTTTGTGCACCCTTTCGGTGCGTCGCTGAGCGGCTTCCTAGCAGTCCCGAACCACCCTGGATACGGGTCCTTGGATCCAGCCGTAACGACCGGATACGGCTTACACTTGACACCTATGGCCTCAAAGAGGATAGCAACACTATTGTCGACTCCCTTGCTGCTTCGCAGAATTCTCTTTTCTCGCACCATTTCGCTGGCAGGAAACAGCAGAGAAACAGTAGTTAGTTATCTGAGATCGAGTGGAGCGTGCGATGGAAAGGGATACGGTGGTGAAATACTTACATGATTGATAATAGAGGATGTCTAAGTAATCCCCTTCCGAAGTCCAGGTATGAGCCAGTTACCAGGCAGGACAAGTTTTACAAGTTATGAGGATAAGGTCGCTAAGAGCGTGTGGTGGTGGTCGAAAAAGTAAAGGCGGGGAGTTGGAGCTTGTAGAGGGGAGGGAAAAGAGAGCAGAAGGTGTAGGTTATCCAACACTTGGTTAACGAGGCGCTGGTGGTAGTGGGTGGGGGATGCAGGAGAGGGGGGAAGAGAGAAATTAGAGCGCAGGAGTGTTCGACAACAACTATAGAGCAAAATATTGAGCTCGGACTCCTCCAGCGTTTGAGGAGAGTTGAGAGAAGAGGAGAGGCAATGATTGCATGGGAAGGTGATCTTTTATATTAAATACTTGGGGGAAACCAGGAAAAGGACAGGAGGCTCTCGTGTCGGGGCAACCACCGAGCATCGTCTCCTAGTGATCCACATTCATGGCCGCCTCACGTCCGAACAACTGCATGCTTTGTAGATAAATCGGAGCGCTGAATAGAATGAAAATTGGACAAACTTGATCCCCTTACCGGGAAAACTAACTTTACCAGAAGGATGCTTCCCATGAGAGGAGACCCCCGCCAAGCGTTGGCCGAGTGAGTTTCCATGCATCCCATTTGGGTCAAATGCCGGCCATTCAACCTCCTTAGCGTTCCCCAGATCCAAAATATTTCCTTGATAACCCCCAAAAAGGCTGAGAAGGCCACTAAGCTCTAATATATCATTTGATTAACAAATGCTAGATGCTGATATTGAGTGCCGGCCATAAATATTCGCCTTTATGGCCTACCTCCCACGATAGCTGTCATTCTCCCCACATAATATCTAGTCCTGGCGTATGGAATGGGGAACAAGAAATATGCATTGCTCTCTGCCCACCATACTATCGGTATCTTCGGTGCCCGCATACGCAAAGTGTATACTTGACTACTTCCGTGGGACTAATCCTAAAATATATCGCATAGGATGGTAGTTGGCATGTCACCACTTTTGAGTAGATTTCTATATACACACTGTTATTACAGAAATCTGGTAAACACCCCTGCTTGGCCCCCCGAATTCCTGGTCAACCCCTTTTACCGCGGAAGTTAATCTAGACCAAACGTACCCACATTGAGTTCGATCTCTTGCGGTTTTGGAGCGCCCCAATCTCTGGCAGGAGGTGTCGAAACCGATACAATTTGACATACTTCTACAGCTATGGCGGTAGGAAGCCAAGAGGACAATACAAGCTCAGGACCCCACCGAGACCCCGGGACAGGCAACCAAACCAAGAACACCAAGACCGAAAATGACGTTTATCAGTGCCAGGTCCCCAAAACCATTTGGAGGCCCAGGCCCAAAAATAGAGAGCATATTTAAACCTGTCTCACATTGGCCGGCAGTGGTGGAAATTGGTCAGACGAGCTTCCATGATGGGTGCAAGCACGCACCAACCCAAGGGCCCCTAACCCATCTCCCACCCCGCCAATGAAGCAGTCTTGCCAGCCAGCTTCTTTCCTTCATTTAGCGCCGAGGCCTAGTTAATACCGAGGGCCATCAGTCGCTCTATGGACTTCCTTGTGCAGAGGCGTAATATATGCACTGGCCTGTCTGGGTAAGGAAGCGTGCCCACCTACCGCATGATTGTTGGGATGCGGCGGGCAGCAATTCAGGATTCTGAGCTATCCTCTTGGCAGTGGAGAGCTGGCATTGTCTGAACATGCACGGGGGAAACTGACGGTTCTTGAAGCTATGGTAGCCGGCAAGCCCGGCCCAGTAAACCGGTCCTCAGGAAGGGCCCCAGTGGGTCTGTAGAGTGATGTGCTTCGAGTACCTCGGGGTGGGTCGGAGGTAATACCACTAGCTATGATAGCTCAAGTGCACCTCTGCACATGACTCTAGAAGACTTTTACGCCCTGACTGTCCTAACAGCAAATTCAGCACCATCCCTACTCATATGAAGGATATGAAGGCAAAGCTGAATTACCGGGCCGTACCATGGAGGAGCAAGGACCAACACTTAACAACCAGTAGTTCCTACAGAGTAGGATACCGGTAGATATCTAACGGGCGCCCTGCCCCGCTGCCTCCAGTGTCCGTTGAAAACAGAGGGTTTGTTCCTCGGGTACGGCATATGGTATGTGGCGTACTGGCGCACTGCATAATAATGGTATTATAATATTCACCGATTAAAATGCCGCGCTGGGCCCAGACCTATAATACAAACAAGCAAGTGACAGACGGAACCAAGGACAAAGACCAAGGGCCCCCGAACTCCACAGCCACCGTCCGAGGAAGCCCAAGGTACCGACGGGGCATTCTTGTAGGGCAAGGCGGGCTAGTGAACTCGTCGCCTACCGTAGGGGCTTGCTAAAGGTATACGGTAGGTCTAAAAGTTCCAGAAGTGCTGCCGTATCCCTTCGCCCCATTTTATGGTTGAGCGACCGTTAATGAGTCAGATACCAATGATTTCAACTACAGGTTAGGCCAATTAATCCTGGCGCAGATCATGGGGTGTTCCGACAACAACGCAGACAAAAGCCAAGATGACATCAGAGGCTGTGAATGAAATCCAACGTCAACAATAACTACCATACCGGCATCACACTTCAACTCATAAAACAGTTTGAGAGAGTCCTGGGGCCTTGATTCTATGTATCTTTTTTCCCCCTTTTCGGCCTGAGAAGCGGATGTTATTATTCACCGCCGGCCGCCAAGTGCGATCAAGGCTTGACATTTTTTTATCCCTCACTCCTTTCTTAGCGAGGCCCGCATCGCGAGGCTGGAAAGATAACTAATTGCGGGACAAAAGTGTTCGGATGCCTTTGTGTGCATGAGACCCTAGCCCAACCATCACAAGAGGATAGATCTCGGAGCTGGGGCACAATAAAGGAGTAACCTTTCGAATATATGATACCGGTATTATCTTCAGTTTGCCCCTGCGCATTATAGGAGGTCACGAGTGGATGTAGGCTCAATTCCACAGCATTCCATGGCCGTCTTTCGGGCGTTGCTACCTCTTGCTTACGAACCCGTCCTGTGACGAGGGACACCTCACCCAGCCCTGCTCAGGGAGTGAAAAGACCCAGTTCACCTCGACTCCCCTCGACTCCCCCCCCCCGACCGCCAACACACACACACACCGCGCTCCTCCCGCTCAATCAAAGCGAAACCATCCAAATCAATTCTGCGTAAAGAATCCACAGCTTCCACCGGATTTCCCTCAAGTTCTTGCGGACAAATTTTTCGCTTATAAACACCCAAAAATGCGAATCAAGATCCGCGCGCCGAACGGTTCCCAGGTCCTCACATTATCACCAGAGACCGCAATATCCTCGTTTCTCTCAGAGATTCGCTCAAAAACATCCCTATCCGGGGATGTCGAAATCAAATATGGCTACCCACCTAAATCTCTACATCTTAGCGAGTACCCATCGTCGACCCTTCTCAAAGATCTCCCCACCAAACTCGAAGGCGAGCAGCTGATTATATCCGAGAGCGGGGGAGGTGGTGGCGGAGGCGGTGGAGTGATTCGAGGCATTGGGTCTATCACCAACACTTCCACTGCGAGCAGAAGCGAGCCCCCTTCCGCGGCTGTTTACAGTGAGAAAGGGAAGTCTGTCGCAAAGCCGAGTGCTCCGTTCTCTTTCTCCGGACGTGCACAAGATTCGACCTCACAACCTGACGCGCCCTTGACGTTAAATCGGTCCCTGAAGCCTAAGATCGATAAAGATGATCCCCCGGATGTTCCCCTGAAGAGTGGACGCGGAACGGTGGTTTTGCGCGTGATGGAAGACGATAACAGTTGCCTTTTCTCGGTTCGTACTTCTAAATCATTGATCCGAGTTCAAGCATTCTAACAGACCTGGCTATCAGGCCATAAGTTATGTTGCTACGAGCTCTCTCTACTCGGCCGCTGAGCTGCGCCAGTTAGTCGCAACTACAATCCAAGAAAACCCAGACACCTACAGCGAAGCGGTTTTGGAGCAAAAGCGGGACGGCTATTGCGAGTGGATTCAGATGGAGAGTTCCTGGGGCGGAGGAATTGAGCTGGGCATTTTCGCAAATTTTTTCGACCTCGAGGTTAGTTTTCATTGACGCACCGAACCTGGTTCCCCTCTGACAGTACAGATATGCACCATTGACGTCTCTACAAACGAAGTCATCCGATTCAACGAGGGGAAAGCGAACAGAGCAATCGTGGTCTACTCGGGTATTCATTACGACGCAATCGTCCTATCACCCGCCGGGTCCCGAACAAACGACCCCTCCAAGGACAAGCGGGTCTTCAGTTCCGGCGACGATGAGGAGATGGAAGGGGCCTTGGAGCTCTGCAGGGAACTCAAGAAGAGAAAGTATTTCACTGATACCAGAAGCTTTTCCATCAAATGCAACATCTGCAAAACCGGCCTCAGAGGCCAGAAGGCTGCTGTGGCGCACGCGAAAAGCACAGGACACATGGATTTTGGGGAGTACTAGAGTGGGCGGTGCGCGGTCAGGATCTGTTTCATTAGCGTGGGGAGCGGGACAAATACCAGGTCTTCTGTATTCTTTTTTATTTCTGCGCCTGTCAGATGTAGAGAGAGAGTATCGGTAAAATAGACTAATTTTGCTAGTTCAGACGGCACAATCCATGGTGTGATAGTGAAGAGTTAAGCCGGGTTATTGATTAACGATGAACTACAGTACAATACTGAGGACATTGTCACCTCCCCCCACCGCATATTATAGAAAGGTGGCGGTATGATCACTCGAGCTCCATCGAACCGAGGCGCTGGCCTGTGTTCTCCTGCTCCTTCTTTTCCTCCGAAGCTTGGTAAAAGGCAGCGGTTCCAATGCCCGCCGCGGCGTCGGCCTCCTTCTGAGAATAAGGTTCCTCCTTCAACAACCGTACCCTGCATCCACGACAAAGTTAGGGCATCCAATCATCCCAAGCAATCGTAGGAAAAGATGCGGACAAACAGGTGCTGGAATATTTACTACCTCCGTTTATGGTTCTTGCCACGACGATGCTGCACGATATTCCATTCACTCTCAAAGTATTTCGCACATTCAACGCAATGGAATTTCCCAAGGCCCGGTTTATCCTCGTCCGGAACCAAAGCCTTAAGTTGAGCAAGCCGTTTCGGATCGCGGAGGTCGGAATGAACCTGGTCCATATCACTGTCATCGTCGTCACCAACAACCGACAAGGGTCAGTACTACAGTGTACTCAAACGCAAACGGCTTCTTGGGGGGAAAGGGAGAGAAGAAAACGTGAGGGAAATGGCAAGGGGGGCGTCTCTTCCATACCGAGTCCTGCGCTTCGTCTTTGAACGCCGAATAGCACCCATGGCTATCTCAACCTGACCTGTTGTTATCGTGGAAAACTGGGTGGTGCTGGTATGTAATTTAGGTGGCTTTTTCTGGTGGAGGGACTCTCCCCTCGGCAACGGGTAGAAAGCTTTCTTTCTCTCAACCTTCCGAAACTTACCCGCGACGGGTTTGGCTCCGTCTGAGGCTCTGGGGTGTGTGGGCTTGGCGATCAAGTTTATCGGTATGATATGGGATTGAACCCTGGAAGAGGGGAAGGGATGCTTGTTGGTCTGAACTTGTGCCACGGGCCGAGGGTCGGGGAGATTGAAAGATTTTCCTCCAGTCACTCTCGAGGGGTTTTTTTTTTTTCGTTTAATTTTCACAAATACGACCGATCTGATTGGATGGTGGATCACGGAAGGTGGGCCAACTTGAGGCTTTTTAGGGTGGTACTGTTTCTCTGTCCTGAAATTTTTCACTTGGCCTTGGAAAAAAAAAAAAAAAAAGAATGATACGATAAGAAAGAAGGAAAGAAGGAAAAGAAAGACCCTTCGGTGGGGGCTCCTTGGGGTATGATACGGTAGTCTACTGTACAGTACGGGTAGACGAAAAGGAGGGGAGGAGGGGCTATGATACTTTATCGCGGCGCTAAATTGATGTCAACTTCTCACTCTTTTCCGTTCTTTTCTTCTCACACACTTTTGCTTGTGACGCAAACCCTCAAACTGCCTCTGCTTTGCTCGCTCTTAAATGCGTTTCTATAAACTCTTGGCACACCCGTTCCACACCTTCTTAGTTTCCTTCTTTCCTCCTCTTCTCTCACCATCTCCTCTTTCCCTTCTCCCCCTCTCATAAGATTTGTTCTCCCCCAGAAGAGACATACAGCCCCCTCCTCCGCTGACTATAGAAGTGAATAGCCTTTAACACTCATACACAACTGTCTACCCCAAGAAGCTCTCGTAATGCTAGTCAGGCGCCTTCCCCGAGCCTCTAAGCTCGTAAGTCACCTTTTTTGCTTTTTGTCTTTCACTCCCCCGCAAGGGATCAGGCAGTGGCCGATTTCCCCTCTACCATTCGTTGCGGGGTTCAGAGATAAAGGGCTAACGAAGGCTCGAATTACAGACCGCCGGCCTCAGGCTTGTAAGTTTTGACTGCCCTCTGTCTACTGGATTTCAGCGTTTATCCAGGCTCAATCCCTATGAACCCGGCAGACTTTGTTCTAACAAGCTTTCTCTGAGACCCAGGGCCAGAAGTACCGCCGACTTGCCACTGTGAGCGATGATCCGCTTGGCAGAAAAGTTGAAATGACAAACTGGGAGAAGGTCAGCTACAGCGTCATGATATTCTCACTCGGAATTTCGGTTATGCTTGGGGTACCGGTGTGGAGGGACCGGATGCTGACTATTTTGTGCTCTTAGGGAAACTACATTAATTACAAGTGTGTTTTGTTCTTTGCCCCTTCCTCATTCCTTGCAGTTGATAGGAAATTTCCCCCTACCTCCTCCGGTTTTCGTTCGACATTATGAACATTGTCGTTGGATGCCGGGTGTGTGGGGTTGGGCGGCACGTCGTCACATGTCAGGGATATGTACTGAGAGTCATTTACGTCGAACCGCAGGAAAATGGGCGAGAACCTAGCTATTGTTCGTGGCCGCCTCAACCGCCCGCTCACTTATGCCGAGAAGATTCTCTACTCTCACTTGGATGATCCACACGGACAGGATATAGAGCGTGGCAAATCCTACCTTAAGCTTCGGCCCGACCGTGTGGCCTGCCAGGATGCGACTGCGCAGATGGCAATTCTTCAGTTCATGAGTGCGGGAATGCCTTCAGTTGCTACTCCATCGACCGTGCACTGCGATCATTTGATAGAAGCTCAGGTTGGAGGTGCTAAGGATCTTGCTAGGGCAGAAGCTATCAACAAGGAGGTGCGTAGTCACTTGGATCTCTGTTTCCGCAAGGTCCAATTGGCGCTGACCTGGCATTATAAAGGTTTACGACTTTCTTTCTTCGTCTTGTGCCAAGTACAACATCGGTTTCTGGAGACCTGGGTCCGGTATCATTCATCAGATTCTCCTGGAGAATTATGCTTTCCCTGGCGGCCTTCTCATTGGCACCGACTCACACACGCCCAATGCTGGCGGGTTGGGAATGTGCGCCATCGGTGTTGGGGGTGCCGATGCTGTCGACGTTATGGCCAACCTTCCTTGGGAGTTGAAGGCACCCAAGATAATTGGTGTTAGACTCACTGGGCAGCTTAGAGGATGGACTGCTCCCAAAGGTATTTTTACAATTGCGTGTTTTTTTTTTCCTGATCGGTTTGCGTTAACAATTCCTACAGACATTATCTTGAAGGTTGCTGGAATTCTCACCGTCAAGGGCGGTACTGGTGCCATTGTTGAATACCATGGTCCTGGTGTCGATTCGCTGTCTTCAACTGGTATGGGTACTATTTGCAACATGGGTGCGGAGATTGGCGCTACCACCTCCGTTTTCCCATTCAACGATAGCATGTACAACTATCTCGCTGCCACAAAGCGTAGGGATATCGGAGACTTTGCTCGTGTCTATGCCAAGGATCTTAAAGAGGACCAGGGCGCTGAGTACGATCAATTGATTGAGATCAACTTGAGTGAGCTTGAGCCCCATGTTAATGGACCATTTACCCCCGACTTGGCTACTCCTATTTCCAAGTTCAAGGCTGCTGTGGAGGAAAATGGATGGCCTGCTGAGCTGAAGGTTGGCTTGATCGGATCATGCACCAATTCTTCTTACGAGGACATGTCTCGTTCGGCCTCAATTGCCCGTAATGCTTTGGACCATGGTGTCAAGGCCAGGTCTCTGTTCACCGTTACCCCTGGCTCCGAGCAGATTCGTGCTACTATTGAGCGTGATGGCCAACTTCAGACCTTTGAAGAATTTGGTGGCGTTGTTCTCGCCAATGCCTGTGGGCCTTGCATCGGACAGTGGGATCGTAAGGATGTCAAAAAAGGAGAGGCCAATTCTATTATCTCTTCCTATAACCGTAACTTCACTGGGAGAAACGACGCAAATCCTGCTACCCATGCTTTTGTTACGTCACCGGACCTTGTTACCGCATTCACAATCGCTGGAGATCTTCGCTTTAATCCCCTGACTGATACCCTCAAAGGCAAGGACGGGAAAGACTTTAGACTTTCTCCACCGACCGGTGCTGGTCTCCCCGAGAAGGGCTATGACCCTGGCCGTGACACCTATCAAGCTCCTCCGGCCGATCGCAGTGCTGTTGGTGTCATGGTTTCCCCAACCTCCGACCGTCTCCAGGTCCTCAGCCCTTTCCAGCGATGGAACGGCAAGGACGCTAATGATATCCCTATCCTGATCAAGTGCAAGGGCAAGACCACCACTGACCACATCTCGATGGCTGGCCCATGGCTGAAGTACCGTGGACATCTTGACAACATTTCTAACAACATGCTGATTGGCGCAATCAATGCCGACAACGGAGAGGCTAATAAGGTCAAGAACGCTCTCACCGGTGAATACGATGCTGTCCCCGCTACTGCTAGATACTACAAGTCTAAGGGTATTAAATGGGTTGTTATTGGTGACTGGAACTACGGGGAGGGGTCCTCCCGCGAACATGCTGCCTTGGAGCCTAGGCACTTGGGCGGCTTGGCCATCATCACCCGCTCCTTCGCTCGTATCCACGAGACCAACCTTAAGAAGCAGGGTATGCTCCCATTGACCTTTGAGAATCCTGAGGATTATGACAAGATCAATCCTGATGACAAGGTTGACTGTAAGTTTTGCCCGTAAAGCGCAACATGTGCAGAAAACTAATAATAATTCTACAGTGCACGTCACCGACTTGGCTGTTGGCAAACCAATGAGAATTAAGTTTACTCCCAAGAACGGCAAGCCATGGAAGACGAACTTGCTCCACACTTTCAATGAGGGTAATTATTTCTCCCTAATCTAATTCTGGCCGTTTCTAACATGTCAACAGGTCAAATCGAATGGTTCAAAGATGGATCCGCTTTGAATAGCATGGCTAGGAAGGCAAAGGCATAAGTGGCTTATTTATTTTTTTGGTCTGTTTTTGCCCCTTTGATTGAGATAGCGGTCTAAAAAATGTATAGTAATCCTACCAAAATTTTGTTTCCCCTCTCTTTTTTTCTTTTTTTTCCTTCTTTTTCCGTACATTTTTCCACTTGTGAAGATAACGTTCGAGGCCTTTAAGAACGAGTTGGGTTCGGTCCGCAGAAATGGACTATGGATGTTTATGGGAAGACACTCTTTGGGCTGCCTCATGGCATTACTGGGCGGCTTTGCTTGTTTGTCCTTTTTCCGTTTTGTGGACGGTTTCTGCGCGATCCCCCGCCCTTTTTTTCTCCCTCTCTTCATCCTGGGCTGTCTATATTTGTGAATGAACATCTGCTTTTCTCTATAGGATATCACAAAATCATGCATTCGTGATCACCCAGTGAAACCACCTATTCCGTCAAGTACCGCACCATCTACCGCCGAGATGGCAGTCTAACATTGTTACTTAGCATCTATCTCTGCCATTTTATGTATACGTTTTCCGGAAACAACTCCCTACTAATTACCGAGCCCTGCAGCCATATTGGTAGCCTCCTGGATCGTCCTCGCAATGGTCGAGCGGACCTTTCCGTCTTCCAAGACGAGTAAGCCACAGATAGTGCAGCCAGCTGGAGTGGAAACCTGCTCTCTGATGATTGCCGGATGCTGGCCAGCCAAAACCATTCTACCAGCACCTTGCATGGCTACAACAAACCCCCACACACCCAACCACATCAACAAATGAACAAACGAATAAACGGGGAAACAGGACCGCAATATCTTACTCTGAGCAGCCATCATCTGCGCCTCCGCCCTCGGCAATCCCATCATGACCCCTCCATCAGCCATGGCCTCGACGATAAGAGCGTAGAAAGCGGGACCGGATCCGCACAGGGCGGTGCAAGCGTCCATATGATCCTCACCGAGCACCAACGAGCGGCCGATCTGCGAGAATATCCAGGAAACCAGAGCCTTCTCCTCCGGGGGAATATCGTCCGCCGCCGAAATGACCGTCATGCTTTCGCGAATCTATCCGCATCAATACCCTGCCCTGCCCAGAAAAAAAACAAAGAAAGAACTCCCCTCCAAAGGTAATAAGCGACAATCGTACCTTTGAAGCAGTATTTGGCATAGCCCTAACCACCCTAGTACTACCGGGCACCACCTTCTTGAGCGCAGCAATCTTAACCCCAGCAAGAATACTAACGAGCAGCTTACCCTCCAATGCCTCGCACATGCCCTCCTCACCCAATATCTCAGCGTACATCTGCGGCTTGCAGCCCAAAAGGACCACGTCCGCGCGCCGCACGCCCTCGACGTTGCTACCCGTGTAGACCTCAACGGGGATGCTGGCGAAGCCCTCGAATGCACGCCGCACGCGGGAAGCGGACTCGGGGCGCTTGACACACGCGATGAACCTCGAGGGGAGGCAGGTGGGGTTTTTGCTGGCGTCGTGGAAACGCGTTGGGAGGAGGGCGGCGGTTGGCGTGCTGGTACCGGAAGCACTGGGGAGGCGGAGGCTAGTGAGGCTGGAGAGGATTCCAGAGAGAATGGCGACGCCCATGGTACCGCATCCGAGGAATGTGAGGGTTAGCGATTCGGGGTTTTTCTCCATATCTATTGTATTCCCTATTTTTTTGGTTCGCTAAGGAGAGTGTTTGTTGGTTGGTTGGTTGGTTGGCGGGGTAAGTTAGGTGGGGAAGATGAGCTTTAAATTTACCGATATCGTAGGGTAGTCCTGGTGGTTGCCAACCGTTAAGTTTTCATATCATGATACCGGCGGGAGTGAGAAAAATTTAAAAAGATTCAGGGCCAGGGTCAGGGTTAGGTATTCTCTCCCCAATATCATAATATTATCATAATAATATTATTATGATAAACACACCAGTCATTCACCGTATGGCAAGGGAACAAAAAAGGGGGAACAAAAAAAAAAAAAGGAAGGGCGGATTACCGATCAATTGCGATCCAGTCCTAGGCTTTCATTGTTTCACTAGTAATTCTTCGAATCCAGAGGAGGGGACGGCACAAATGAACTTATGTCGTGCCACAACAGCTGGGATCCCGACTTCGCCATGCGGCGTGGTGGTACCGTATGAACTTGAATAAGAGCAACACCGCTCGGGACGTCTAGGCTTCCCCTCTTGGTAACGCGTGGTTTTATTTTGCTGGTATTTTCTCCCGTCCCTACCAAAATAGGCAAGTCAGACGTCCTGAGATGTGTTGCTCTTATTCAAGTTAATACGGTACTCGTACAATACTGTGCCCGATCTGTTGGTGCCAACTACAAGTTGTACGCACAGGATATCACTCGTTATTCTGGGTTTCCAGGTGTCGGAAGTGTTACTACAATATGATGAGTGGTACGGATATGTTCGGCTGGCCGCCACTTGGGACATGCGGAACTAGGAAATGACTGGAGTCATATTGATGTATATTCATACTACAGATTGCTATAAGTATGGCAGTCTGAGGCGTATCTGTAGAAGCACAAGCGAGAACAACTATCATTCTCTTTCTCCCATTGCGATCAGTCCCATTATTTTGAACTTCAACTCCGGCCTCTTCCGAATACCTCCAATACCAGGCTTTCCCTACGGTGACCATGAGCGACCATGACAGCGGCACCCCAAGCCAAGCATCGAGTGGGTCACGTGACCCGGATTTAGGTTTGTGGGTGTGGAGATGATTCGCTCGCTATTAGACTTCAATGGTCTGTCTCTTGGGTCCGACCCCCGATGCATATTCCAAGTCTTGCACGGAATTAACTCCTTCACTATTCTCCTGAAACTTCATGTTTATCGCTTTTGGGCACGATAATGTGAACTTGTAAGCACTATGGCTGGAGAAGGGAAGAGGATCCTGAATTGACTTGGCTCTCCCGCTAAAGGTAGCATACCATCCCAGTAGCTTATCTAACCGGAATTGAACCTGACCCGACTGGGCCCGTGAATTTCGGAAAGGCCTACAAGGTTGTGATCAACGAAAGTCTGGCTTGCGCTATCTTCAGACATCACCGTTGACCTCCTTTCTTTTCCCCTCCAGCCAACCTCTCTCTCTCTCTCGCACAGTACCGTAGTGGTATCAAGGCTGCGGACGATCACCACAACAAATTCTTATCACCGCGTAAAAGTCAATTCCCCACACCTTTTAGTCGCAAACACCAGATACGATAGCGACTACCCCCCGATACACTACCGAAACCAGCGCCGAAAATGCCTCCGCAAACTCCAACTCAAGCCCTCTCTGATTCAGCTCGTACGATATGGGAACGCCTAGAAACGTACCTCCTCCGTCTGCCAATCCTAACACGCGTTGTGATACTTCTCATCGCGGTAATCCACATGCTGGAGGTATGCGGTTTCGGAATGCTGGATTGGTTTGCACTGGATGTTGGGAAGATGGATTTGGGGCAGAGTTAGACTTTCCCCTCTTCCATTTTGTCTGGTATTAAAGGGGGAGTCGGGGTTAATTGTGTGAGGGGAGGAGGTGACAGTGCATCGATTAAATACTTACCCGCTCGTGCACCTGGGACTTTTACATGCGCTTTTGAACGCTCTTGCATTGACTCCTTTACTTGAGAGGTTCGAGAGGGAGGTGGGAACTTTGAAGACGTTGCTGCTGGTGCTCGGTCGTAGGTTTTGTTCGATTCCGGCGGAGAAGGGGGGGGAGCGAGCAGTGGGCTGACGGGATGCTGATTGGGCGTGGTTGGACCAGCTCTCGTGACGTTCCCTGGCGGATTGTATGTTGGTATCGAGATTTTCCTACTCGGCGCTTATGACTCGGTTGCCGGGGCGAGGTAGGTTTTCGCTGTGCTAGTACTTGGGAGATTCTAGGAAGCTGCGTCGGGGGTGCTGGCTAACTAGGGTTTGAGGGAGACAGCGCCCTGGTATTTACCCTTATGGCCAATGAAGCGGTGAAGACGTTTCTGGAGAGGCCGACTTATAAGTATTTCACCTGTTCCAGCTAATTATGGGAGCACGTCGCTAACCAGTTTTGCAGTATTGCTGGCTATGGTATACCTTCATGGATGGCTCCCATTTTTTGGTTGGTGGCCATCTCGATTTTAGTTCCTAGAGCCAGCATTCTCGGGCACTTTTGCGGGTTGATAATTGGTTATCTATGTTCGTTATCCACCTCTTCTCCATTGAATATGTGCTCATAGCACTACTAGATGCCTGCCACTACCTCCGTCTCATCGAGCCTTCAGAGAATATACTGGGTAAAGTCGAGTCCAAGTTAAACTTTCTGCTCCGGCGTGTACCCTTCTACATTTCCCTGGAGAACAGGATTGAGATGAGCCACATGGAGCTCCTCCCGACATCTGTCGGCTCAAGAACCCAATCAGCACCCCGCGGACCAACCCCTGCTCCTGTAGAAAGTGGCTCTGGGTTCGCTGCCGCCGGTCCTGGCAGAGTGCTCGGCTCGTAGGTGAGAGAGCAAGCCATCATGGCTTGAAGAGGGTAAGGCCAGGAAACGAGTCAAGTTGTTTTCCATGTAAATAGACATACTCTTATGGTGTTCCTTGTCTACGGGTTTTCGGGAGAAAGGTCATATCACATCTGAGTTTTGCAATATCTTTATTCGCTGTGGCTCAATAATTAGGGATGTCATGATAATGTTATTGTAAATACGGCAATTATTTTTCATTACAGAGCATGTGCCTCTTCGTTAAACGTATCAAAGTGTATCATAAGCTAATGGATATGAGATGAAACGGGTCAGGGTTAGGGTGCCTGAGGCTTAAAGTTTAGCTCTGCCTTTTTCCCTATGAAAACCAACATAAAAACCCCGACTACCGGTGTCGGTATGCCAACCCTCCTTCAACATCCCGCCAACACTCCATAGAAACCGAAAACCAAATTCATATAAAAAGAAAATCATGTCTCTTCCCTCCGGGAATAGCAGCGTGCATGCTGTGATCACCCTGCGCATGATAAACACTGTCATTTCAGAGCATCCCTCACCATCCTCCATCCCTTTTATGATCTCACAATTGTACATGACCCCGGTCCTCGAAATCTGCGCCTCTCTGCCGATGTCCTCGGAATACACTGGTGATAAGTCAGAGGGGTCCGCTCTCTTGCACAGGTTCAAGACGAGGGTTTCCTCCCTCCTGCAGAGCAAATTGCCAACGGATAAATGGTCCGGTATAGCTTTGGCGAAGGCAGCAATGGAGAGCAGTTTTGAATGTTTGGTCTCGAGCGGTGAGGTTTGGGTTAGATTGATGGTCCCAATATTAACAGTTTGTCCTCTCCACTTTTTCTCTAACTATGGAGTTTTCGGGGACTGGAGAGTTAGATGGAGGCTAATTGAAATGCAGAGGCCCGAACCACCCCCCGTAACCAACTACGCAATTGCTACATTAACACGGGTATTCACCGTCCTAACTGCTGGCAAGCCAACCTTGATCCGCCAGATAGTTTCGCCAAATCTCCCGGTCACCATTGGACATGTCCTGAATATACTCAGGCCAGTGAATTCATCGGCCTCTGATGCGGTCCCCTCGGAGGGCACGCTTGCTACGGCGTTGGAATCGCTCAAGGACCTTCTATGCCACAATCCGGTTACCTTCCGTCCGTTTACACAGCGCGCACAGGAGATTGCGCTTTCGGTGCTATCGCCGCAGCGCGGGCTTAGCAAGCTCGGGCGTTTGGCGGGGGACTTGTTTGTATCATTTCACCTTTCTGAAACCACCCCTCGGGGGGGCGGCGGCATTGGCGGGATCGCAGTCAATGAAGGAGGTGGGAGCTCACTGGGCAACAAAGTTACGGCGGCCGCAGAAGTGTGGACTCGTACCGTCGAGTTGGTGATTTCTGAGACCGATGAGCTATTTAATGTGATTCTTAGATGTACGGCTGAAGGGCACCCCGCCAGTATGGCGCGCCGGAATAGCAGTACGGAGGTCTCTGGTGCGTCAACCCTCGGGCTGAATGAATGGAAGGGGATCTCGAAGGGATTCGACAGAGCGGAGATGTTACTCAGGCTGTTGTCGCGATTCCTCTGTCACCCAACGAGTTCGCAGGTCGCCATCCCACTGGGGCAGCTTGTCGGACTTACTGGTAGGTTGGCCGGATTATCCTGCAAGGCAACGGAGAGTAACCCCGCGATCGAGCGGCCCGAGCGGGAAACAGTAATGGTTAGGCTATCGAGCTTAAAATGCTGCGCATTAAACCTCCTATCCTCTGCAATCGAGCGATTAGGGAGAATATTCGCCCCGTTGGCAAATATAGTGATAGAACAGTTGACCATTATATACTCCGAACATCGCTCCGATACGGGAATTCGAACGGCAGTCTATACTCTCCTCACCGCACTCATAAACCTCTTCGGCCCAGCTCTCGATAAAAAAGCTGTAGCCTCGGTCCATCCAATTTTGTCCTCGCTCTACACCGACCTTGTCCTCAACGCCGACGAGCCCAAAAATCCTCCCCCTACCAAACTCTCGGGAAAAGGCGGCAGCAAAAATGCTGGAAAACAGAAGGAAGTCCACGCGGACTCGTTCCTCTCGCCATCATTGTGGCTCAACTCCCGGCCAATGTGGCTTCGGGGATTGATCTCCGCCGCGGATGCACTCTTGGTAGCTGTACTGGGGAAGCTGCCGCCCACTTATATCCGCTCCCAGACGAGAAGGCTGCTAGATCGCGCTGCCATATTTACCATGAATGAGAAGGCAATGATGGCTAGTGCCCTGTTCCCTAGCATTTCCCCAAATGGAAACTCAAGGGGTGGGAGCATACTCCCCCACCTAGTTGGTGCCAGTAGAGGGAATTTGGTGGTTGAAGGGATTGTGAGGCCTAGATTGCCAGTCCTTTGGGTTGGTAGGGCCAGTGGTGTCGAGGAGGGGGAAGGGGAGGAAACAGAAGGAGACGACGAGGAAATAGAGGGCGAAGAGGAGAAAGATGTGGCCGTGAATCATAAAACAAGCCAATTAAATAACATAATGGAGAAGCCTGGGGCAAAGCGCAGTATATGGCACAGTCAAGATACCGCCTCCTCTCAAAAGCGCCAGAGGCCATGTACACAAACACCTCCAGCACTAGGACCGAATACTGTTCCTGCACCTTCTCAGGGACCCCGGCCTGCTCAAGTAGCTTCTACAGCACACATTCCACTGGATTATACCTTTATAAAAACCACCCAACAAACGATCCCTGAAGTCCAACAACCTCAACTCACACCTACCACCACCAGTGTGCCACCATCTACACCAGCTACAGCCACAGCCGCTATCCCGGCTCGGCACGCCGAAACCATCGCCGAAAACGCCCGCCTCGAAGCGATAGATTCGGATGACGAAATGACCATTCCTGAGATAGACATGGGGGGTAGCAGCGATGATGACGACGAGTCGGAGGAGATCTAGAGAAGGGGAGGAAAGGTGGGTGTGGGTTATTAGCTTTGGGGACCTAAGATAAGCGACGGGTGGCTAGCTATATAGCTGCCAAATATACAAAGTAATTTATGGCTTTTATTCTTTATTCCCCCTCCCCCACCATGAAGTGATGTGATGTGAACTCTAGCGTCCAACTTGCGTCATTTGACTGAGTGATAATTTGTGACCTGGGTGAGCGTAATGGGCAGACTGTGTATTATAGTCTATCATAAAGTTAGTGGAGCCATTACCCGGTCGTGGAACTTTCTCCTGGATAATTATTTTTCCGCAACCGAGATGAGAGCTATTGATACCGGCATGGAAGCAACCTCCATTCATCAAACATCAAGCACTCTACCTCCCCCACAATCTTCACACACCAACAAAAAAGAAAAAAAAAATGTCAACACCCAAAATAGCCTGCATCGCTCTAATCGGCCGCAACGTATCCTCCCTGCCCCCATCCTATCCTATCCCGTCCAATCCTGTCCAATCCCCAAGCTAACGAACGAACGAAAACCAAAAAAAAAAAACAGAACTCCCCCCTCCACCTCCACACCTTCCCTCAATCTCCCACATCCTCCCCATCAACGCTAAAATACCACTTCCTAACACACGCGACACTGGACGTCTTCCAGTCCCGCTTACCACTCAAGTCCAACGGCGACAGCGACTTTGGCCTTCTATACAGCATAGACGAGGAACTAGCCGCGTACGGGTGGCTGACGAATACGGGTGTTAAGATTGTGGTTGTTGTGGATGTTGGATCTGGCGCAGGGGGTGGTGGCGGTGGTGGCTTAGGGGTTAAGGATGGGGAGTTGAAGGGGGTGAGTTTTGCTTGATTGGTGGAGTGGAGGAGGGGCTAATGATGGGTGGAGTAGGTTTTTCGAGCGTTGCAGACGGCGTATATTCGGCTTGTTTGTAATCCGTTTTATGAGTTGGGTGCTGGCGGGGCTGGTGGGGGGATGATTACCAGTAAGAGGTTTGTGGAGGAGGTTAAGAGAATTGGCGAAGGGTGGGTACCAGGTTCTGGAGCGGGAGGGGCTGCGCTTTGAGTGTTTTTCGCGTGGCAATGGTAGTGGGGTATGAAGGTTCCCGCTTTGTTTTAGATATCCTTGGTAAAAGCTTTTTTTCCTTTCCCGGGGGTGGGAGCGTTATAAGTTGGTTTCAACTAATGTTTCCTCACTCTAGTACAGTAATACGGTAATCACTCGGCGGACGGCAGCCAGCCATGGGGTTTCAAAGCTTAAGAGCGCAGATGACATGACTATGTAAAGATCCATAGCATGTCGTGGTATGTATGATGGATCGTTAATACATCCCTACGGTAGCCAAAATACTGTATAATACAGTACATCATGCCATCGCGCTCCCTCCATGCAGCCATAACAATACCGCTCCAACGAAAAAGGAAAGGAGAAACAACAACCTTATGCACAGAAACCATCTAGTTGCCATTCTATGTGACGAGACCCAGTCGGGACGCAAATATCATCATCTCAGGACAAAACAAACTCCATCAGCAAATTTTTAAGGAAAAAAAGACACAAAACAGAATCTAATAGAACACCAAACAAACCTAACCAGTAGCACAATGCATGCTGAAGGAGAACAAAAGAAGTAACTTAAAAAAAGGGGGGAAGAAAAAAAAAAGGCGGGGAGGGGGGAGGGAAAAATACTATCACTCCCATGCACCAATCCGATCATAAACCATCATATCCATCATCATCACCGTACCCCCGTCACGCCTCCCCAGCAATCTCCACCCCATTTCCATTGCCACCGCCATCTAAATTAGTTCCCCCAGTGCCCAATCTCCTGGACGGAGTGATGACCCCCGGCTTCTCCGATTTGGAGGCCACCTCCATCAAACTAACAGAGCTCTGACCGTGATGTGCCAGACTTATTCCCAGGACCCTGTGGGCTGGGTTCTCCGGGTGGGCGTTCTCCTCGGGCGTCGATCTAAGCCATGGGACATTTGCGCAGCGGGAGACGAGGCGGATGGTTGTTTGGTCGACCGGTTGAAAATGGTTGCTTCGCACGCCGCTCAAGCATTCCAGGAGTTTGAGGACTTCGTCGCGCTTGTAGTATGGCGGGTGGCGGAGTTGGGTGTGCTCTAGGAGCGGGTATAGGACGCGGAGGTAGGTGTGTCGGAGCTGGTTTTCCGTTATATTAGTATACCCTTCCTGAGAGCGGGTTCCGGTAGGAGGGGACCGTTACCGGCTCGGACTCGTCCGGAAGGTCTAAGAGGTTGCGGATCATTACGTCCACCAGAACCCGCAAGTCGTTTGTGTAAAAGTATTCATATGTTGCACTCGTGGTGAAGAGGAGGTACAGAAGTTTTAATATTAACAGTTGCAAGCAAGTTTCACCTGCAGTGGCCCCGGATCGTTAGTCTCTGTCAAGTTATAGCTCATATCAAGTTACACGACTCACTCTCACGATTAAGGAGAAGGATGATATTCTCCCCAAAAGTTTTGAATGTAGAACCATGAAAACAGAGAACCTTTATAACTTTATTCGTTGGAGCGTCCGGCGGGTCCGCAGGGTTTGAAGGAGGGGCATGGGCTGAAACCATGTACTGCTCGTTCAGTACAAGCTAGCGAAAGGTTAGTCGGAGCGCAATGTTAACCAACCCTGGAGGAGATATATATGTATCATACCAAAATCCTGATTACCGGGTAATGATATGGGTCATTAGGATCCTCAGGATCCTCCTCAACCAACCCGAAAAGATACGATATGAATTCGTCATCAATCACTTCTGTTGCAGGGTCAGCAGCCTTCGAAGCTCCTAGTTGCCAAATAGCTAAAAGGAAATTCTACCCAAGTCTTCGCGCCTCAAGCGCTGTATCCGAGACATCTCGTAGAGCAATTCTACAAGTGACTGCCAGAGCATTCTATCCTCATCCCTCGTCTTCTGAACCAGGTCCATTAACCTAACAAAAAGGCCCTCTTCCAACATCATCTCAAATGTCTTCTGGGCTCCCCGGCCATCATATAGCAGAATGAGCGCAACCAAGTGTAATCGCGGGGCCAAAATCTCCTATATACCATCGTCAGCCACACAATGCCCGCCCGCCCGCCCGAAGGAAGGCCGAACAGAGCCTCAAAACGTAGGCGGGCCGAACCCTTCTCAACCGTCCGATCATGCGCCGACGGACGTAACTTCGATGTTCCGTAAACAATGGAGAATCCAAGAGCTTATAGGCACACTTCGCCCAATCGTACTCGGAAACCAAGTACTCGTCTGCAAACTCCACGTGTCAAAACCCATGCTCCAAGTAAAAAAAAAAACAAGAAAACCCCTAATCTCCGGACTTGGCGCAGAAACAAAGGAGGGAGGAGGTAGTTGTCGCAAGGGGCTGAGTGTTCGTAGAGGGGCATTGTACCTGTAAACGAAGAAGTGAATGCTAGATAAGACTTCAGAGCCTGGTCAATGAGGTTCTGAGTTTCGCAATGGGAACTGACGATATCGTCGAGCTCTGTTCAGGTCAGCTGGAGATCACGCAGTCGAGCGAGAAACATGGTATACAGGGGAACTCTTTTACCATCCCAGAATTGCTGCGCGTTCTCAAGGGTGTAGGCGACGTCGAAATCCATTTTTGTCTCTTTTCTCCTTTCTCTGTCGGGGGCGAGTGGCTCGAGATGGGTAACTCAGTAGAATAAACACTTTTTGAAGACGAGAAGATAAGAGTGAGCGAGAGCTGGCTGGCCCTGTATGGCAGAGTGTGCTCTAGGGCAGTAACGCAAGTCGCCGATTGGATTGGTACCGCTCTAATATGACCCGCCCGTTTGTCGCTTCAAATCAAGTGCGCAAGCATCACGAAAGGAAGCAGGGGAGTGGAATGAAGGGCCGCCGGGAGGGATGATTTGCTATGTTGTGGTGTGGAGAGTGTGGAGGGTTGGGTGACAGAAGATCGGGTGGGAAAAATAGTCAGGGGGGGGCTGCAGGTGGAAATAGTTAATTTGACCGAGACCCCCGACCTGCTCCTCTTGATGAACCTTTATACCGGTTCAAGCTTCACCAACCCATATATCATGCCCAAATCACTTTCCAGGATTTTCACCTTCGTTCCTTGATATTTCTATGCCAGGTCTATTTCGATGAATTTTTGCAAATAATTCATTGTGTGGTGGGTGTGACTTTCCATGCTGAGGGGGGGCTCTTTCATAATTCAAGCTCACTTCATCATCAGTCACTCGATATGATCTTAGAGGATGATCCGGACAGCCCCAAAGCAGCATCTTGAAGCTGTAAACAGACTCTTGGAGCCAGGTTTGGCTCCATGACCAGACGTTCAGTATGCCCTCAGAAGACATCCTTTCACCAAGTAGAAGAACCTTGCAAACCCCACAAAGGGCAGCTTTTCGCACACAAAGCTAACATAATTGCATATTTTTCACCAAGCTAGGCACCCCCGAAAAACCCATAAAACTTGTATCATTATTTTTACACCAAGCCTGGGCATATTTATGTCAAGTTAAATACCAAAACCCAAGCAAAGTCGTATCAATACGTATTTTTACACAAAGCTGCCATAGAATATTTTTTACCAAGTTAGGCACCCCGCAAAACCCATAAGACTTGTATTATTATTTTTACACAAAGCTGCCATAGAATATTTTCACCAAGTTAGGCACCCCGAAATACCCATAAAACTTATATTATTATTTTTACACCAAGCCTGGGCATATTATTGTTAAGCTAGATACCAAAACCCAAGCCAAGCCGTATTCTATTTTTACACAAAGCTGCCATAATATATAAACCTATTGTTTTTTTTTACACCAAGCCTAGGCATATTTTTGTCGAGATAGATATGATACCTCCGAAAAACCCAAGCAAAGTGGTATTGAATTTTTTACCGGGGGTGGAGGGTAAGTCTGTCGAAGTCCCTCTGATTGGCCCCAGAGGATTCTCGACCCCTCAGAGAATGCTCTGTACTTCAGTCACTGTGCCAAGAGTCCGACAGACTTTTTTCCTTCACCAAATTTAGCGTCTATGCTGTCCAGCCGCATAATTCGCGTTGCACACTTGTTACGGAGAAGAGAATAGGTGGGAAAGCGATGGTTCCGGCGACTCCGAGAAGGGGTGGAATTCCGGGCGGCGTAAAGCGGTACGACGCCGGGATTAGAAAGCCGGCGATTGAGGATACACCGATACCGGAAACCCAAATATCGCTTCCAGAGACAGTCCCATACTCGGGGGGTGCGACCCAGGATAGGCTGGGAGCTCTCCGGGATTATGAAGACGGACAAATTGTGCCTGCGATTGAGGAGATGGAGATGGAAGAACCGGAGGGGGAAAAGGAGAAGTTGACGGGACAGATTGTGCCCACGATTGAAGAGATTGTTTCGTTTCGTTTTTATGTTTGTTGTGTTTTGTGTTGTTGGTCTGGCGTATACCATGGAACATACAGCCTTGGGATAGAGAGCTAGATGGAATACTTCTCGCTGATGGCAAAATTATAAGATATTTAGTTACACACACGTAATTTCGACCATCCAGGCCCGAGTTCGACAGACCTTTGCGCACACACTAAGTGCTCGTAATTTCCTGACCTTTGTGAACACAGCTATTGCATGCCGCCAAAATCTTTAGGCTCTGGCAGATTTTTCGCCCATATGCAATAGCAGTCGAGTTCACAAACGCCAAAGAGTAGACAACTACTGAGGTATGATACAGTGTGCAAGTTTTGTAGGTTCCGCAAACGGGGACCGCCACCCTCGCCCCCTGTGTACTGTACTTGGCATTTTCATAAGTATCAGGATGTGGTCAATTCACTTGGCGCCAAGTAATCAGGGGGTAGTAGGTAGGACATGCATAGCTATTAAGAAAGTATTATCAATACAACATGGTACCATACTCAGTGAAATCAGTAGCTATCATGACACGTACTATCATCCAGCGAGGTAAGATCCATATACTAAATCAGTGCAACAGATAGCAGACTAACTGGGAGGTAACTTTTTCATTTTAGGAAAGCAGATAACACCTTGATGTGTAATGACCCTACGTTATAAAGCTATGGCAATCCAAGTCTACACTCATACATAAGACCAAGAGGTCCCGTGGTAGACCAGGAAGGTATACTGGCGTATACCTGGGATATCCAATGGTCCGGGTATCTCGAAGGAACAGAAGGTACTTAAGGAATAGGTGTACTAAAGTAGAGGAAGGAATGTGATCATGTCCGCTTCGACCTAAGGATAGGTCGAAAGGTCGGGTGAGTTCATCCTGTCTAAGGAGGTCACGTTACCCTACAGTAGAGACTAGTTTCATGTCACCATGGACGTACTTACCCTGCCTTTAGGACACTATTACCCTACCTTTCGTCAGAAATATTCTTGGAGAGATTTCTCAGAATGTTAGGATTGTTTGTTACGCAATGACGATCGACAGGCACTTGTTTGCACACTGATCAGAAGACTATGGGAGGAGCTAGAGTGCTCCGAACATGCTGTTACTTGGCAGGATTATTCCTAACAGGTACCTGCAACCCCAGGGTTCGCCTTGGGCATCATGGGCCAAAATGGGTGGAGTTGCCGTCTTACTAGTTAAATGGAATCATTGAGGACATGTCCTTAACACTGTATACGTCGCTGCTATCTGTCCGACTGGAAGCAGTTCACAGGATATATAAGCGGGCCAAGGTGAGAAGGTCAGGTACCTTCTCCAAAAGGAAGAGAGTAAAACGGACCAAAACTGACGGAGTTAGCGTAAGCTATCCAGAAGGGTCCCCAGGGTAGTCCCGGGTAGTGCCGGAGACATCTGGGAAGGTTTTATGCCAATCATGCCTACATGTGCCCTTATGCCGTAGCCTTTTTACAGGTTGTTGGAAGACTCTAATAGCATGATACTTATCACGCTAAGTGGTATGCCCGGGGTTAGGGACCATGGGTAGCACCCACAGGTCCCGCCACTGATGTAGCTCTATGTGGGAGAGTGGTAGATCCTGTAAGTTTGCAATCAAGGAAGATAGAACTTAACTGGAGGACACCTGATGTCTACGGGTGCTTGCATAGATTATTGCATATGGGAAGAGAGTTATTTAGTTAGCTTTCCTTGGTGACTTGACAGTTAGCCACTGGTGAGACGCCGATGTGCAGAAGTTTTCACTTTGGTAGGTGTATTGGTAAGCACCTCACAGGAACTGATGTGCATATAGGAGATTTCTGCTAGAGTGCGCTGACACCTTAGACCCTTTGGGGATATGGTAATGGTGCTGGCAACCCTTATAGAGAAGGGCATACTCATATTGGTTGGGGCGACCTGATGGGGGAGTTTTTGGTATAAGTTTGACTACTTGAAGCTTATACGAGAACTCTCCTGCCCCAACACAATCAACATCCTCTCAAGAGGCTTTAATTGAGATAAGCCTGAGCTTAACGATATTAAGTTTTACCGTTTACTTTTATTCTTTACACTTTACAAGAGTTGTATTCGAGAGATTCAAAGTTTGGTGCGGTCGCATCCTTAGGAACGATCTACCTGAGGGAGCCCCCATTACACGATAGTGGGCTGTGATAATTGCATTTCGGAGTCAGGAGCTGCCAATGCCCTATTACAAAATCAAAGAAATTACTGGTGTTGCTGCCTCAACAGCCAATGACATTTGGCGCCATGATGTCAAGAGTATATGACAAGTACAAGTGACTGGTGATGAATCAGATAATCACCCACTCTCCCTTCAGGAGCTTATTGCAAGCTCTATCCTTGATGCCAATCCTCGTCCTGGACACCCAAGACTTTTGGATACAGAGGATAAAGACAAACTGATCGAGTTTGTAAAAAAAAACTTTGATACCTGGAGAATGACTATCTGTTACACATATGAACACACAGACCTTCCCCGTGTACAGACCTCCTGAAAAACGCAAGAAATCCACAGCCAACACCCCCCTCCAGCCCCACCATTGGCCCTGCGCGCAGTAATAAGGTCGCCGGAATTTGGTGTCCCGACAGTATAAACCGGTTGAAATGAAGCATGCTTCATAACACCGTATACGTTGTCGCTGTCTGTCCGACCGAAAGGTGTTCGCAGGATATATAAGAGGGGACCTCAGGCCATGTCTGAAAAGTGGAATGGAGTCAATCGGACGGGTAACCATGGAGTTACGAGCTAAGCGAGATTGACCATCGTGGACATAGACAGAAAGTGTTGGGACAAGATCACCAACAGTCTAATAAGTTATCAGGACGTGCCCGTATGGACGAGGCACGGGGCCCAGCCTAATGCTCGCATAGTATATAGCCAACCGGAGGCCTATCTATGGTTGAGGGACTTTTCCATGACGTTGACTAGTCCGATCGTGGCGAAAAGTTCTCAATGTTAATGCAGTCAATTTGCAAAGTCAATGGCGCATTGATAAGTCTCTCGACGGAGCTGATCACTCCAGTCAGAGTTAGGAGGACAGCGAGTTGGCTCGAAGTGAGACCACTTCCTTGTACTTAAACCTCCGAGATGAAGGAATCATGCGTTTTCGCCGGAGAGGTTTTGAACGCCCTCGCGGATATATAACAACGCATGGAGACCGTAGTCCGAGCAAAGACGCAAAGTTTATTAGGGTCAAACGGATGCCCATTACGATAGTAAGGGTAGGAAAATAGAAAGAGTACATTGTTTGGTATAAGATAGATGTAGCCCGCGACCACCCAGATGCGGAATATAAATATCAAGGTACCTCCTTACCTTTCAGACATCCTCCGTCTCCGCTACACCTCCGGCGATTGAAAACTCAACACCACGGTTTTTATCGTGAGTTTTTTGTTTAGTCGCGAAACATTCTCCTCCCTCCCGCCCACTCCTGCCTTTGGCCTCAGCCTAGGGGAGTCTGGCTCCTCTCTCCTCTCCCACCCGGAGGTATTGACTTCGGTCTACCGTCCCTGGGTCCTCTCCCTCCCTGGGGGTTGGTCGGTTGGAGGCCCTCCTTGGCTGGCTGGCAGGTGGTGGGATCCCATCCACTACAGTGACGCTATCTCTCCCAGAACAAGGGACTACATGAGAGACGCGGTAAAACACCTGCCATGCTGGCCTAGGCGGCCGTTGATGATCTTCCTTTCTCCCCCTTTCTCCGCCCCCCACGCGTGGTAGGGAGTCCTATCCTCCTCCTGAGTTGGCCTCACTTAGCCTTCTCACGGTCGGCAACCCCTTAACCACCATCGTCAGACGGCCGGGACTACTGTTGCAGTAGGGGAGAACAGCCAACAGGCTACGGTCGATCTCCCCATTCTCTTGTTCCCCTAAGAGGCTGCCTAGTCAGACACGAACGCGATTCTGATAGACGTTGTTTAAGGTCTTTGGGTCTACCCCTCCGCTCTCCTCTCCCTACGGTCGGATCGGCTGGCACCCTACTGCTACACCTTCCCCTCCCCCCGGTTATCGCCCACGGCCGGCTGGTCTCTTCCTTTCCTCCATGGTATTGCACTGTCTCCTTGGAGTGGGTCTGGGGGGGGCCCCCTATCTTAGCGCG